GCTCTTGACCTGGTTGCTATCTACCATCTCTGAACCAGTGGTAAATGATATTCTTCCAGTTAAACATTCCTTTGAGGCATGGAACAACATACACAAGCTATTCCATGGTGTAATGAAGTCACGAGCCAGACAACTCAGATCTGAGCTAAAGACGATGAAGAAAGGTGCAAAAACAGCGAAGGAATATATTGCAAGAATCAAAACAATCTGTGATTCACTCAAATCAATTGGAAGTCCAGTTTCTGTTGAACAGCATACTGAAACCATACTCGAAGGATTGTCCTCAGACTACAACTCCTTCGTGATGATGATACATGGTAGAGAAAATGCTTACTCCGTTGCAGATCTAGGAGTAGAGCTAATGGCTTATGAACAACTTCTTATCAAGCAGAATGAGCAGCTACTCGCAGAAGGAGCCTCAATAAACTTAACCCAGCGTGTTCAGACACCTCAGAAGACTGGATCTGATGAAGAAGATGACATTGTTCACGAGTTCAGAAAACAGAGCAGAACAGAGGAACAACATTTCAAACAGTTTAACACCTCAAATGGCCAAAACAGGGGAAGAGGAAGATCTAACATGAGGTTTAACAGAGGTAGAGGTAGAGGAAATAGATCTAATGTACATTGCCAACTTTGCTACAAGTATGGGCACGATGTGAAGGACTGTTGGCATAGGTTCGAAGAAAACTTTACTCCAAATCTACCTCCACCACAAAATACTTCTTATCCTCAATTCTTTCTTCAGCAACAGTCTCATCCTGTCAGATCCTTTCAGTACAACAGACCTCAGAACCAAGGACAAGCCTATATGACAATGCAACCTTCTCTGCCATCTGCATCAAATGCTGCTTCACTTCTTGAGTGGGTTCCGGATTCTGGTGCATCAAGCCATGTTACTGCATCACCTCAGAATATTGTACAAGGTCAACACCTTAGTGGTTCAGATCAAATACTGATTGGGAATGGTCAAGGTTTGCCCGTAACAGCCATTGGATCTTCATCTTTCATATCTCCTCTTCATTCAAACACACACCTACACCTTAGAAATTTACTTTTGGTTCCTTCGATTACCAAAAATCTTATCAGTGTTAGCAAATTTGCCAAGGATAACTCTGTCTTCTTTGAATTCCATTCTGATGTCTGTTTTGTAAAATGCCAGGATTCCCAATAAGATCTTGCTTCAAGGTGTCGTTGGCACTGATGGTCTATATCACTTCCCAGATCTGAAGCTCTACAAAAATCCAACCTCTCAGACAAATACCAGTTGTTCCAGTACATATCTTTCAAGCAACTCTGTCAATCTTGTTGAAAATTCCAATACTGCCTTAGATACTAGGAATAAAATGTGTATTTCTTCTAATTCCTTGTACTCTCTGTGGCACTGTCGTTTGGGGCACCCACACCTAGATGCTCTTAAAAGTGTTCTGAAATCTTGTAATATACATGTTAGTAATAAAATGACAGAGTTTTGTTCTTCTTGTTCTTGTGCAAAATCACATAGACAACACTCTTCAGCCTCTACTACAGAATATAATGAACCCTTCAGCCTTGTGTACAGTGACTTATGGGGACCCTCACCACTAAAATCAACTCTTGGTAACACATACTACATTTCATTTGTTGATGCTCACACTAGATATACATGGCTTTATCCTATCAAACAGAAATCTGATGCCATTGGTATTTTCAAACAGTTTCATGCAATGATAATTAATCAATTTCAACTACCCCTGAAAGCACTTCAAACTGACTGGGGTGGTGAGTTTCGTGTCTTTTCCTCATACCTCAAATCACATGGCATAGCTCATAGAGTCACCTGTCCTCACACATCTCACCAAAATGGAGTGGTTGAAAGGAAACACCGTCATGTAGTGGAAACTGGCTTAGCTCTCCTATCGCAGTCATCACTCCCAATGCAATATTGGGATTATGCCTTTACCACTGCCAGTTACCTCATTAATAGACTCCCATCAGCTGCTATACACTTTGAGAATCCTTACTCTAAGCTCTTCAAGCAGCCTCCTGACTATAACTTCCTAAGGACCTTTGGTTGTGCATGTTTTCCTTTCCTCAGACCGTATAACAAACATAAGTTAGAGTTTAGATCAAGAGAATGTATTTTTCTGGGCTATTCACCAAATTATAGGGGATACACTTGCTTGAGTCCTGACAATAAAATCTTCATTTCAAAAGATGTGTCATTCAATGAATATAGATTCCCTTACAAAGAGTGGTTCCCCAATAAGTCTTCTTACACCCCACAGGTATCTCCTTCTTCATTTGTTCCCTTACCTACCTTTTCTCCCATAATTTCTGGGACTGATGTCTTACCTACTGAAATCACCTACCCCTCGAACTCTACAAGTGCATCCCATACTGCTATTACACCTCACATGTCACCTACTGTCTCTCACACTGATTTGTCTATCTCTCACAGCAATTACTTGTCACCTACACCAATATCTACTTCACCCTCTAGTCACAGTACCAGTCCTGAATCTTCCCACTCAGAATATGCTCCTTCCAATTCCTTAAGCTCATCCTCCCCTGCCCACTCCATTACCCACAAGATCCAAATCCGTGGCTAGGAACCTTGTTCTATTAACACATTCTGAACCTGCATCAGTTAAACAGGCACTGAAAAGTCCTCACTGGTTCAAGGCAATGGAGTTGGAGTATGAAGCCTTACAGAGGAACAACACTTGGTCACTTGTCCCTTTACCTCATGGTAGACGCGCTATAGGGTGCAAATGGGTGTTCAAAGTTAAGGAGAATATTGATGGAAGTGTCAACAAATACAAAGCTCGGTTAGTGGCTAAAGGCTTTCACCAAAGACCTGGTTTTGACTATAATGAAACCTTCTCTCCAGTTGTTAAACCTGCCACAATCCGAGCTGTACTTGCCATTGCTCTCACATATGGCTGGTCCTTAAGGCAACTTGATGTTAATAATGCCTTTTTAAATGGGGTCCTAGAGGAAGAGGTCTTTATGGAACAGCCCTCTGGTTTTGTATCTCAAGACAAATCCTTAGTTTGCAAACTCCACAAGTCTCTCTATGGTCTCAAACAAGAACCAAGAGCTTGGTTTGACAAACTAAAGAGCTCTGTTCTGTCCTTTGGGTTTCATGCAAGCAGATGTGACCCCTCTTTGTTCATTTACAAAGCTGGAAACTTGAGAGTCTACATGCTTGTATATGTAGATGATATCATTGTGACAGGAAATAGTGTTCAGTTTATTCAGCAATTTATCTCTCACCTTAACACTTCCTTTGCTTTGAAGGATCTTGGCAGTCTTGATTACTTCCTTGGAATTCAGATTAAACGCCGCTCTACAGGTTCCTTGTCTCTCTCTCAGTCAAAGTATATCAAGGATCTTCTTACTAGAGTGAACATGCTTGAAGCCAAGCCTATCTCCACTCCTATGTCCTCTAGTTGCAAGTTATCAAAGTTTGGCTCTCATGCTTTTGAAGACCCTCATCTGTATCGGTCAGTTGTAGGTGCACTGCAGTATGCAACTATCACTAGGCCAGAAATTTCCTTTTCTGTGAATAAGGTCTGCCAATTCATGAGTCAGCCTTTGGTGGACCATTGGAAAGCAGTAAAACGGATTTTACGATACCTTCAAGGCACTATTTCCTTTGGACTTCATTTTCAACCTGTAAAATCAACCACAGGCTCCTTTCCTCTTACTGCCTTTTGTGATGCCGATTGGGGAAGTGATCCTGATGTTAGAAGATCAACCTCCGGTGCATGCATTTTCCTTGGCCCGAATTTAATCTCTTGGTGGTCCAAAAAACAACCTCTTGTAGCCAGATCTACGGCTGAAGCTGAATATCGGAGTATGGCTTTGGTTTGTACAGAGATTTTATGGATTAAATCCTTATTTCAGGAGCTGGAACTCTCTCTGTCAGTTCCTCAAATTTTGTGTGACAATCTTAGTGCTGTAGTTATTGCTCACAATCCCATCTTGCATGCTCGCACAAAGCATCTTGAGTTGGACTTGCACTTTCTTCGTGAAAAGGTGGTTGCCAAGGACATTCTGGTTTCTCACATCCCAGCTACAGCTCAGCTAGCTAATACATTTACAAAACCCCTGCCTCTTGCCTCCTTTGCTGCGTTCCGTGACAAGCTCAGAGTTTTGAACACTCTCTTACCTTCTCAACACTACTGAGCTTGAGGGGGAGTATTAGTGTTATAATAATATCTCACTCTTTGTAGCTGTAACTTAGCTTTCATGTATCAGCTGTAGCTGATTATACTTCCTATATTAGCTGTGTATTAGTTGTCATAGTTGTTGGGGTTGTTACTGTTTGTTAGATCTGTTTACACAGTTAGTTAGTTCTGCTGACTCACCTTTGGGTTAGCATTGGGCTCTATATATAGAGTCCTAGTTATATCTTGTACGATGGATTCATTTTAGGGTTAAAATACAAAATGTACTTTCAGCTCATTCTCTCTCATTTCTCTCTCTCACTGTTCTTCAGATTCTTTCGTTCTCCTTCAATACAGAAACTCTAATAATTTTCAACGTTTCTCACATAAGTCAGAACGGGACGTTCTATATTATTTTTCTCTACTACTTTAAACATATAAGTTGAATTTCATCACTAACACCAAATCCACGTTACCTTGCAACATATACTCACACATTCCTTGATTTATTGTTATCCTTTATTCTACCTTTCTAAACCTTCCCCTTTAATCCACAAAATGAGGTAAATAATAATAAATTCAGCATACAAAAGATCCTTTCTCTCTCTCTTTCATTCTGCAATATAACAGGGATATGCAAGCTACAGATGACTGCCTATAAGTGCAGTAACTCATTCTAGGCTTCATCTAAGCATGAAAAAGACAGCAAGAGATATGAGGCAGGAATCTATACCCACAGGATATAGCACAAGTTACAAAAAAGTAGATGTGACCAATCAAATGCAGTAGAAAATGGGAGTGAAACAATGACAATGCATGCACTGATCCGCTGTACAAACTTCCTCCACTTTCTTTCATTATTAGCATCAGAAGATTAAAAAAACATCAGTCATTGTTATATAACATGACGGTGTACAACAAACAACTGTACCATCCTCAGGCCATGTTCTACTCCGCATGATGACACATTTCACTGGTCTTTCTTCTTTTTGGTAAGATGGTGGCACAGTACTCAAATTCCTAAACACTAGACAAAAGGACATACGCGGTAGGTACTTACAAGGTACAAGGTTACAAATTTACATGGAGTCAAGATACACATAGTTTCTGCGCCGATTGAACTGAAGAAGGCTTCCATAGGTGCGATCCCATACACCAATAAAAAGCGATTCTGTGTCAGGGCTAAAAGATACACCAGAGATCTCCCCAAAAAAATCAATCTCCTGCTCCTTCTCAAACCCATGTTTTGCATCGTAGACATGCACAAAGTCGGCAGGCTCAGCCATTGCCATGAACTGCCCATCAGATGTGAAACGTATTGAACGTATAGCTCCGAGGTTTCCTTTAAGAACAGCTACAGACTTCGACAAGTTTCGAACATCCCAAACGCGACATGTTTTATCTTGATTCCCGGTAGCTAAAATGCGGCCATCAGGATGCCATGCAGATGCAAATGAGTAATCCAAGTGTCCGCATAAAGTTGTAATAGTCTACAAAGACAACCAAAATTAAAATTAGATATTCATGCTCAGGAACACTTGGCACATCCATGTCAACCCTCATCTCATTCTAAAGAGTCCTATGGGAGATATACAACCAGGAATTTGTAACAAACACAAAACTGAACATGTCAACCTTTCCTGTTTGAGAATCGACCATTATCCCTTCTGGGTTGTCTCCAACAATTACAAGTAGTTTCCCATCAGGGCTCAATGAAGTATGCTGCAAACAGAAAGGGCAAAAATTCATCATACCATTTAAGCTATTTAGCAATAGACATTGATATCATATTTTCCAACACATGCAAGGAGAAAATTAACAATATATATTTAGATGCTGATAGCGATAGGGACTGGAATAATACTGAAATCAAGATAAAGTTCAAGGAGAAACTCTTTTACAAAGGAAAAAATTATGCTCGGTAACACAAAATTAACAGAACATTCTGTGTACATTGAGAGAATAAAGAAAACATTCAGTGTTAGTGTTACACAGTGATTGTACACACGTTGCATGGTTTCCCTCCCCAAGTCACTGCTTTCATGTGTACATTCTGTAACACACACTCCACCATAACAGTTTTCCTAATAACAGTATTCCTACCTCTCCGCTCATACACATATATGGTTTCCCTTGGTCCACCCCTATCCATCCCCTTTCCAGTTTTTTTCCCTTCTATTATACAGATGTGTTAAAGACACATTAAACAAACTACTTCTGGGTTCTCTCTTCTTTTTTAACTTTAACCATAGTTGTTAAAATCATTCGTGATTCAAATCGCAGATTTGGCAAGCCAGCGATTCATATCATGTGATGAATTAGAAATTACTTTGAATCCAATATATGCATAAATCAATGTGATTCCATATCAAAATACAAATCGCATGATTCAACTATGTCTTCTTCTTTTTTTCTTTTTTGCTTTTCTATTATCAATTCTCATAAAAGAAATTGAAAAATCAAATAAGCTAAAATTGTTAAATGAAAGGAACTAAAGAAACGCTATTGGATGCACCGTATTATTGATTATTCCATTGCCTTGTTTTCATTCTTCTAGAGCTTCACACAGTCACTCACTCTATGGATTCTATTTCACTATTCCATTACTTTGTTTTCATTCTATAGCAATGGCTTCACACAATCACTCTCTTAATCTATATGGACCTTATTTGACTATATCATTGCTCTATTACGGTTTTTCAAAAACACAGTCTTGTAGTTACTTTATGTGACTTGGTGATAACTAATGATTTATGATTTTGTTTTGTGAGACTTATAATTGAGTTATTTTGTTAATTCCTAATTTAAAATTGTTATATTGAACATCATACATCATTTATATGATGTATCTCAAGCTATTTTTTAATTCTGTCTCTGAATCTTACAATTTGATACGATTTACGATTCATGATTCAAAACTTAACTTGATGATTTACGATTCGAATCGTGATTTGATGACTTTGGATGTAACCTACACTACCCATCATGCTACCATTTTGTACTTGTAAGGAGTTTCTAAAATATAGACATCTAAGTGTGAACCAGGGTCATGTCAACTCTAATCTTGCCACAAGACCTGGCTCAGTTCTAGAAATCATGCCATATCTATTATTTCAAACATGGAAAATCAAATAGAGGTACCTACATTTACAGGCCAAGGAAAGGAGAAATGCTTAGAGAGCTGAAATCTCTCCATATCAAAGTCTCTGACTCCGCAATCGTTGTTTGAAGCCATGAAATGAACAGCTCCACTGACAGATTAATTGATTGTTAGTAAGCAGCAATATTTGAGGGTTGTGAGCAGTGATTGCTAGCACCATATCAACAATTTAAGAACTAAAAAAAAATCAAGAAAAGGAAATGAATAATAGGAAAGCAGAGAAGAAAGACCTGGGATGCTCATAAATCTCAACAGCATTTGTGATCGCATTGTCCTCATAAGTAGTTCTGGAACAAAAGCTAACTCCAGGTCGATCTAGGTACTGCAAGATATTATGTATGTGTCATCGCTCAACAAGAAACTATTGACAAATACATCAATTTGGAAGATAAAAGAAATAAAAAAAATTATGGATAACTTCAGATTATTCCCGTTTTGTGAATAACTAATATTTCAACTAATCACATAAGAGAAATAAGCTCTACACCATCTCAAAAACAAGGTGAACATCTCTCGCACATAATAAGTTAGAGTATAAAATCCACAAAATGGTAATATTGTGTATCTCAATGACCATTTTACATGGAAAACTGGTAGGGTTATAGCTTTAGTGCATCCAATAAATACTGATAAGTAAAAAATACTAATCATTTGCTATTGAATATCATAGATACAAGAGGAAATGATAGTAATCCTTGTTGTATTAAACTACACAACATTGGTACTTATTATATAGCAAACCAATTGAAGAATACAAAGAGACAAACTCAATGTGGGACTTCTACACTATTAACACTAACACTCTTAACACTCCCCCTCAAGCTGTAGCATATAGATCATATGCTACAAGCTTGATACATAAATAATACTCCCATTAGGAACCAAAAAACAACAATGCTACATCAACGAAATGAAATGACTAAGTACAACAAATCAACTGGAATGACCATCAGTCTGAAGAGCTGATAAAGAGACAGTGCTGGAATGGACATCAGAGCATGGATGGTGCCGGAATTATCATCGGCAAAGACAACTGAGCTGACCAGGACATCAGCATCAAGATCCCTCTCAGACATTTCATTTAACAGTTGGTGAGCAGCCGTGGTTTCCCCTTGACTATGCTACAAGCTTATTACAAGAAAGACCAAGTAACATAACATCAAAATAAATCTCCTAAATGAGAAACCAAAAATCAACAATGTGCTAAAAATGGCGTCGAAATGAACATCAACATGGAAGATGCCGGAATGATCATCGGCAAAGACAATTGTGCTGGAATGACCATCAGCAATATAGACGGTGCTCCCCCTCAAGAGGAACTTCTAAACAATGCCGGAAATATCATCGGCAAAGACAATTGTGCTGGAATGACCATCAGCAACATGGACAGTGCTCCCCCTCAAGAGGAACTTCTAAACAGTGCCGGAATTATCATCGGCAAAGACAATTGTGCTGGAATGACCATCAGCAACATGGACAGTGCTCCCCCTCAAGAGGAACTTCTAAACAGTGCCGGAATTATCATCGGCAAAGACAATTGTGCTGGAATGACCATCAGCAACATGGACAGTGCTCCCCCTCAAGAGGAACTTCTAAACAGTGCCGGAATTATCATCGGCAAAGACAATTGTGCTGGAATGACCATCAGCAACATGGACAGTGCTCCCCCTCAAGAGGAACTTCTAAACAGTGCCGGAATTATCATCGGCAAAGACAATTGTGCTGGAATGACCATCAGCAACATGGACAGTGCTCCCCCTCAAGAGGAACTTCTAAACAGTGCCGGAATTATCATCGGCAAAGACAATTGTGCTGGAATGACCATCAGCAACATGGACAGTGCTCCCCTTAAGAGGAACTTCTAAACAGTGCCGGAATTATCATCGGCAAAGACAATTGTGCTGGAATGACCATCAGCAACATGGACAGTGCTCCCCCTCAAGAGGAACTTCGGTGTCGGAATTAACATCAGCGGAGACAACATCAGCAACTTGGACAGTGCTCCCCCTCAAGATGGATGATGAATAGTATAAATACTCCATCTTGGGAAGAAAGAAGATTAAAGAAAAACAAAGCTTCGCGGAATCGGAAAAGTCGCCGGAGACGGCGGTGGGTCGTCGGAGACGATGGTGGATCGCCGAAAAAGTCGCCGGAAAGTCATCGGAAAAGTCACCAAAAAATTCGCCGGAGACGGCTGTCAACGATGGACGACGCGGTCAACGGTGGTCAACCCAACAACTTCCCAAGGATCATTCTTTTCTGATGTGACAGATCAGTCTAAGCTGCAGTCACAAAGCATACTAAGAAAAACCCGAAAAAGAAATAGCAACGGGAATCCCTCAAGGAGGGTGATATCTCTCTATAACCATATTGAAATTATGAAAAATAGAACTAAGTTAAACGGATTAAGATTCCTCTTGTTAGGCTCTGATACCATATTGAATATCATAGATACAAGAGGAAATGATAGTAATCCTTGTTGTATTAAACTACACAACATTGGTGCTATTATATAGCAAACCAATTGAAGAATACAAAGAGACACACTCAATGTGGGACTTCTACACTATTAACACTAACACTCTTAACAATTGCAAAGAAGAAAATTATAAGTCCAAAAGAAATACCTTGCAAATAAGTTCTCCTTGAAAGCCCCCAGCAATTAACAAGTTATCCCGTACAGCCAGTGTACTAATTTGTGTCTGAGTGAAACCTTCCAAGAGGCTTCCAGGATGTTTCTATTAGCAACAAAAATTTTAAATTTCAGATGTCTTTTCTAAGTGATGCTTTTAACAACAAAACAATGCAAAAATAATTACCTCACATGGAGCTACATGCCCTGATACATTCAGGATTTCAGATCTCTTGGAATTTAATGAAGACCAGTGAACAATTGAGTAATGTGAAACAAGATATACATCATGTTTTGATGTCGACCAAACCAAGTTCCTTAACTGCAAATGAAAAATTAGAGTTTCACATTAACGTCACTTAAGTTGCTGGAAAAACTGCATAATCTTAAGTTTAAGAAGAAATAGAAAAACATAAACATACATCCTCATATAGCAAAATAACTTATCAGCTATCACACATCTGTAAATGCAGACACATGTCTTTACCCAAGAGATAATATAACAGAGTGTAGAACAAAAAAAAAAATATCACATTCTCACATGATTAGAAGTAAAAAATTACTAAATTCACATACTTGAAAATGAAGTATCGTCGACTTTACAGATCTAGTGTTTTGCCAGAAATCATAATACTTCCCCCCTTTATCAGTTGGTTTGCATTTCTGTAGACAAGAGGGTAAAGAAAGTATAAGATCACAAGATATCCTCAAAATCATTACTCGAATGCCTCCAAACTCTAAGCAAAACATATATATACCTTCTCTGACAGTTCCCCTGATTGTGGTATGTTTTCATAATTCTTATACTGCTCCAGTCTAGTTTGTCTATATTTCTCGCGACTAATGCTCAGCCTATCCCAAGGTATACCTTGTATATCCTTTCCTCTCCTAGCTTCAGCAGCACTGGTATCTGTTATTCGGTTTTCCTACAACAAAGAACCCAAAACCCCACCCCAAGAAAAAGAGTAAGTAGATGGAAAGATTATGTTAATGGCCAAATTTGATTGTAATAAATATTAATCCTGTAAATTTGAGTAATCCTTTAAGTAAGGATACAAACCAAAAGGCAGCAACAATAAAATGCAACAAAAATATATATTTACACTAATAACATTGAAAAGATTTTCACAGTGGGAGTAAAAGAATATCCCACCAAAGAGAAATTCAAATGATAACCAATGTTTGCTTATGATTAGAAACAAACCAAAGGGTCATATTCATCGTCATCATCATCATCTGAATCTGATTCACCAAATGCTCTGCCACGCAAATACATGTCATCTTCTACTTCTGCCATTTCATTATCATCTGCAGCGTCCTCCATTTCATCCCCGTGGTACTGAGACATGTTTCCAGATGTTGTTCAGCCGTTGATGCTTGATATCTAGTTCATTAAGGGAGTGTTCTAAAATGAGTTTATTAAATTCATTAATTGAAAACAAATAAACATCAAATTCTATAACCTAGACACTACACGTACTAAGTTAAAATTTTCTAGTGCAAAGAATACCAAATCCATAAACATCAAATTCAATATGACCTAGAAACTACATATATTAATGTTTCAATTTTGCAGGGTAAACAACATCACCTAGAGATATTTAGCAGCAAGGATAACTTTAACCTAACCCTTAAACCAAATAATTCTATTTTATTTCTTATTTTTCCTAAAAAAATTCCCATCTCATCTCATTAGATTATAAACCTAAACCGACAACGGGCAAGCAAAAACTAGCAAAGCTTGAGAGCAACATGGCATTAATTTGGGAAATTTTCAAATACCCCAATAAATGAATTCGAATATCTGCTGCACACATAACAACAAAAAGTTTTCAACTTTTTTCACTAGATTCTGAAATCAAAACAATGATTTCACATGGTCCAAGAAAACAAACCTTAAAAAACCCAAAAAACAATAAATAAAAGGGTACCTAACCGGAACGAACTTGCAGGCAAATACAAACACAAAATGGTAAAGACGGAAACTTTAAGAGGGAAAAAGGGCAATTGAATTAAGAAAATTAAAAGGGGCGAAGCAATTGCAATTCATTGATGAAAAGAAAGGGCTTAATGGGTTCACAAAATTCTAACTTTTTTTCTTTTCAGGGTCCGTGAATTCAAGCGGGAAAGGAACTCCTTGTGGTTGCTGGATCTTGGTGATAAGGACCTGAATCTGATCTGCGTAGACAATTGAAACAGCTTTGCAGAAATATATAGAGATAATTAGAATCGATGAATGCACCTTTGAGTCTGTGATTGATAAAATCAGGCAGAGATTAGCGCATAATTTTTATTTTTTTTCCTTTTACAAAAAGATCAAAATAATAATAAATTGTTAATAATATGCTTACGAAGGAGGGGGCATGAATATAGATAAGGGAGCCTTGTAATTTCCAATAATTTTCTTTCACCAAAGTTTAGGGATAAAATATCAATCTTAGGGATGAGTTTTATAATGTAGGTTAGTTTGATTTAGATTTAATATTGAAAGAATTAGTTTTTTTTTTTTTTTGGTACATTGCCAGGAGGTATCCTCATTCAACCTTCTCCGGGCATCATGCCCTCGGGGTACGGCTCATTTGGGCTAGTCCCTCATTGTAACAGTGGGTGCACTAAGCTTCGCAACCGGAGAAATGACGAGACTAATCCCCCAACCGAAGATTTTATCCTCTGGCCCCCAAAGATTTTCCAAGAAACTGCTTGAGGCAGCAACACCAAGCAATCCCTTAGGAGCTCAGCTGCCAACTGAGCTACCCTTGGGGGTTGAAAGAATTAGTTTTAAAGTGTTAATTTATGTTTGAGAATAATATTTCAAAGAGTAAATTTGAAATAAATAATTATGTTTGAATGATAAAATAATAATATAATATTAAAAATTATATAAGTTTTGCACTCAAAATAACTTTTACACAATGAAAAATAAAATAAAAATTACATCTACCTCAAAAATGATTTGCAAGAAATCATAAAAGCTTATATTATATTTTTTAAGTGATATGAATTAATAACAAAAATTAATAATTTAATAATATTATGTGAGAAATGAGGAATAAATATAATATGTAATCAAAAAATATTTTTCAACACTAAGTGAGAAAATGAGGAATGAGGAAGAATATTTTAATACTAAGTGATATTAATACCATCTTTTTCAACACTACGTGGGGAAAAATTAAAAATATATATTTAGCGCTTATTCTTAATTTTCCCTTCATTTTGAACTTTAACCCTAAGTTGTCACTTTTCAATTCGATATTATTTTGTTTATGTAATAAATTTTTTAGATACTAGTCTGACATTCTTTAAAAAAATATCTGATACAAGGGGTTTAGATACTATAATATTGTTTTGGAAAGAATATCTGTTTAGGGCTTTGGGGTTGTAATTAAGGGCTACCTGATTTTAACCCTACGTTTTGTATTATGATTTTACGTTTTATGATTTTTCATTTATATTCCGTTTTTAGGTAAAAACTCGTTTTTAACTACCTTGGTCTTAGCTTTGTCCATGTTAAATCTCTTCAAAATTTTCTCAATGTACTTTTCTTGACTTAGCTACAATAGCTTTCTTTGTCAGTCTCTTATTATCTTGATTTTAAGGATTTGCTTTGTAGAGCCGAAGTCCTTCATAGCAAAGGATGAGCTCAATGCCTTCTTTAGGGTGACTATCCTCGATTTGTCTTGCCCTACAATTAACATGTCGTCAACAAGTAAAACAAAATTAGAAAGTCTCCAACGTCATACCTCTTAACGTATACTCAGTGGTCGGCCTCCGTCTTTATGAACTTGTGCTCAGTCATGAAGAATTCAAACTTCTTGTACCACTACCAAGGTGCTTGTTTTAAGCCGTACAGGCTCTTATTCAGTTGGTAGACCTGATCTTCTTTTCTTGGAGCTCAGAACCCTTCTGGTTGCACCATATATATTTTTTCTTTAAGATCACTGTGAAGGAATGCGGTCTTCACATCCACTTGTTCAACTTCAAGGTGCTTTGATGCTGCCATAGCTAATACAGTTCGGACTGAAGTCATTTTCCTAACAGGATAGAAAATTTCTTTAAAATCAATTCCTTTCTTTTCATTATAGCCTTTCATACAATTCTGGCCTTGTATCTCGACTTTTGGCGGTTCTCTTTATGCTTAATCTTATAAACCCACTTATTTTTTAGAGCTCGTCTCCCTTGAGGCTACTCGGTCAACTCATAAGTCTGATTTTCAGGCAATGACTTAATCTCGTCCTACATTGCTTTCTCCCATTGTTTTTTGTTAGAGCTTGTCATGGCCTCATCATAGCTTGAGATGCTCCATCTTCAGCAACAATTGTGTATTCTTCAGGTGGATACCTTGTAGAAGATCTTATCACTCGAGTAGAGTGTCTGGGTTGTACTTAAGGTTAAGAGTCAGGCTCATCATTCTCATCTTGGACCTTAGAATGACCTGCATCTGCTTCTCTTTCTTTATCTCATTCTACAGGTGATTCTTCTTGTTGCTAGTCAATTTCTTGATTGCTTTCTCCCTCTACTTTAGCTTGGATAGGAGGGACAGGTTCATTACTTCGGGTAATAACCCAGACTTTGGGCTTCGAGGTGTCTTTGATTGTCTCGTCCTCATGGAAGACTACGTCTTGGCTTCTCACTACTTTTTTGTTGACGGAATCTCAAATTCTGAATCCGAACACACTTCTCGGCGAATCGAGGTATATGTATTCTTTTGTCATTATGTCAAGTTTCGCCCTCTTTGGGGATATGCACTAAAGCTTGGCATCCAAACACCTTTAAATGATCAAAGGTCGATTTCCCACCTGACCATATTTCTGTAGGAATTTCTCCTTCTAATAGCCGTGAAGGTGATAGATTAATCAAATCAATAGTAGTTCGGACCGCCTTTCCCCAGAATGATTTCAGTAACCCGACATAGGATAACATATTTCAGACCCTTTCTTCAATAGTCCAGGTTCCTTCTCTCAGCAACTGCATTCAGCTAAGGAGTCTTTGGGGATGTCTTCTCTTATCTTATCTCGGCCTATCTGCAGTAGGCATCAAATGGGCCATAGTGTTCACCACCATTATCAGAACGGATCACCTTCAGTTTCTTGCCAGTCTCTCATTCCACCATTGTATGAAATTCTTTAAAAGCTTGGAGTATCTGGTCTTTAGATTTCAAACAAATACAATCACACTTTGCAAAAATGATCATCAATAAATAAAATAAATTATTGAGCTTCGCCAAGTGATTTTTCTGACATGGAGCAAACATCAGTGTGGATGAGATCAAGAATATACTTCATTTGGGTTAATTCGATCTCACAAAAGAAACCTAGTTTTGTTTTCCAACTAGGCAGTACATGCAACTCTTCAGCACTTGATCCTTCAACCAGGTTAGAAGTCTTTTCTTGTTTAAGATTTGGATTCTTTCTCGCTCATGTGGCCGAGACGCTTATGCCACAACTCCATACTAGGTCCATCCTGAACAGAGTTGGCTTCTCCACCATTGATTTTTTCGTGCATAATATACAAGGAGCCTTCTTTCTTGCTTCTGGCAACCACCAAGTTTCCCTTAGCCAATTTCCATCTTCCGCCTCCAAAATAATTCACTAACCCGATATCATCAAGTTTTCCTACTAAGATTAAGTTCAATCGCATGTCTGGCACTTGCCTTACTTCCTTCAACGCAAGTTGACATCCGATGTCTATGGTTAGGGTTACATCACCGACTCTAACAATCTTGTTTATAACTTGATTATCCATTTTCATAACTCTGAAATCAATGAATCTGTAAGAAGAGAAGAAACCTTTGTGTGGAGTAACATGAAAGGAGGAACCGGAGTCTACGATCCAGGAACAATCATCATAAGCAACATTCAAAAAATTATCCTCACCGAGGAGGAAGATCTCGACATCAGTATTGGCAGCCATCGCAGTGTTGCTCTTGTCTTCTTTTCTTCTTAAGCTCAATTTGATCCGACTTCACATTGCCGTTCTTTTTTACTTTCTTCAGAGTTCGGACTTCTTACGGGAAAGCTTCCCACAATAGTAAATCAATTCATACTTTGGCCTAGACTAGCCTCTGGACTTGTCACAACCTCGACTCTTGCTATGAACCCGGAAGTCGGATTTTCCTTGATTCTTAGCATCGTTAGCCTCAGACGTGCTGGATACACCGTGTTCTCTTTTCCTGGATTCTTAAATCACGAGGCTGTCAGTCACCACGTCCATTGTCAACTTTTGTTTAGAAGCTGAATTGCTCAAAGTCACTACCAGAGTATCCCATCTTTCTCGTAGCAAAGTCAGAAGTAGCAGAGCTTGCACCTCGTCATCAATTTTTATCTCGGTTTTGGAAAGCTGATTCACGATTCCTTTGTAAGGGTTGAGTTGTTCAATCATACTCATGTCATTTTTCTATTCGAGCTTCACAAGTCAGCAAACCAGGTGCGCTTTGTTCTTGAGAGTCTTTTTTTGTATAATGGATATCAGCTTCGTCCACAACTCATACGCATTTATGAACTTAGAAATCTGCTTAAAGAGGCTTTTATCGATGTACTTTCTAATCATGGCCACGACCTTTCGATTTAGGATTTTCCATTCCTTCGTGTTCTTTTCTTTTGGTCTCATCTCACTGAGGATGGGCTTATAAAGGTCTTTGCAGAACAAGTGATCTTCCATCATCGGTCTCTAGTATGCGAAGTTGTTGGTTGTCAACTTGAACATGTCTCCGTCACGAGCAATATCACTGGTCTCTATCTCGTCTCCTTCAGAACCCTTCTAACTCGGGCTCTGATACTACTGTTGGGACGTTGAGCTCGGAGCTTAGCATTTCGAGGTCGGCCTGAAGTCAGCAGGTCAGCCAACTCGCAGAAAACTAAAAATGCAAAGAAAGAGAAACATAGAGGAAACATAGCAAGTTTTAACATGAAAAACTTTCTCCAATGCAAAGAAGTAAAAATCATTGGACACTAGTCCAGAAAAACTTCCACTATGTAAGAATAGGATTACAAGGAGATCAAACTTCTCTAGTCATACTAGAGGTACATTCAAGATTCACCAACAATGGTGGTTACAAGTCCTTCTCCAAAGAGGTCTCACTCAAACTTCTCTCCAGAGGGTTTTCTGACAAAAGCTAAGATCATCTATTACAAAGGTTTTCATGTGTTTATATAAGGTGAGGGGAACCTTACACTTTCTTTTAGAACCTTCATCAATGATTGAGTGGACATCATTAATTGAGGTGATTGTATAGACATTGAGCCATGCACCCATTAGTGTGGTGGATGCCTTAGCCACTAGCATTAAAGGAAGGAACACACCTGTATACGTTTGAGCCCATCAACCCAAGTTGTGGGTCTATGTCCCACGATCTCCTAAACGCTATCATCTCACCCTTGTCCACCACATGTGAGATTCTAGCTCTAAACTGCTTTCCACCTCTTGAACTGTCACTAGAGGCTTGATATAGGCTAGGATATATAGGGACAAAAAGAACAAGCTACTACGATTTATAGAATAACTAATGTTATCTTCAAAGCATTCACTATCTTCTCTACCATTATTCCGTAGATACAATCACTAGCTTTTCAGCTAGTTATTTATATTCAACTTTCAAACAAACATGATCAAAATTTAGCCTCGTTTGAAAAAATGTTCATCTACTATGAATTGGTTTAATTTTATATTTTTAAATTTTATCTAAATTCAAAATTATAGTTAATAATAATAAAAATAATAGGTTGTTTTGAACATGTTGCTTATCTTTATTAAAAGACAATATCACAATTATAACTAAAAATGTTTATACTTTCAATTCAAGTTATGTAATTATGAATTTATCATGAAAGTTATAACTCAAAAGCTTTTTAAAACATTTTGTATAAAATAAATTAATATAGGGAATAAGATCTATGCTTTTAAAGCAAAGAATTTCTCTCCGCCACATGGAGAAATTGTAAAGAGAGATAGCAGAAATCAATAAGAGAGAAAAATATAAATGGTGACCCACTTCGTTTTTGTTTATGCGTCAAAGAGAAATTCTCTGCTTTAAAAGCAAAGATGTTAATCCCATTAATATATTGTCATACACCGCATCACTTTATTATTTAAGTTGACCCTATTAAAATAGGTACAATGCAATTTAAGAATATTAAATAAATATAAAAAAATTAATATGCTAGATATTTTGGATTTTTTTTTCAATTCATGGATTGTTGTTGATGAGTTCGGTCCACATTTAGCCGGAGATTTTTTTCAATGTACTCTAGGAGCACAATACTCTTCGGTGGTCCTTTACTAAAAAAGAAAATATCATTTTTCGTTTATATCCTCTATTTCCTTCTAATTGTCTACGTTTACATAAAGGGTTAATAGTTTGGGGGAGAAATTATTAATTTTCTTCATAAACAAAAAAAGATAAAATCTACCACATTAAAAACAAATAAAGTTGGTACAAATCTTTTATGAGTATGTAGGAGGGGATGTTTCATACCCCTTACCGGGTGTTGTTATGTATGGAGAATCTGATATAAATGTTGAAAAAGTGGGATAGGTAAAATATGTTAACCATGTTTGGTATGTCTTGAAATTATAAAATATCGGTATATTATTTTTTCCATGCATTTTGTTTTGAACTAGGCAATAAAAAAAAAGTTGCCATAAGGCGTTTGGTAGAGGAGAATTTTTTTTTTATCTGGGAATCACGATTTCCAGGAATAAAATGAGAAAATGAGTTTTCTGAGAATGTTAACAAAAAGTTGTTTGGTAGATTAAAATATTCCGAGAAATACTGGATTAATTTTCTTAATTCTATGTTTAGTTGTATTAAATTTTTTCTTGCCATAAAAATCCTAGAATACCACCCTTTGGATAGTATTCCTGGATGGTATTTCAAAAAAAAAAAAATCACACAAAATATGAAGAAAAATGAAGAAAAAATTAATCAAATTCATTCAATTTTTAGGCGAAGCATAAAAATATTGCTTTAGCAAAAACAAGACTATTATTCCCTTTTTTAATTCGGTTGATAATATCACTGTTTAATACTTAGCACTTAGCAGGGACCGATACAAACAGAGATAGAGAAACAGCATGAATGTTGGTGTATGTTGTGATATGCATTCTTCTGCTATCTGTTGCACTGCCGTTTCACCTTACCATCTTGGTCGTTTCAGCACCGTTCGGAACCCTAGCCAATTTCGCGCCAAATCCTCTCTGCTCATTGAGAAACAGGAAGCCCAAGTCGATTCCGACGTGAAGCCCTTGTCTCGCCGCCTCATTCTTCTTCGCCATGCTACCAGTTCCTGGGAAAACCCTTCTCTCCGCGGTAACCATCCATTGGAAAAAAATAAAAAAATCCCCAAACTTGTTCTGAATTTTCGCTTTTGCCCTTTTGAAACTTTTGACTTAAAGTTCCAAACTTTACGTGGTGGGGAACATTCCCATTTGTGAAATTGAAATGGAAACGGAAACTGAAAAGTGTTGTTGCTTCTAGGTAGAACAAATTTTAGGTTTCTGCTTTGTGCAATTTCAAGTTTAAAGTCTCATCAAACTTTATCATCCATGTGAATAATGTTTGTTTTATTATGCTGCTTGGTCCTAGGAACATGTTCTTTTTAGAATTTGAAAGGAAAGTGTATTTTGGGGTCTAAAGTGGAAACATGGTTTTTTTTATGGCAGACCATGACCGGCCTCTGAGTAAATCAGGGAAAGAGGATGCTGTGAAAGTTTCCCGCAAGCTCCAACAATTGGGTTGGATTCCTGAACTTGTCCTGTCTAGGTTAGGAATTTTGTGGTTGTGGTTTCTTCTGTGACATTGGATTAGGTTGACTGTTTTTGAAGGCTCATTGGGATGAATCTTGTTCTGAGGTTCCTATATTGGTTTCTGTTATTGCAGTAATGCGGCACGGACTAAGGAGACACTCAAGATAATGCAGGAGCAAGTTCAGGAACTGTTGGAAGCTGAGGTTCATTTTGTTTCTAGTTTCTATTCAATTGCAGCCATGGATGGGCAAACAGCGGAGCACCTTCAAAAGGTTATTTGTAGATATTCAAGGGATGAGATACTTACTGTCATGTGAGTATATACATATTCCAGCCTTTTAGGGTGGTTTCTAATTTTTTTTTGAAGGTGTAGGTTGAGGATTGAAGCCACATTAGAATTCTCTAGGATTTCAAGCCCATACTTAATGAAGCAATGTCCAGCTCATTTTCAAGAATTCTCTAGGAGCCCTTTATTTTTTTCTGATAATATCTTTTCATTTGCTTTTTAAGAAACAAATTTTGATACTTAGTAACTACTATTGATAAGATCTGAAGGATATTTGATCGTTGGGTGGTATGGTTACAGGTGCATGGGACATAATAGGGGTTGGGAAGAGGCAGCCTCAATGTTTTCTGGGGCCTCTGTGGAATTAAAGACATGCAATGCTGCACTACTTGAGGCTGCTGGAAAATCTTGGGATGAGGTTTGATTTCATTACCTTGCATGACTGCATACATTGATATCTGCTTTCAAGTCAAGTCAATGAGACTTGACTTGACTTGATGAAGCATATTTTAATGCTTGTGTTCACCTGTGTTGAACACAAGTTTTGGAAACAGACTGTTTGTGTTCAGTTATCTAACATAGTACATAGTATCTTACAGGCATTTGCTGCAGCAGGATTTGGTGGGTGGAAGCTTCAGGGCATAGTAAAACCAAGTAGCTAACTAGTTACAAATAGAGATGCAAAAGAGAAAGTTGGAAGCATGATTACTTCATTTAGGAATCCAAAACGCCTCTTGTTAGGTTAAGGCTACAGAGCAGATGACTTCTGAAAGCAGACTAGAGGGAAGATCGAAAATGATGCAAAAAGACTCATATTCATATATATATCTGTTTAATTTGGCAGCTATGGATTGTTTCCATGGAGATTCAAGATGAGGCCTCCACATGCTACTTAGTGTGTAGCCTAGACGTTCATTGAGGTGAACTCATGCTGCTCCCTGGTTGCTGGTACATTCAGGTTAAACACACCTTCAGGTTTCCCAAGAAAAATAAAAATAAAAAATGCTTCTGGAAATCATGTGTTGCGGAAAAGATAAACATTCCCCTTTTCTCCATTCTCTTCTTCCACCCTGATAATATATTTCGAAATTGCCAATATGGTATTGGTTAATGATTATCAGCAACCTAATAGACACAAGAAGCCATGGCTTATTTAAATATTTTGTTTCCTAAATCAACTTGTGTAGATTTCCTCGTGTAATGAAAAGTTTAATTATTAGTTCAAATGATTGACGAAGAATTGGTTGGTTTCGTGTTTCAATGCAAGAGGGACCTAAATACAGAAGAATTTTAAAATTTGTGAAGTTTCATAAAGTTCAAAATGAAAAAGAAGGAACAAGCCAATGAAAGTAGGTTTGTTTCTATGCAGTGTCATTTTCTTTTTTTTTCAATTTAAGTTGTTTCGGACGAATTTGAAGTCAAACTCATGCCTTCTGACTTTATATATCCATCAATCTTGCTTCATTTATGGTACCATAAATTAAAATATCAATAAAATTTATTATAGTATAATGCATGGAAAATTGTGACCTCGTGTGAGAAAAGGAAAGAATTATTTTAATAATGATTGACCTTCGCATTATAATGGTATGTTCCTCTCGAGGTGGAAGACCACTCACGTCATGAGTTTCAACCTTAATAAGAAAATAAAATGAGAACTTGCCCTCTAAATTTTGCTCATCACTTTTTCTCATTGATGTTTAGTGTATAAATAACTTGTGTCAGGTATATGCTATGAGATGATTGGAGATATTAACTAATTAATATACTAGTATAAAAGTAGTGTGCAAAATTTGGTATGTAAATAACATAATTGAATAATGAAACATTGCTTGTGTGCATTGTATTGAAAATTTAAGAACCTGAATTTTAGTTATAAAAAAAAAACTATATTTTACATAATAGCTAATTTGAGAGGAAATAGAGAATAATTTAACACATTTTCTATGAAAATTCATTTGAAAATTAAGTCTAATTTATGAAGTACCTGAACTTGAATTATGTATTACTCAAAATGATTTAATTTTTTTGTTTTTTAAACTCAACAAGTGAAGTTTGTTATAGTGTATAAATAAAATAGTGCCTAATATTAGATTTTCAAGAAAGTAAAACGTTATAGTAAATTTTCATCATATTAATATATATGTTCATGTTGTAAATATATATTTTGTTTCGACTAGATAATTGTTACACATAAAAAAAACATCAAGGACTCGAATTGGTAACTTCTAAAATTGAGATCCTCACGAATTATTGCATCTAAAGCTCAAATAACGAAAAACACTCATGTTCCATTTTGTTGTTAATGTTTCAAATTTTCTAAACTTGGGCTATCATTAGTTCAAATGCATTAACAAACAGAAAACGCTTCTTGTTATGAAATGTACCTAAATTGAATATTACATTAATTGCACTGCGTGTGACTCCTACCAACCTTCATAAATAGTTAAAACTTAAAAGAGCAACAACACTAGGCGGATAAAAAAATAAATAATAATTTTGATGTAAAGTTGTTAACATTAACATAATTAACATAAATAGTTAAAACTTAAAAGAGCAACAACAACAACGTTTGATGTAATGAATAAGAAACAGAAACAAAGACAACAAATTTTAAGGAAAAATCTAGCTGGCTGCTTTCTTGGTTACGTGGTTTCCCATTTCCGATGATTTCTCCCTCTCAGTGAATTCCAAAGGACAAACGAAGAACGACGATAGAACTCTCTTCATTTTCAATTTTCAATTTCAATTCCTTTGCAGCTTCGCTTACTATTCAGATTCAGACACACAAGCATACCCTCTTCTCCCATTCTGGTAAAGTTGTTTTCTTTTTATTCTTCTCTTTCCATTTACCCTCTTGTTGCCATTATTCATGGACATCAAATGTGGGATCTGACTAGGAATTATTGTCTACCCCACATTCTTGCTTTTTGAGCTTTTACCATTTCCTACACTTTTTTTTTCTCTGTTTCCAATTTGGGACTATTCCATGGGATTCATCAAGTGACTGAAGTTTGAAATTTTACCATGAATAAAGTTGCTGCAATAATGGTGGAAAAGGAGGGGTTAAACGGAACTTTTTTTTGGGGTGAAAATCTCTGGATTACTGTTCATTTTCTATGGTTTTTCTAGAAGCAGCTTTTGTAAAATTTCGGGGGTATTTGGGTCTGGAAATGCTTTTTAGTTTATTGGGGGTTATTTTATGTTTCTTTTTTTTGGCTTTTTTCTTTTTCCTTCTCTCTTTCTCTTTCTCTTTCCTACACACACACACACACACATGATTACTTTGGACCAGCTTCCTTGTAAATTTGAAAACATTTTGGTACTCTACTACTGTGTTTCACACTGTTTGCCTTTTGATTCAAAATGTCACCTTCTTAGTAGCCAGTTGGTTGTTGTTTCTTACCGAAATTGGGCATTAATAGCTTGTGTTGGAAATAATTGTCCTTAATTAATGTCTGGCATCCAAATTCAGGAGCAAGGTTCTTCATATCTTGGGAGGATTTGAGATTAAGGTACAGTTCAAGGAGCTTTCATTTGTTTTGAGAGATGGGGGAGAATTGACTTTGAGCTTCTCAGAGACTCCGCTCTACTTGTAATCTCATGCAGCGGAGCTTCTCTGAGCTACATGTATAAGCAAGATGATTGAACAATTCATAAATTTCATTATTAGGCCTCCCAGGTATTACTTTTTACTTTACTGGTTGGTGGCTTGGCACTTTTTTATTTGCATTCCAAACTTGACAACTTAATATCTTTTGAGTCTTGTTGTATTGTCAATGAGGACTAGTGTGTTCAAGCTAGTAGATTCTTATTTTCATTTGATTGAAATTCGCTCTACACTGTATTGTGTTCAGCTGAACATGCCTCAATCATCTTGGAAGAACTATATGAGACAATTTTCACTATAGACTTCAATTACTGCTGTTTTCTAAATTTGTTTTCTTTTATTCGACTAAGGCAAATAGCTAAGTTCACCTGCATCCATTGCTCAACTTGTGGTTATCTTTTTTCAAGCCAATAGGGTTACAGTTTCAGTGTATCTACTTTGTTACATATACAGGGCTGAGTATGATCCAGAGCAGTATCTATGGGAAAAGGAATTCACCCTTGCAGGAAAAACATACCAAAGGCAGGATTTGGAGGCAAGTATGGACGTGTTTTGTTAGATACAATTACTATTATCCATTTTTAGAAGTTACTTCATGATTACAATTTACAACAGTTTGTTGAAGACTAGATTATCTTCCCTTTTTTTTAAAATCTTGCAGCTCAAGAATGCCAGAGGCTATACCTTGCAGTGTAGTCATTATCTCCCTTCACCTTTCCCTGAAGATACTTCTCTTCCTTGTGTTATATATTGCCATGGAAATAGGTATTTCAATTTTTATGGACAATGCTATTGCTGTTTATAAGAGATTCTGTATGGCTCTGAATTAAAATCATGAATATAATTTTTCAACATTCTATATTTTCAGAATGGCACGCCCATTCATTCTTCTATCTTTTGATATGTGTGTGTATGTACAATGATGCAGTGGATGTAGGGCAGATGCCAATGAAGCTGCTGCTATTCTTCTTCCATCAAATATTACTGTTTTTACTCTTGACTTCTCAGGGTCAGGCTTATCTGATGGAGACTATGTTAGCCTTGGTTGGCATGAAGTAAGTTCCTTCTTTTGCATATATTTATTTGTTTAATTAGTTTCCGGCATTATATCTTTTATGCATCTGCCCAAGTTGCCTCTTGAGTTTCTGCATATTACATCTTTTGCAAAACTAACAATGCAACTCATTGATAAACTTGCATGCTTAGTTGTGTAATTTTCCTGTATTGTTTTCACATGTTTAATGTTTCCTGTTACTTTTTTTTAATCCGTGAGGAGCTTGTAAACTCTTTTATTTCTCTTTTCCTTTATGTGACAGAAAGACGATCTCAAGGTGGTGGTGTCGCATTTAAGAAGCAACAAACAAGTATCTCATATAGGTCTCTGGGGACGATCAATGGGTGCAGTTACTAGGTATTACGTCTTCCAACAAACTTTCTGTTTTTTGTTGATTTTAGTAAGAATTTCTGTTCTATACACTTTTATTATATCTATATATGTAGGGTAGGGATAGAATCAATTGACACCAGGTGTCAAATCTTACACCAAATCTTTTCCATTCATTTTATTTCCTCTTAAAGACTGCTATTTATTTATTTATGAAATCACGTGACCCTAACAACAAACATGCACTTCAAAACCAACACAACAGAAAAAAGAAAATACCAAAGAAAAAACACCAACATTGGAAGCTCCTTTCAGTCTGTTGCAGTATGAAAGAAGTGTTATATTTGTTGTTAGGGTCACACGATTACTTAAATAAATAAATCTCAGCCTATAAAAGGAAGTAAAATTGATGGATAGGATTTGGTGTAAGTATAAAATTTAACACATGGTGTCAATTGATCCTTTCCCATACACACACACACACACACACACATTTTTGAATACTAGAATTAATAGTTTATATTGGCCACAAAGATGGCTTTAAACCTAAGACTTAAGCTACTGGGTGTTTAAGTATCCCTCCTCTGTTCCATATACATGTGATTTTGAGCCATCTGTTATGAGAATCTCCAGCGTAATTGACTACTCACTTTGCTTTGGTGTGGTGTAGCCTTCTTTATGGAGCTGAAGACCCTTCTATTGCTGGAATGGTGTTGGATAGTGCCTTTTCAAACTTATATGATCTGATGATGGAGCTAGCTGATGTCTATAAAATTCGACTTCCAAAGTTCACTGTACACATTCTCTCTTTCTCTCTCTATTTGTAGACATAGAACTTGAGATCCCACCTCCCCCTTTGTAGTAAATGTGGAATTAAAAAAGAAAAGAGGATTGCCATGTGGTTCCCTCATAACTTTCTTGAAGTGATACGAACCTGTAGAGCATGATATCTGCCACAGGCGGTGCATCATCAATCTAAAATTTCTCTGGTTGTAAAAGATTTAACTACTGCACTTTTATAAGTCATCGCAATATGCTGTTCAGTTGTGCTGCCAGAGGAGGTTAAGCTGTTGTATTTTCTGGTTTACTTTAAGAACCTTTTATTAGATATGGTCATCACATGTGAACTAGAGATCTGCTATGCAGCTTTGCTTTCACACCATTTTATACCTATTCTACTAGGTCTATACTTGTAATTGAATCAGGCAGGCAGAAGTATTTCTTTAGTTCGGGTGAAAAATCCTTGTCTGCACATTGTTTACCCTATTCGATGAACTTTAGCAAGGCTCTTCTGATATGCAAATTTATTATATTAGCCAATCTGAGCAATGGGCATCATAGTTTTATATAGGCATCTTAATTTAATTTATTTTTTCCTTTTTTGTTAAAATGGAAAAGGGAATGCCAGAGAATGAAGAATACTGTTAAGTGTTAACTTTAAATAAGATTTTATTCAGGATTTGGAGTTCCTTACCTTTTAGGTTTTTTTTTTTTTGAAATTTTTTATTATGAAAATTAGGGATTTATTAATTACGACATTTTTGGCATTAATTGGTAATGATATTTCTATATTTTTGTAATTTCTCTCTTTTTTATATTTTTGGGGGAGGGGGTGGCACATGTTTCATTAATGAATAAAACTGATCGATGGAATTATTGGGAAAAATGGCTGTTGTTTGAAGTGACAAGGGAATACCAATATATGTTGTTTTACGGTTCTCTGAGTATGTATCTATGCATCAGGTTTTCAAATAGTTGTAGGTCTTGTATTTTTCCTTCCTTGAAATTTGGATGATTTATGTCTTGTTTGATTGAATTGACTGGGAATGGGATGATTCTTTAATATCTGTGAAGGGTTCAGGGTAGAGTCTTTCATCTTTGCTTTCTCGTCATGGTTGGCATTGTTTAGTTTTGCATTTATATTTATTCCCCTTTCATTTTTCAAATCCTTCTAGATGAGCGGATCTTGAAAATCAATGGCCATTCAACTTAGATTGTCTTAAGTGTGAGTCCCAACATCATGCTCCCCCAAGGGAAACTTTTGCGGAAGTCTCTTCTCTTCAAGTATTGTAGTCACACTAGCCTTCTGCAGAGGCTCTGATACCACTATTAGAATGGTACGAAGGAGCCTGAAACCCTTTGCAAGGGAATCTTTTAGTAATGGGCCAAATGACAAATCACAATAAGTCGGCTAACACCACATTTCAACCCAAAACTTTAAGGTTGTAGGTCAATGGGTCTTTTTGTATTTATATGGTCCTCACTTGGTTCATTTCTATGTGGTATCTCACTTAGTTCATTTTCAACATTGACTGTTATTCTTTGGACATTTCTAGATTTGGTTAATAAGTCTGAATTTTTGCTGCATTTGGTTCACAATTAGATCAAAATGGCTGTACAATACATGCGGCGGGTTATTGAGAAGAAGGCAAAGTTTGATATTATGGACCTGAACTGTTTGCTGGTATGGATTAATTCTGCAGGATTTTTAAAGAATGATGAGATTTTTCTTGATCTGTTCCACTTTTGAAATTTTAGAATTACTACTGCAAACTTAATTTATCATGTGTATTTTCACCTTGAAATCCTTTAGCATGTTTGGATTCACTTAATTGTTTGGGGAAAATTGCAATTTTTTTTAAGTTCTCTGAGGAAGATTTTGATGATAAGCTATTTTGAACACAAAATAAGCTAATCCAAACAACACTTAGTGTGATAGTATTTATTTTCTGGCTAAACAATTTGTCAAACAAAGTTATTTCCTTTCCATGACTATCTTAAATTAATGCTGTAAAAGCTTACAGGTTGCACCGAAGACATTCATTCCCGTTTTATTTGGACATGGTAATGATGACGAATTCATTCAGCCTCACCACTCTGATCTTATCTCTGAATCTTATGCGGTATTATTTCAAACCTTTGGGCAAATGTTTTTAAAACAATTTGCAGTTTTGCACTCCTTTGGCATTGTCAAAACACCTACCTTTTGTCTTGTAGGGAGATAAAAATATCATAAAATTTGATGGTGATCACAACTCCTCTCGACCACAGTTCTTTTATGATTCAGTTTCCATTTTCTTCTACAATGTCCTCCGCCCTCCTCACATTCGTATAGCTCGTAAGCTTGAGAAATATTACAATTTGGGGGATTTAAAACTTGGTTCTGCTAGGAATGAGGTAATTAGCATTTTGAATTTATTGTCTTGATTTCCTGCTTGATTAAGTATTGTCTTAAGTATATTTATCCCCATGACCACTGCTATTGGTCTATATTGATGATTCCACTAAAATGCCATCTCCGCTTTTAGAGAAGCCAGGTCTACAGGAAATATACCTAAATTTATACTTTGTGCCCGGAATTCAGTTTGGAACAAGTATAAGATGTTAACTGCCATTTCATTTTTTGGAAATTAAAAAAGAAGGGAAAACTCCAGCCATAAATGCTCTCTAGCTTTGCGAGGGTAGGGGTGAGGGTTGATTGTACACGGTTTTTCCTTTGTATTTTTGCAAAGAGGCTGTTTCCTAGAATCGGTGACCTTCCGGTCACAAATGAGCAACTTTACCACTTGCTTGAAGGCTCGTCCTCTTTTTCATTTTTTGGAAATATTAATGGCAAATATTATTATGTAGGTATATATGGTCATTTGATTCAGCTTTATTATGTGGCCATTGTTTGAACAATAACACTAACTTGCTCTTGCTTTCATTATAGAGCCTGTTATATGAGATACTCTATAGTCTACGGTCTGCAATTACTGATGCTGCAAGTTCATCTTCTGCTCCTCCAAGCATTTCAAACTCAACCACAACATCAATTAGTGAATTTCTTTCAGAAGTTGCGCCTGCGACTGCTGCAGTAGGATGGCTCTTTTCATCTGTCCATGTTATTTTCATCCAAAACCTTTGTTCTGTTTAACTCATTAATTGCTTGTAACGCAGGATTCCATGATTAGAGAAGACACAACGCATGGCTATGATGAACCTGGCCATGATGAGCCTGCTAATGTAAAGGTGATGTTATCAAGTACCATCTCTGAAATTAAGAAATATTTCGGGGCTTGTTTAACCCCTAGATTGCACTATTGATATTACGGACTCTGTACAAGTGATATTTAAATTATTACAAGTTCGCATCTTCATTTTACTAGAAAAAATAAGTCTGAGTTGAGAAAATTTTGTTACATCCCACCCATTCTGTACAAGTGATATTTAAATTATTGATTGTGTAATTTTTATATTTCATAAAGTTTATTTACTTAAAATGATTTAGCCCATAAACCGGCTTATGCCAACCTGCTTCAGGTTGAACATGTTGCCCTGCAAGCCTTGACACGTTTTTTTACTTCTCAAAATTTTTGTTTACTTAAAAAGTATTTTTGTGCAGTAATTGTTTCCTATCAACTGCATTAGTGGTTTAAACATGTTGGTTTGTAGATCTTGACTCATTTTTAACTTGTCTCCTGACAATGACTTTTAATGATATAATTCTACAGGATGAGCAAAATGGCCTGCCTGAAGATTATTACTCATTTACTAGCTCAACTAGAGAAAGCTGGGGCAGATGTTCTTCTTTAGGACTCAGTGATGCAGAATCTTATGCAGATGTTGGTGGTGATGATAATGGTTCTGAGGTATCTCTCTCTCTCTCTCTCACACACACACACACACACACACACACACACACACACACAACATGTGCATGCAACACACAGCACATAATCTTTGATCTATTAATTAGTTTAAGATATAAAAATGATTTGGAGGCGACATGTGATACCAATGTGGTGTTTACTTGTCTGCTAGTTTATATCATGGTGTTGTGCTGTCTGCTTCTCATGCTTTATCTGTAGTAGACTATTATATTTTGTTGTTAATTCATACACTGACATAGGTGTTATGTGCTTCATTTTGTATATTATATCCAAATACTCTCAAGGTATTTGCAACAGCTCCGGGAAGCATGAGAGAAATATTGGCAGACCCAAAAGAAGTTGAAAAGAGTCAAAAGAAGAATAAAGCTGAAAAAGTTCCAAAGAAGCTTAGGTCTGACAGATTTGAGAGGTTGGAGTCCCTCAGTCGACGCCTGCGACTTTGCATTTTGAAGGGATCTGCCCATCGAAGACATAAGTCTCTTGACATGTCTTGAATGCTGTTGTTGTGTCATATAGTTCATCGAACTGTATTTGTTTTCATAACATCAATGTAACACTATTGTTTTTAGGCAGTCCATGAAATTCAACTTGTTTGTAGGTGGACTAGTTGGTTCTCTTTCTTTTTTTGGGTACTTGGTTCTCTTTTAGGAAATGTTCAACATGTACTTAAGTGCAAAAATAATGGTCTCTCTCTCTGGCTCTGCTTTCACTACTTGGTTTATGGTGGCAAGAATGTGACTCATTACTCTCCTAATTGCCTAGTGCTGCAATATCTACATTGGGGGCTTACTGTGCTTGTTATGTTGTGTGCCTGGATAGCATTACCAATTTAATATGAAACACTTAGATATTGGGTAACCTTTTCCTTTCACGAATTTCCAGCCCATTGTAACGGGTAATGGGACATAAAAATGTAGAAATGAAGCAAGTGACATTAATGTTTGCATTCACTTTGACATTGTATTCATAAGGATAACTAACAGACACATTAATGTTGTAATTTCGTAGGCCTTTGATATGAGAAATTCTTGTGCTGACTTAATAAATCAATAACAGACACATTATGACTTGATATAAAATTTTATGTAATTATTTAGTTAGTCTACATAACCCTTTGTCGACACAAATATTTCTCCTCTAATAGTCTGCCACAGGAAATGGCATGAAGCGTCCAAGATGTGGTTCCTAATCACTGTTGCACAATCTGGTTCATTAGATAGTACCCATTTCACATCCACAAAACGTAGCTTCTTGCCATTACCTTGGAGCCCAAAATGGTCCAAAACTGAAAAGATCTTAAGAGAATGGTAGAATGTCTTGGGTAGCATTTGGCATATGCTCTTCTGTTCTGCTTTATTCCATCCATTTTAGTGGAACTAAAATATATCAAATTGTGACCTTATTATATCTTGTTTTGTTTTGTTTTTAAAATGCAACAAACATAAAATAGAACACTTCTACTACGTTTCATCCGTTCTCGTCTACCAAACACTAATAGGGATTTACTTTTCCCTTAATATTTAAGGGTACAATTGATTCAATTAAACCAGATGTTCCGAACAACTAAAAAAAGAAAGTAGATCAAAGAATATTAGATTAAGACCACAAATAATCAGAATATGCATTTGGTTTGACAAATTAAGCATCCAAGTCCAAACCTGGTGTCTGCCAAAATTTCTCACATAACTTGAGGAATGTTGGGTTCTTTATTCATTATATAGTCCATATATTCTTATTATTAATATTTTTTATTGAAACAGTACAATATCATCTGCGAGAATTTCCATGCACACTTCTAAACATTACAAACTTAAACATATCTTTAGGTTTCAACATTGGCACAAACGAGTGGGGTGGTATGGTATCTCATCTGGTAGAATATACCCCAACGCTTGACCACACAGCACAGAACCGTAACACTAAGCATCTAAAGAATTCCTTTGGCTAGTCAAGAGATTATGTATAAACCTCCATCAGCCTCCCAGAGTCACCAACTCACCATGAAGAATGGGTAGTCTATGGAGCAGATGACAAGATGCTTTCTTTTAACCCAATTCAAATTAGTTCTCTAAATTTAATTAAAAGCTGGGTATTTAATCAAGTATTGAACTGAAAACTAAGAACCTTGGGAATCTATGAAGAACAGGTTCCTTCATCTATGAAGGAATACATATAACACAGAAACTAAGCTTAGAAGGATGATAGAATCAGACCTAGGGCACAACCTAACATGTTACACCAAATCACAGATTACTGCCACCAACCTTCTCCAATTCCTCACCACTTCTGGTAGATATACCCAAAGAAGGATCATATGGCTCTTGAGCAAGGAAAAGAGAGTTTGGTTGCTGGTATGATGGCATGCTTGACTCCAGTATCTGATGTGGAAGTACCATGTCTGGTTTAGAATATGCCCCCTCCATGCTTACTCGTTGCTTCTTGGTTGATCTCTCCATTTTAGGGCTGTCAACAGGGGAGCCAACAGGGCATGCAGAATCTGGAGTCAATGGTTCATGGTGAGATGAAAAAGATTCAATTGAAAGACTCTTTGCTGGGGCACGCTCTTTGGCAGCTTTTTCTGGGTCGGGGGTTGCCGGGTCAGTCTTATTATCAGGTTCTTGGCCAGGTCCCTCTGAAAGGACCCCACTCAGCCTCTGTTGCTCTTCAATTATCTTTTTCAAATACTTACCCTGGGCTTCAATCCGTAATTGTAGCTGTCTCTGCACCTGTTTCACAATAAAAAAATAGTCACAAGCTTGGCACTACAGTTCCCCATTCTGTCTATTCTGCCTTGATTCAAAATTGAGAAACTACAAAGGAGAGTGCATGTTCTATTTGTATTTATAAATAAGATGGAAATTCTCAGTCTGTAATAAGTCGAAGTCATCCAGAAAGGTTACAGATATTCCTCTACATTCACACGTACACGACAAGCATATACAACTTTCAAAAACTGGAAATTGTCTATATGATCATCATTAATATATGATGACTAACAGTGTGCTTCTCTTTTAGTGTGCCTATCATGTTTTGCTGTCAGCGAATTAACCATGCAGTACCTTGTTAAAACAATGGCTTTTCTACTACATAACTTACTCAGATAAGAACTAGTTTACTTTATTACTTGAAAAAAGATCTTCAGTTAGACATATAGTTAACAAATTATACTTATGCACTGCAAATGCATTCAAAATTTTATTCTCTTCTCCCTATATTTAAAAACTTGTATTTGAAAACCTTATAAGTACGTAAATTGTATTGTATATTCAAGTGAAATTTCAAAGCCCCAAATGCAAGTAGATTTCAAACCCCATTTGCATGTTGTGCAAGACAGCTTGGGTTACTATTGTTATTATCAAAAGTTTCAATTTGGAATCAACATTAGCCATTCAAGTTTCATCATGAGATATATACACTTGGATGTTACAACCTAGACTTTAATAATTATATAATAAAACCAATTTGTGTGACTGACATAAACAAAAAGAGCTAAATTAATATCATCACTTCATCTAACATGATTAAATGTAATAGAAATAAAAAATAATACAATCTGCTACTATAATATAGATAGTCATTACATCACTTAAAGAAAAATATACCTCCAATTGTTCATGTAGTCGCTTCTGCACCTCCATTTGAAGCTTTAGTGCTTCAGTAATCTGCATCCCACTGCAGACAGACAAGCCCACAAGTCAGTCATTTAGTCATTTTTTGTCTTATATCACCAGAACTCAATAAACAATCAAGATCTTTTGGTACAAAAGTCACATATTTTTCCCAGTAACACTTTGAGGCGTTGAACATGCTTAAATAGATGAAATTTATATATTGTTAACACTGGTGTAAATTTGACTCCAGCATGTAAAAGCATAGCTAACATGAATAAAAATATTTGGATCGCAAGCTTCCAACAACTTGTACAAGTATGAAAATCCAAAAGCAACCAAGGCAGCTTTACTCACGATGAGCCGTCTAGATTGGAAAGCATCTCCCCTGTTTCTTTCTTGTCGGCTTTTTTCCCCTCTATCAATTTAAAAAGTTATCATCAAACAAATCTAAAGGAGAAATCAAAGTAAAATGAATATGTTTAATGGACTAAGAACAATAAATCAGTAAGTCCTAAATATTATATACATGAAACATTTGAAACAACGAATAACAGATATGCATACCATCGGATGAGGAGTCAGGTAGGTATTTAGCTAGTCGGTATTTCTGGATGCAACAGAAAAGCAGAATGAATAAAGGTTAACAAATGAGAACAAAGGACATAAAGTTAAGAGGGCCTGAAGTTCATATTACCTGTAAATGGCTTTTGACATGATAAATAGTTAAGCCTGGTACACCCATAACTCTGAGGACACCTTTGGGAGTGGCACCTAGGATAAAGGATAGTTAGAAATTTAAAATACTTTTTATGATAAACAATGTAAAAAATAATGCTTAGAAGCTTGATAAATTCTTATTCTAACATTAAGATATCTAGCCAACATAAGTATTAGACATCTGATCAACATATGTAATCAATTATTCAAATGTTACTTTTCACATTATTATCTCATGAATTCATACAAAGAAAATTCTCATTTGATCACCCAATAAGTTATCTGGTAGTCATGCTGCATGCCCATCTGACGCAATTTTGCATGAAAATAATTACTTATGCACGTCCACATACACAGAAAAAAGAGAGGGAGATTACTAAAACTTCAAAAATCAGAGGTGATACACAGCAAGGAAATCTTCAGCAACAAATGTAAATTGGTGAGAATTAGGCACTTTTATTTTATAATCGGCTAAAAAATTTAGTGTTCTCATTTTGCTGAATAAATCGTTTTACGTTTGGGTGGGAAAACAAGAGAATTTTTTTTCCAGTTAACCAAAAACAGGGAGAAAATACTCACGATCTGGCCCGCCAAGTTGTGACACAGCATCAACAAAGCGCTCATGTAAATCATGTGTCCACCGTAAACGTTGTTTTGAAGAGAGATTAGAGTTGTTGCCGAGACTGTTTCCTCCATTGCCAGGTTCCATTGGGCTGCCACCACAATCTATGTGCTCACCATGAACTAATGAATTGCTTACAATTAAACTTGAACTAGGAATATTTTTTGGATGATACATTTGTCATTTATCTGACAGCAAAAAAAATAAAATAAAAGTGAAAAGAATGTAATATGGAATTTAATACTAACATCTCATACATAATTGAATATTGAAAGAGAAAGAAATAGGGGAAGAATCAGACATGAAGGCAAACAGAGACACATAAATATATCAGTTCCTCAAGATAGGAATACCTTTTAAGAGCAACCTTGAATTTTCCTAGTTCAAAAACTGTATAGTGTATACAGTTCTTTATGCATTAGAAAATTAACATATTCGGATCCCAAACCCTAATCAAGATCAGTACACCTCGCATATAGTTCAATCATGGAGTTACATTATACAAGTCTCCCTCAACCAACTTTTCAGATTGCCATTAATAAAATTTACAAAAGGGATCATTTAGCACTCTCAACACAAACCTTAACAAATACTTCCAGACATCCAATGGACCATTTAATCAAAATTTATAGAATCTTCATCACACCAATGACTTTCCATAAACAGCACTGACTGGTTAGTGTCACTATATCACAAATTAAGGATCAAACTGGTTCTCATTCATTTTCTTGCAAAGGTCTTCTTTATATAAAGCCTCTTTCTTCCATCATTTATTTCTTCAGGTGAGTTTCTAGGAGAAACTCAACTGTTTCCATGTCCACAAAACTTAAACCAAGTGATGTTAAGACTTCCTAAGTCATTTTAGAACTAGGTAAACTTTTCTTGCGTTTTTATTTGATGAAAGAAGTCTATAGAAGCACTCTATCTATCTTCAGAGCTTATATGAAATGGGATTTAGCTTCCTAAGGTCTTTTATAATAAGATCCTTTCGAAGTATTTTGCATTTTCCCAGACTTTGGATTTGTGCAAGACATACCTTTAATGCGGTGCCATAGAAAGTTGAATTAAATTTCTTATCTAGGCACACATAGAAGGACTAGCAAATACCAACAAGAATTTTGGACTCACGTATATTACTCCCCTAGAAGTAAAGTATCTATAATATGCCCCTTCAAATATCATCCAACTTCTGCAATAACTAAACTAGCATCTGTAGTATTGCGGAATATACACTAATAATGCTAGAAGTGGAGAATACAAACAAAGAGAAGCCCAATCATTGTTTCCCTATCATAAGTACCCAACCCCCCAAAAAATAAATAAAAATGTTGGAGTGAAAAATTAGATGTTAAATGAAGTTGATTTGTCCTTATACTTAGTAAGTCACAAAGATATCATTCTTATTCATGGAGAACTAAAAATTTAATATCATTATTGATATTTGCAGGAGAATTCATTCATCTGACGCAACCTACTAACCTCAGCAAATTGGGAAACAGTGTTAAAAGTTGACTAATTTTCATCAAGTCAATATGAATATCATGTAACACCCTCAAAAATTGATGTTTCAACACTTCACACATGGAAGAGAAGACCCATAAGACTCAACATGTCTAAAACAGTTGTAATAAACAAACCAATTAACATTTAAAAGACAAAAAAAAAAAAAAAAAAAGTAGCAGCAATTGGGTTTCTGGCCCCACAACACGAAGAACACAACGACTCTGGGACGATAAAAAAAAAAAAAAAAGTTGAAATTTTTTACATGTTGAAGACGAACTCAGAGAAATGTCCGATTTCACAGCACCAAGCACAAAACTTTACTAGTGGGAGCAATGGAAAAAAAATTGAAGTCGAATCTTAAAAACACAAACTTGAGCCTGAGGCAGAGACAGTAGCGTCATTGAGACGAAGCTCAAAGCAAAGAAGCCAAAAGGGTCGTCAAAAATAAAAACACACAAAGGAAATATCATACAGAACCAACCACAAGCTTCAGAGAGAGAGAAGGAAACAGAGTGATTGAAAACCAAAATTAGTGAAAGGGGAAACAAATAAAAAGAAGAAGATAGATACATACCCAGATCTACGAAATCCAACAAAACAACACATACAAATTTTCGTCTCCTCCAATTTCGGAGCTGTGTACTGTGCTCTGCGTTTTCTCTCTCTCTCTCTCTCTTCCTAGGAATACAATACAGTGATACCCTCCAATAACATTAATCTTTTTAGTTTATTATAAACGCAGAGATTATAGTTACTATTTTATTATTTTTAGATTAAAATTAAATTAACGAGTCTGATATTATTTTGTATCTATTAATTTGATTTTGATTTAACAATAATAAAATTAATATTAAGAGATAATAATAAAAAAATATAATAAGTATAATCTATTTACAATTATTATTATCAAAAATCTAAGAATTATAATGCAGAAATGATATTGTTCATTTCGTAATTATTTTTTAATAATGTACTCTTGAGAATATATACTTAAAAAAGATAATTTTAATATTATAATTATATATTCTTGAGAATATATAATTAAAGATGAGTTGCACAATATCCTGTAACAGGATATTCGATGCACTCTTATTATTTTATGAAATTAGTGTTTCTTATTTTCTATGTAGATAAAAATGTATGGCCTCTTTCAATGATATGTGAAAAAAGAGAAAATAAAAATATGAACCACACATATTTTTATACGTGTATATTTTATCACACAAATGTTAATCACATTATATTTATTTTTTGGCCTGCTAACATTAATCTTTTTATAAAATGGAAAATGGAACAAAAACAGAAACAAATTTCACGCTGTTTCTCTATATAAGCTCTTTCTCGCTCTAAATGCATAATGTAGATGTTCCGTAATGTAGAAAAAAACAGGACTGTATGAACAGTGTAGGAATTGGTCTATTGGTTTTTACCAACCCCACGTTCTTCCCTTCATCAACTCAAATATTTCAAAGCCATCCTTTACTCATTTTCTGGTTTTTATCCACCATTGACTTTATGTTTTTTTATTTTTTATTTACCTTCTTGCTAGCACTATTTGAGAAATTAGAAACTCTAGTGTGGTATTTTTTTTTATTTGGAGCGGATTTTGTGTAATATTTTTATTATTATAAGAAATAAAGTTTATCACCACATATAGCTTTAAAGCCTTAAAAAAAATTATTTTCAAATAAAGTTACCGTGAATAACTCAGCAATTAATATGTAGGGTTTCAATTTCGGATATATGAATACTAATAAATTAATGACTCTCAATTAATATTATTAAATAATTATAAATATTAACCGTAAAGAGAAAAATTTAGTAGATATAATTCCGTATATATATATATATATATATGGGAAAAATATTTCTAAAGCAATTTGAGATAAGTTTATCTCTGGCTACCCCAAAACTACGTCATTTTATTTATTTATTTATTTTCTTATATTAATTGATTTACTTTTGAATGGTTATGATCATCTTTTTCTCTCTCTTTTTCTTTATCACCATTGATCTTTGTACGGTTATGATTTAGTAGTCGGAGATAAGATTATCTCAATCAGCTTGAGAAACGATAAATATATATATATATATAGAGAAATGATCCGTTTACAAATTTTTTTTGAAATTTTTTACAAATTACACTATGTTCTCCCGGAAGAACATAATGTAACCAGTGTTCTCCCGGAAGAACATAGTGTATTTTGTAAGAGTTTGTAAAAAAAATTTATAAATATAAACTGTCCCGTATATATCACTTGTATAAGTAAAATTTATGAAATAACCACTCGTGTCCAATTTCACAATGATCTTATTATCTAAATTATGTTTTGTTATTTTAATTTTACTTATAGGTTTATTAGGTCTAGATTAATAGGGCGTTGTTTGTTCTTGTGTCTCATCTTCTCCTTTATTATATAACTTATATTTTACATTGAAAGTAAGTTTTAATAATAAAAAAAAACAAATAGGATAAGATATCCTTAACAAAGCCACAAAATATATCACAAGAAAAGCAAACAAGTAAATTTTTGGCATAAAAATGCTGGTTATGACAGTATATAGATTCTCTTTTAATAGTCCTAATCTGAAATGAGCTATATTAATTTTATACTTGTAGTAATTGACTTATAAAACGATTTACTTGACGCTTTAAAATTAGTTTTTATTATGTTTACTATATATTTCAGCCTTTACTTACAAACTCTTAAAAGAACAAAAAAAAAATCGAAAACCAATTCAATCCAAATACTTAGTTTGGATTGAATAATCTAGAACAAAATCAATTGGATGGTAAAATGGATGACTTTTCTCATTAAAACTAATCCAATACAATCTGCTAATTAACACCTCTATTTAATGCTTAATTAGAGTACTAATGCAAAGATTATTATTTAAGCTTTCAATCTCATCGTACGTTATATATATCTCCTTTATCACAATAAGTAATCATTACCATAATTAAAACATAAAGCATGTATTTAAAGACATCGCACCTTAATTTATGATCGTTCAACTCACATAATATCTTTACCATGCATTATCTTTTCCAATGTTCCTGCTATACAAGTACAAAAATGTTTCCCATGCATTATCTTTTCTATATTCATATATATTTGAAGATAATAAACAAGACAACAAGTTTAAATATAAGGTACTGAACCTAAAGATCACCCTTACTAGTTCTTAAGCTAAGATCAGGGGATATAGTAACCCCCAAAAAAATAAATTAAAAAAAAAGCAAGAAGAAGGAGAAAGCATACCTGATAATTAAGGAATAGAAGGAGATAGAGAGAGAGAGAGAGAATGAAAACAAGGTATCAGAATAACCCTATATTTGTCTAGTGAGTTTTATGTGGTCTTGTTTTCTTTGTTTTTGTTTTTGTTGTTGTTTTTGTTTTGTTTTGATTGGTGTGTGATAACATGGTGGGAGTAGTGAACTAGCTAGCTAGTCTAATAAGGTAATAGTTGTGAAGCTGAAGATGACAACAACGTCGCCTAGTAATCTCGACTATGATGGAATCTTCCATGTAATATTCCGATCCTTCCGTCCAATGATTCTTAACTTATATAAATAATATTATCGCTTACATACCTTAGTTGTTAAATCTATGATATATATATGAAACTTCATGCTTGGCAATGCATTTCATGATACCTTCTTATTTCTTGTCTACATCATATTATTTACTTTAGTATCGAATCTTATCTTAGACAAAATAATAAAAAAATAAAAAAATAAAAAAATTCCGGCAGTGTGGTCTCTTCACTATCATTCCTAATTAAACCAATGAAAGGCAATGCAATTACATAACATCCGAACTCTGTTTAGTAAATTCCTATTTATTAACCCCAACTTTCTTTTTTATTTTTAAACATTTGTTTTTTTTTTTTCCTTCTTCTATTTTTTACATCAATTAAAATGAAGTTTTTCAGGATTAAACTTGAGTCATCAAAGAGAAGAGTATCCACTCTTTAATTACTAGGCCAAACTCTCGAATGTAATATATATACTTAATATTCATTCATATTATCTAATTTCTTAAAACTTGGTAATTTAAGAATATTGTGGTGGCTAATCAATAACAATTGGTTTAAGTGGAAGAGAGTTGAGTTTTTTGAGATTTCTCATTTGAATCATATGAACGAAGATAATAATTTTGAGAGAGCCACCTAAAATATAGATCTAACAATACTCAAATCGAATCGGATTAAATCGGCTTAAACAAAAAAAAAATTACTGTGTTGGCTTTATGACATAATTATAACATTTTATGACACTATTTTAATGCACCAAGAGTAAATTAGAAATTGTGTTGTTTATAAATGATCTGGCACCAACTGTTATCTTCTTAATTTCTTCTAGATACCCCTTTCATATAAATGGTTGACTTCAGAATAAATGTACAAACTATGTAATTTGTCCAGGACGAAAACTTGCACATTTTTTTTTATAAATATTTTATTTTCAATACATAAAGTATATAATAAATTAAACTAGTCTCATGGATTAGGGTTCATAATAAATTAAAATTAGGGTTCATAAGGAAAGATCAAATAAAGAATTAGGGTTCATAATAAATTAAACTAGTTTTAATTTTGTTAACTGTTTTTTTATTGTATTACAACACTTCAACTTATTTATAAAATTTAGCTACAATATAACCCATGTAAAATATGTTTTATTAAAAACGCGTGAAAAAAAGAAAAGGAAAATTGTTGTCCTATATCAATATCTTACAGTCTCATGGATGTTGTGATTGAATTAGAAGGTATAGAATTTGTGTCTTAAAATAAAAGAATGAATTTTTTTTTCTTTCGTTCAACAAAATTTAGAGAGAGGGGACTTAGAAAATTCAAAGTCAATATGTGTGATAATTAAGTTTCAGTCAAGTTTTATAATGATAATTAAAATGACCTATCAATATGTAAAAGGTGGCATGTAAAGTTTACAAGACATTCAACTCTCAGACTTAAAAAGCTACCTTGTTATGTCATTGTTGTAAAAAGAATTCTACTATAGAAGGAAGTTGGTGTCAATAAGAAACATGAACATGAACATGAATATGAATATGAATATGGTGGAGTCGTTGAGAAGGTCGCTGGCCATCGATAATATTAACGATCAAGCTATTGGTGCCAAGGTCATTCGGATAACTTTGGTGCAAACCCGAATGAATATGTATTTATTTATCCTTAGCAATTTTATATTATCTTTAATACTAATTAATATAAGGATTTATTATTTTTCATGTTGTAAGAAATAAATTTATCTCCTACACACACATAAAAGTATATGAGATTGAGACTTATATTTTCTCTTTTTCTCTCTTCTATTCACATGAGTCTATATGAATCTCATATACTTTTATGTATGTGTAGAAAATAAAATTTATCTCTTATAACATAAGAAACATTAATCCCTTAATATAATATTTGTTCTGAAATGGTCCCATTTTGAATAATTCCTTTCTCCTGAGATTCCTATCCAACGATGGTACACTCACCAGTTAGCATCATTAACGTGATAATCAATTTTCTTTAACATAACAAAGTTTGATTCCACAAGCCACTTGCATCGTACAACCAATGGCAAAAGTGCTACAATTTCAATTCAAGCTGCAATTTTCATTTTTGTTTGACTTGCAGGCAGGCCAAAATTATGTCCCAAGATGTGCCAAAACTATGTCCCAAGATGTGCCATATAATATATTGATTTGGTACTAAAACCTCATTAAAAAGAAAAACAAATCATCAGATACAGTAAAGCATCACAAGGCAAAGGACCACTACCAATAAACATGGACGGAAATATCCACAAATCACGCCTAAAAACATAAGACTTGGTGAGAAACAAATATTTTGTTTAGGTGGAGGCATGGATTTTTGGTGAGAAACAATTATTCTGTTTAGGTAGAGGCAAGGATTACAAGTTAAGCCCGTTATAAAAAAATTTCTTTTTATTCATTGGGTCTCCTATCTCTAGTGACCCAAATATCAATGGTTTAAAATAATTGTTGAAAGAAAAAGTAGCTGGTTAGGATATTAAAACTTTGCTTTTTGCAAGTTCAACGCTGCTGAAAAGGTTCCAAGAGTTTACTGAAAATGACTCCACCTACTAAACTTGAAGATAAGGTCACCTCTTTATTCAGCATGAAGCAATTAAGCGATAAGCAATCCATAAACACCCTTATTTTGAATGATCAAATCTAGCTTTATGTAATGTTTAAAGCCACAGAAGTAGTTTATGAATTTACAAAATGGGATAAGTTGATTTCAACTCTGTACTTCCACTAACTTACTAGACAAGAAGAGGTCAGAGTTCAAGTACCTATCTAAAAAGGAATGAAACCCAAAGGTAATAAACTGTAATATGAAGGGATGAACCATCAAGTAGACCTTCCATCCCTACATGCCATACCTAGTTATTCCATGAGGATTACCTTGGGCTAGATTGATGGCTTGAGTTCTCATCTTAGCTTCACTCCAGATCAAAGGTGCTGCCATAGAGTCCATGCCCAGCATCCTCCTTTTACCCCCAGCTGGAGATCCTTCTAAAGTCAATCCTCCTGAACCCTCATGTGAGGTTAAACAACTTTCAGTTGAACAATCGGCCCTTTGGGGTGGGAAACTGGGTGGTATTTCTTCTTCTGGGACATTCAATCCAGCAACCTCAGCAGATGGCAAGGAGTAAAAACCAAGAGGATCAATCAAGGGACCTCTTGGTGCTTTACTTCCATTTCCTTGAAACTTTTGGTTGTCTGTGTCTATAACTGTAGCACCAATAAATTGATCAGCCAGCATCTTGCAAGCTCTTTCAAGCATGGCCATGTATCTCCGCTCCGCATCCTGGCGAATCTGCAAGTGCTTCTCTGCCTATAGTGTGATATTTTTTGAAAATTAGTAAGCATTATCTGCTGATCATTTTCAAAAGAATTTCTTAATAACGTCACTAAACTAAAGTATCAAAGCAGCAATTTGCCTCCGATTCACTCGATATGCAAATGTATTCTACCTCTAAATTACCAAACAATGTGGTAAAACATTCATTAAGCCATACTGGATACAAAACCTGCATTAGGAAAATAAAATTTACCTCCACTTGCAAATGCAGTTTACTTTGCACTTCCATCTGTGCTCTTAACGCCTCCTTGATTTCATAACCCCTAGGCATAAAATTAATTGCTCCCTCAATTTGGTAATTCAAAACAGAAAAAGAAAGTCATTTTATGAATTAATGAAAATTCTTACTCGTTTGTATCAGAAGTTGGCAATTTTGGAGAAGAGTTATCAGTACTAGGGCTTTCTAAAAGATATGAACCTGATATTCCTTCGATAAATTTTCAACAAGTCAGTTGAAGCCAAGACTATAGCAAAAAGGTTTATGTACAATTCCGATTTAGGAAGTACAGCCAAACTTTCTTCCAATTTAGGAACAATTATCCAAAGTAAATAAAGAATGGTTAAGAGAGAGGAATGACAACCATACCATCTTTGCATCCCTCACCCATATCTTTCCCTGATTGCTTACCAAGTCTAAATTTCTGCAATGCAGTAATTAAGAAAAGGTTTAACTTTCATCACAAGGCCTAAATTAAGCAGAGTATTATTAAAAGAGTTAAAGAGACCTGCAGATGACTCTTTAAATGAAATAGAGTCAAACCCTTGACATTCATGGTCCGCATGATTGCTTTTGGTGTTGCTTCTGCATATAACATCCAGAACCTAGTCAGAAAATGATATTGATGATAATCTACGTGTGAAGATTTTAACTGTAACTAGCCAAGAAATGGAAAGTAGGCTTTAATAACTACTTTGCAAACAAGTCAAGCTAGTATCATCCACAAATCTCAACAGACATTGAAGGCAAGTTAAACTAAGACAACATACTTTCAACTTTGACAGCTTATGAATTCATGCAAAAGTATCATGCTTTGTTAGAATTCCCAAAAATGAAAAAAAGAAAAGAAAAGAAAAGAAAAAGAACTGCATGTGGTTTGGGTATGAGGATGCAGTAGATCAATCATAATATCACATAGCACACTTTCAAACCCTACATGGCATAACTGTACATAAGGATGCCAAAATTACATACGAGATGAACCCACTTCAACCGGCAAGTAATTATACAGGAAAGCCTGAATTTGACACAACAAAAATTCATGTGACTCCCAACATGACAAAATTTTGAATATAACATTACGACTAACACAAACCTGAAGTGTCACCCCTATCTGTACATTTGTCTTTAGAGTTAACAATTCAGTCAAACAATTTATTAAATTACAACCCAAATTAGAAATTTGTCAGAATCTTATAGCAGTAAATAGCACTGAATGATGTGCATATATATATATATATATATCAAACATTATAAAATCTCTCAACCTATCTTCTCGTTCACATCAGGAAATTATTCATAGGCATCATATATTCAGTCTTTCTTAAATGGTAATATAATTCAATTGGGAAGCAAGAAGAGAATTAATGTGTTGGCTTTTCTAGTTGTGTTCTAAACAGCAATCTGACTGAATGTTTATTTTTAATTTTCATCATCTGAGAATCACATCTGAGCCATCAAATGTGAATTGGGAACTGCACTGACATGTTTGGAAATTTTTAGCAAAATCATGTTTGCTCAGCATGATTTTCACCATGTTCTGGAAAACTGACCTCGCTCTTGGCAATTTTCAGAGCAATTTCCCTCAAAAAAATAAAATAAAATTTAAAAGTACTTAATGGTGGAACACGGCACATGGTGGCTAACCCCAAAAATGCTAGTGGCATAACACATCAAGGAGCCGATCACTACAATGAAGAAAGTGACTGCAATGAAATAACTTCAAAATTTTGTAAAAATCACTTAATTGATAATCACAGTAGTTTTAAAACTTTAAACAATGGGAAGGAGAAAAAAAAACGAAAGTAAACCACCAATTTGGTCCACAAAAGATTTTTGGCACATGAATTTGGTTGTCAAAAGATAAGTGGCATCAAATTGGTCCTCAGATGATAAATTTTTTTTTCATAGAGTGACATCAATTTGGTCCCACTAACTTTTGGACTATTTTGATGTCAAAAAATTCAGTTGAGGACCAAATTGAGGTTCCAAAAATCTTTTGGAGACAAAAAGGGGTTTATTTGAAGAAAATAAATAAATATAGTAACGAGATTAATGGAAGAGTAAAAAATGAAAAAACCATAGAAATTACAAGGAAAAAAAGAAGATCCAGATTAACTAAATTATTATGAGAATAGAAATAAAAAACAACTTCAACAGTAACTATTACAAACATAAACTTGCAGTGATCATTAACAATAATATAGATAGAAGAGAAAAAGAACACAGACAGCTCCATGTGCTGCCAAAGAAATTTCCGATCCCTAAATTAGTTTGTAGGCGTCAATGTACACAAAGTTCCAAATTTATGCAGCCCAGTGGATGAAAGTGGGTTTTAGAGAGGTTCAAACAGGAAATTTGGCTCCTTAAAGAATAGCAGTTGCAATGGCCGCTATTATGATTTGCAGTGCTGACACAACAATGAAGCACTCCACTAAAAGCATTCTGGAGCAGCCAAGAGCCCCTCAGCTCTGCTCTGCCACTATAGCCATATACGGCCACTATGGCAGCAATTGACAACCCTGTAAAAATTCCGTATGCTTAATATTATATAGTCAATTAAACGAGAAACACCCAGTAATTTCCAAAAATCCCATTCAGCTTTTAAAGCATATCTGTTAATGCCACATTTAAAGAACTTTTCTTTAATGCGAAATTCAATAAGGTTGACAAGTTATTAACAGCCAAATGTTTTCTCTTTCACTCATTCATGAAGTGTAGCAAATACATGACAGTTTAACTTAGCTAAGTAGTTCATCTTTTAAAAGAAAATTGTTTTGGTCTTACAAAAAGCTTCCATCATGTAAGTGCAAGGGAAACGGATAATGCTAACCCCAAGACCAAAGGAAAAAATATATTGTAGGTTTTCATTTTAACCCATTCAAAAGGCTACAAAGTTAAACTGCGGCAGCTTAATAGCTTGAACAAATTAAGGTAATAAACACAAGTACAAGATCTAGACACTGAAACAGCTTCAAAGCTACGTCTGATACCCTGCACATTCATCAATATGCCAACTTCATAGGACTAATAGTGTAAAGGGTAATTGTAGAATGGAAAAATTCCAGAGGGAAGAGATAAAGAAGATGGAAGAGAGAGGAGAGAATGCTTATAAGAAAGTAATTACTTAGTTGTTCCAAGCAGCCATTGTGGCTTTTATAGCAGCAGATTACAAGGATTTGAAATACTAAAAAGGAAATTAAACTAATCTGGACTAATTGATACCAATCCATTGATACCAATAATTTATTAATGGAATCTAACAAATGCTAATTGATACTAATTGGGATTAATTGATACCAATTCAATCTTTTATTGATGGAAGATAGCAATTGCTAACTGATATCAATGAAGATGTGCTTAGAATCTTCCCCAGCCACATTTTAGGAATGTTTTGGTGCAGGAGTAGACATGAAACCCTTGGTGAGAAACATCCTTCCCTCCCATTGAGATGCGATGACCTCATGTTGAGTAATATCCATGCTTGTTCATATTCCCAACTAGAGTCATCAGGAGCAAGGTCCTTCCACTGAATCAACACCTACAAGACTTGTTGAGTATCTCACATGATAGCACGTTGGGCGAGATATAAAGAGGTCGGACAGCTTTTACATTGATAACCATGGACAAACTTCTCGTCTCAGTTGAAGCATGGTCTATTGCCACATTGCAGTTGCATCTCTTCTTCCGTCAAAAGTTAGATTGGAAGCCAGGCCGTGTGACAAGGGATTGGGAGGCAGCAAGGGATGCCAGGCTTTGTGATGCCGAGGGCCGAGGTTGAGTTTGCTGAGGTGCGGCTCACTTTGTTGAGACTTATACACATCTGTCAACGCAAATGCATCATTCACAAGCCGATGAGCTTGGACCACCATGCACAGTCGGAGTTGTTGCAAGCTAGAGATAAACAAGTTGGGTAAATGTACTTTGGGTCCACGGACCTGACTAGAAAGGTTCTCAAAGGCGGTTTGGTAATTGAGGACGAAACTAATCTGAGACAAAGTAATGAGGAGGGTGGTGGTATCCTCATACCATGAGGGACCAAAGTGGCGACAGATGCAATTGGCCGCAGGTGCATCAAGATGCATCGTGACGATTCAAAAGTAAGCAAGAGGTTATCAACCGCTAGACGTTATCACCTGTTTCTTTTAGGCAAGCAACTTCCCCCCTTTGTATCACTGAAAAATTCAACAAAGAATCTAAAAGTGCTGGCAGCTCTACCACTGCCGTGCTCCCTCATGACGAATTTCAACTCAACCGTCCTTCAAATGTTTTTACATGTTTTTTGGGTTGCAAATAATTGCATAAACCTCCCAAGTCAATGTTGATAAGATTCAGCACATCAACAAATGAGGGGCATGAGGTTCAACCATAGATTCTCTAAAACTACAAAACCATAGAATAGACTTTATATTTTGTGATCAAACTTAGAACCCACTGATTGATAAGCTCATTTAAACAAAATGGTCTAAGGTTAAAGTTCTCATTCAGAAATCAGACAAACAAATATCCGATCGCTACACCTACATTCTTACAATAAATTATACTTAATAGCGCATCTATACTAAGGAAGACCAATTGCGTTTGAAAAACAAAATAATTTCATAGATGAAGATTATTACAAACAAGATAAGATTAAAAACGCACACCACAACACATAAGCAATGGAGTCAAAAAGAAATAAAAAAAAAGCCCCTGCTTTTTTTCTTGCTCCCCAAAGGCAAAGCAAGATCATTTCAAACAAAAAGAGAAATAGTCCGCCAATTTTGTTCCAAGAGAAACAAAAAGAGAAAAACAAAAGAAGGAAATTGCAAATATGCTATGAAAAGTAAATTCAACAGAATGAAGGAAAAAAAAAAAAGGTTCAACTTTGACAAAGATAAAGGAAGGAAAGACTTACTACTGGCACCCCCAAGTTGGGTGACTGCATCAACAAATCGTTCATGGAGGTCCTGAGTCCACCGAAGGCGAGGTTTGGGATCAGCCGTCAAAACGAGACATGGGTCACCCTTATGATTGTGAGAGAGGTTAGGGGCACAACCACTCTGCATATCTTCCTGTCCCACAATCCCTTCATGGGGGTGTATCAGTCTAGGATACATCCTTCTTCTTCTTCTTCTTCAATGGCCTAAACCCAACAAACCCAGAAAAGAAAGAAAGAAACTTTTTTCAATCAAAGCAAAGGAAGAGCAGATCCAAGTTGAAGACCCATTTGGGTGAGAATGAGAAAGAAGCAAGCTTTGGGGAGAAACAAAGTGAAAAAAAAGGTGATGAAACTGCAATAACCGTAGCAGTGGAACTGACTCTGAAGCTGGCACGCCTTTTGGGATCTTGTCCCTTTCTACTCTTTTCCGTGAACAATGAAGAAAAAAAGAGGAAGAAAAGAAAATGACACAATTTTTAAGGGTTATTGTCTGTTTGTGTGTCTGACTCCATCCATGTCTATTCTATTATTGCTGTCTCTCACTCTATTCTTCTGTCCATCTCACTCCGTCCTTTTTTTTGGATGTGGTTGCGTGACCAAATAAAAATAAAAATGCAAGGATCATAAAACACTCAGCATTGCAACTTTGGTTAATATCTGTTTCTTTGTAATCAAGGTTTAGTTTGCAGTTTTGATTATTTTGGGGGAAAAATATATAAAATGATGTGTTTTTGGATGGTCAACTTCCTTTCATGATGAATGTTGTTGTTAGGGGATGTTTCATCTAATGTATAAGGTCTGATAGTATAAACTTATACCACTAGCGGACCCGATTCATAATTAGTCCAAATATTTAGTGGAAGGAATTTGGGAGCCGTGCTTCCGAAAAAAAAATTTAAACAAAGCTTTAAATACATTAAAAAATAAAAGAATTTAAAAAAAATTATATCCGTTATGTTACATGAATCAAATTTTTTGTCATGTTAAGAAAAAGACAAGACTAATTCATTGAATAATGTGTCATCTCACTTTCTTTAATATTATATAACTTCACAAAAAGTTTCATTCATATAATATGAGAGATATAATTCTCAAAAAACAAAAGAAAAAAAAACTTGAACTTAATATACAAAAATAGTAATCAACTTAATGATATAAAACCACTAAAACATAAGCAGTAAATAAGATATGTTTCTTTTTTAATATCTGTGTTTTATTCTTGATAATACAGCCACTAAAATTGCTCCTCGAATGACACTCATAATTAATTAAAAAATATATCTCTTCTTTACTAAAAAAAATGTATGACCAAATTTATATGTGCACTTGGCACACGTAGAAAACCAAATAAATCCGCCACTAGCTTATACTATTTTAAGACAAAGTAACTATTTTGAAACTTAATTAATATCTGTGCTTCTGTGTATTTTAAAACAAAGTAACTATTTTTTTGTTATAATATTATTTTTCATTTATTTATATAGTTTGTGAAAGAGAAAAGTTTCTATATTAATTAAGAGTTATGGACTTAATAATGCTTAAAAAAAATTACAATGTCCTTTCATTTAAATTCTAGATATTTAATTTTAAAATATTGGGTTTATTTCGTTAATATAAAGCGTTATCATTCTTTAATAATTGAGTTATAAAGAATTTTTTTTAAAATCCAACATTTTAATAATATTTCATGGTGAGAGACATGTTATTAAATGTCTTCATAAAAATTAATTTTATATCTGTCTGAATTTCTTTTCTCATTCGGACTGTGAGGATAGTCAAAAATCTAATTTGTCACAAAAAATAATTTGGATTATAAAATAAAAAAATTGATTTTATACCTAAAATGATGCTGTGGGAATATTCGACCTGAATAAGAAAAATCTTAAAATTTACTTTTTGAAATTGATTTTATAATATTATAAATTTAACTATAACTTTTTAAATTGAATTTTTTTAATCAAAATAATAATCAGGTTTCATAAGTTCATAATTAATTGTAATATCTACACCAACAAAAAATATTATTATATTCTTCCCGTTTTAAAAAACGTTGTTTGACAAAATGAAAAATAAAACAATACAAACAATGTGCTCTTTGATAAATCTTCACATTTTACTATTTAATGAATTTTATACTGAGTGTTTCTAAAATACATGTGTTCATTTTTTCATTGATATCTACGTAAAATTTATTTAATATTATAGAACATACTGAAAAGTTTTACCCAGAAAAAATGATATTGAAAAGAATATATTATAATATTTCTCAAACAAAACTATTTGGTTATTGAAAATCAATAATTCAATTACAAAATTAAATTATCTTTGATGACCAGGTCACTCATAACGATTAAAATATTTAAGTTAGGTTGGTCTCTAATAATTGGTAATATTATTATTGAAAAATAAAAAAAAAAACATTAGAACACAGCGCATAACGTTATTCTTTTTGTTAGAACACGTATAAATTAATATTTATTTGAATCAGCACACACTTAACTACCTACACAAGATAAGCTATGCAATTGTGTATAGATGACTCAAACAATTATTTGACTTTTTCTCCTCTGTTTATACGTGTATTCATTACATTATACAAACATAATGGAGTTGCGTTAACGATATTCAAAGATGTGATATATGACTATATGAGAATGTATATAATTATGGTTTAAATCAAAATTGATTATTTAAAATTTTAAGTTACAACTTACAAGAAATATTTTTGTGCATCCTTAGTCTCAATACAAATGGTCCACTAGATTTAAAAGGTAAGTTAATTAAGATGTGCATATGTTATAATACCAAACACCACGTAACTAGAATAAAAAATTAAAATTTTTTACTAACAATTTAACCAACTAATCACATTTCTTTATTCATCACCGGTGAGTTTGGTCCAATTATAATCAAGCTCAACTTAATGTGGTACAAAACTAATAGCAAGAGGCTTTGTTAAAAGAGTCATGTTATGCACGCAGAGCTAGAGTGTCTATTACAATCAAGCAATCATATGATTGATGGTCAATAGAGTGCTATGGATTTCATGTCATGTATTTGTGACGCTTTTTGATTTTAATTATTGAAATGTCATGCTTCAAAAATATTTTTTCAAAATGGCATATTTCAAGACTTATTGTCAGCAAAAGCATGTCTTTTTTGCCACTTATTTAGTATAGAGGATATGTCCATAATCCGTTATAAAAAAAATGTGTACTGATTATGAGGGGATAAAAGGATTTATTTTTGCTGACAACGGATCGTGAAACATTACATTATGAAAAAGTATTTCAGGAGCGTGTTTAATAATTAAGATGAAAAAAAGTGAAAAATGAGTTGATATTCCCCAATATCATCTTTTTCATTATTTTCTAATAGAAGTAGCAGAAAAGTTTCCTTTAATTTTGACATTATTTGTCCTTTAATTGCAATAATATTTATTATTTATGATGATTTTATCAAATCAATTAACATTATTATTAAACAATTTTAAGGTTGCAATAAAGGTTTGAATTTGTGGATTTGTTTGTTTATGTTTGCATTCTTCTCTTTGTATTCTTATAATTATACCCTTGTATAAAATATGAAGATTATTATGATAAAATGTTTGTGCAAACTAAATGACATATGTGGCCAACTTTAGGTTATTCGAAAAAAGTTATTTTTTGATCAAATATGTTATTAGATAGACGTTACTGCCAATTTTTTCTATTATCATTCTAATTATCATTGGATTTAATTTTCTCTTTTCTCTTTTCATTCAACTTTTTTCTAATACAATGATGATTAGAATGATAGTAAAAAAATTGATAATAAAAATAGGAGAAGGATATTGTGACAACTAAGTTGTGTTACTACCAAGTGACTACCAATCAATCTTACCGTTAGATCGATTATATTGATTCAACGGTTATATTCATTTCCATCTTTGTATGGTCGTGATTCCCTAAATTTAATACTTTATATTTATTTTCACCTTTGTATGATTATGATTTCCCATATTTAATGCTTTCACTTTAAATATGGGGAATCATGATCATACAAAGATGAAAATAAATATAACCGTTGGATCAACATAATCGATCTAACGGTGAGATTGATTAGTAGTCACTTGGTAGTAACACAACTTGGTTGTCACAATATCCTTCCCCGTAAAAATATCCTACCTCTGTTAGATAATATTTTTAAGCGTTCAGGATAGTACGGTAACTCTTTTCTTCCTTTTTCTTTTCTAAAAGAAAGAGTAATGTAACTCTTAATTTGTGTAAATCATTAATCAATTCAACCTTGATTATTTCTTGGAGCGGAGTTGGTTATCTTGTTATCTCCATAAATTTTGATTTTTTAAGTCATCTATGAGATTAATTTGAATTACGGAGAGAGTCAAGGATAAAAATATCATTACTCAAATTTTGTTTGTATGCTTTAAGAGGGCGTTTGGCACGTGTCATCTTTCAAGATTTTCGGAAAACTGAATTTTTCTAAATTTTAAATTTTTGAATATTATCGTAAACTGAATGTAAAAATCATATTTTTGAAAATCGAGATTCCCCGGACAAATTTTTTTTTTCCCTCTACCAAACGCCTCCTAAAAAAAAGTAAATATTTTTGTACTATAATATTATTATGAGTTCGATGTTTCTTATGTTATATAACATAAAATTATCTTCTACACCATGAAACATATGTAAAGAGAAAATATATATATATATATACGACCCACGTACTTTTTATACATATGTGAAAGATACTCTTTTTTTTGTTGATACAAAAGATAATTTTTTTTCCTAACAATGTGAATGTACTTAATATCATCCACACATGTGTTTTTTTTATGGGTTTTATAAGAGTTATGTTGTAGGAAAAATGATTGTGTAATGTTATAGAGATTCGTTTTGCGTGCCTTAACTTTTTTAATTTTTTTTTGTTTTAAAAAGTGTGGGTCCCATAAAATGTTGTGAGTGTAGGAAATTTGATGGTGTCATGTTAAAGGACAAACTACAATCCCTTTTTTTATTTATTCAAAGATGAATTATCTGACGTTGAAGCCAAACACAGCAGCTTGTCATCCACAGTTGCTCGTCCCACAAATCAGGAAATGTAAAAGCATTCGAGAATTGAAGCAAGTCCATGCCTTTTTGATCAAAACAGCCCAAACCCATGACATCACTGTATCAACAGAGCTCCTCAAGCTCTCTGCCACTTCTGATATTCGTGACACCGAGTATGCCCTCTCGTTGTTCGACCAAATGCCGGAACCAAATTGCTTTGCGTGGAACACTGTGATAAGGGCACTTGCTGAAACCCATGATAGGCCCTTCGATGCCTTGTTGCTTTTCTGTCAAATGGTGTCTGATGGAATGGTGGAACCTAATAGGTTTACCTTCCCTTCCGTGTTGAAGGCTTGCTCAGTTGTGGCCAGGTTGGAAGAAGGGAAGCAAGTTCATGGTTTGGTTCTTAAGTTTGGATTGGTTGATGATGAGTTTGTTAGTAGCAATCTGCTGAGGATGTATGTTATGTGTGGGAGTATGGAGGATGCTCATGTTTTGTTTCATAGGAATGTTGATGGTACTGATGATATGGTGAGAGATAAGAGGGGGCAAGAGGTTAATGTGGTGCTATGCAACGTGATGGTTGATGGGTATGTAAGACTCGGGAACCTTAAAGCAGCTAGGGAATTGTTTGACAGGATGCATCAAAGAAGTGTAGTTTCTTGGAATGTGGTCATTTCTGGATATGCTCAAAATGGCTTTTTTACTGAGGCCATACAAATGTTTCATAAGATGCAGATGGAAGAAGAAGATGTGTCGCCGAACCGGGTGACTCTTATCAGCGTGCTGCCTGCAATTTCACGTCTTGGAGCACTTGAGTTGGGGAAATGGGTGCATTTGTACGCAGAGAAGAATAAGATTCAGATTGATGACGTGCTTGGCTCTGCTCTAGTTGATATGTATGCCAAGTGTGGGCGCATTGAGAAGGCAATTCAGGTCTTTGAGGGATTGCCTAAAAATAGTGTTATAACTTGGAATGCTATAATTGGTGGTCTTGCTATGCATGGTAAAGCCAACGATTTGTTTAATTATTTTTCAAGGATGGAAAGAAGGGGAGTATCCCCTAGTGATGTCACATACATAGCTATCTTGAGTGCTTGTAGCCATGCAGGTTTAGTGGACAAAGGAAGGTATTTTTTTAATCACATGGTTAATGTGGTTGGATTAGAGCCTAGGATAGAACACTATGGGTGCATGGTTGACCTCCTGGGTCGTGCTGGCAATCTAGAAGAAACTGAAGAGCTTATATTGAACATGCCAATAAGATCAGATGATGTCATATGGAAAGCCTTGCTTGGTGCTTGTAAGATGCATAAAAATATTGAAATTGGTAGGCGGGCAGCAGAGGTTTTAATGCAATTGGCTCCTCATGATAGTGGAGCATATGTGGCTCTCTCAAATATGTATGCTTCATTAGGAGATTGGAATGCAGTTGCAGAGGTGAGGTTGATGATGAGAGACTTGGACATAAGGAAAGATCCTGGATGTAGTTGGATTGAAATAGGTGGTGCTATTCATGAGTTTCTTGTTGAAGATGATTCCCATCCTAGAGCAAAAGAAATACACTCAATGTTGGAGGAAATTTCCAACAAGTTGAGCTTGGAAGGTCATGCGCCAGACACCACACAAGTATTGCTTAAGATGGATGAGAAACATAAAGAAAGTGTGCTGCACTACCACAGTGAGAAGATTGCAGTTGCTTTTGGCTTACTTAGTACATCACCAAAGACACCACTTCAGATCGTAAAAAATTTGCGAATTTGTGAAGATTGTCATTCCTCAATGAAATTAATCTCAAAAATTTATGAGCGTAAGATAACTATTCGAGATAGGAAGCGCTTTCACCATTTTGAATATGGTTTATGCTCTTGTATGGACTACTGGTAGAAATGTTTATTGTCCTAACATTGTCTTTGAAATGGAGCCTTTTCCCCTGATTTAAGTAGAGAACCAATCTATCTCAAGTCTAAACTTTAGATAAAAAGAAAAGAAAAAAACAATTTTAAAGTTGAGCAAATACACCTAAATAATAACTAAAGAAATTTAATATATGATAATTGTCATTATTAATACATTAAGTATATTCTTATAATAATAATATAATAAAAATATTAGATTTACACTCTATAAAATAACGATGGGCTAAAAAACTTTTTTTTTTTTAATGATATAAGATCTGCCTGATGCTAAGATTAAACCAAATTAAACCTTCACTATGACCCTTTTTTTTTTTTTTTTTGTGGTGTGTGAAGAAATAATCTTTTGTATTGTGTATCTTCTGCAGTTGTATAAGATTGCAGGTCTAACTAAAAAATGAAGACTAAAGGTGGGGATGGCCATGAACATAATAGCCTCACATGAATTCATTGGTCTAAATTTATAGTTGCAATTTCAAAGTCTATAACCATGCAAGTGCTTGGCCCATCTTCTAGCCATGTAAGGGTCATGAAAATCCCAGCTTTCAACACTGCTAGTCCTACCACCTGTGTTCATATCCCTTCCTGTCTCCTCAGCAGCTTCTGTAACATCATCATCATCATCATCATCATCACCTTTATGTTCTCCAACACCTACAACAGTTTCCCCTGTCCTTCTAACACACTCATCAATTTCACCTTCAATGTAGCTAAATTCTACATACACATGAGTGCAGTCACACAGGTCTAATAGAATTCTTCTTTCTTCTCCACCTCTTATCTCTCCAATTCTTATGACTCTTCCACTGCCAACTTCCTCCCCAGCCCCACAAATTCTCAGTTGGATTTCCCTAACAATGCCTCCCAACATCTTGGCCAAGAACTCCTCAAACTCTTGTATGACAAAACCACTAGAAGTACCAAAGCCGAATCCCACATGAAATCTGTGAATTGGTGTAGATGGCAGTTCCATGCTTATAGCATGGTATGGTCTTGTAGGATTATCTGATAAGTGCAGGATACAGGACTCAGGGTTCTTGTGCATACGATCTTCAATTATCTTAATTCCTTTCTTCAACCCTTCAACTGGATCAGCTTGCCCCATGTAAAACAAGCGGTCAATAACTTGAAGTGCAGTGCGTTTTCCATAGGATGTCATGCGTCTTAAGGGGAAGACACGAGCCGCGGCTGAGGAATATGTAACAATGGCCAAACGATCAATGGGTCTGAGGGAGAAAACTACAAGAGCCATTGATTGTTTGAGAAGCCTTAGGTGTGGTCCATTGGGACTAGCAACTAAGACCAAGTCAATTGCTCTTTCATGGGTCAGTTTTACTGAAAGATACGCTCTATTAGAAGAGGGGCACATGATATAAGGTGTTTGCAAAGGTGGGGATTGTAACAGTGATGAGGAAGTAAAAGGATGAGGGGATAGATGACAAGAACATGAGGCATGCCTAGTCACTTGCAAAGCTGGATGGAAACTAGCAGGTGCATTTGGTGGAATAGGTACAAGAGAGAAACACAACTTGGGACTGTCATTTGTTTCATCAGGCTCAACAGGATCATCATCATCATAGCGTGCAGTGCGCAGAAGAGAACGGCGATGAACACGGAATGTAGCAATAGAATCATCAAGTATTCGCAGAATGGGATCACTGTGGTTACTAGAAGTGAAAGAACCACACAGGTTGTTGTTCAGGTTGCGAGGGAGCTGGGTCCAATGGGCACGGCAAATGGGGCAAGTAACACTACCATGACGGACATTGGAAGATATGCAGGCAAAATGGAATGCATGAGAGCACTGGGCAGTGAATATAGCTTGACCTGGACTGCTGCCCTTGCTTTGGTAACTAAGAGGATCTAAACATATTGCACACGAATTCTGCAAAACAAGTAAACCAAAGTAAAGGAGTCAAAAGAACAGTAATACAAGTAAACATTCATGACCAAGAAAAACCAGTGTTACAAAGTGACTAGACACTGAGATTTGTTTCAGGAATAAATGAATCAATGAAATATAAGTTTTACTAACAATGTTTAGTTTGCACAGTACCTAGAGAAGAAAGGGATAACTCCCATATTTTCAGAGTGATATCACACACTGTCTAATAATTTTCAAAATAGAGATATATTGGAACAAAAAACCAAAAGCATTGAGCAATGAATACTTAATAAAAGAAGCCCAAAGTAAGGCTAAAACCAGATGAAGATGGGAACAAATACATAATATCTGTCCATTCCTACAGGTGATCCTTCATTGATAGGTATATGTAATGTAACTACCACTTTGAGCCCTCACCAGCCGCCAAGGCTTGTGACTTTTATGCCAAAATTCATACAAAAATGCATGATTTGATCAAAAAGCCTCTGCGTACAATCAGCAGTCACCCCAACTCTCACAAGTCGGGGAGCCTTGTGTATCCGGATTTGCCCTTGCACTTTATTCATACAAAATGCATGATTTAATCAAACTTATCTCACTTTTTACCAATTGATTGAAGACGGAGAGATACAGTAAAACATTTTGCTCATATATATATATATATATATATATATATATATATATATGATTCCACACTCAGTCTCAGTCACAATAGATAGTGTGCATCACAAAAGTTCACTCCCTTCATTAGGAAGCTATTGGACACGTATGTAACTGTACAAAAACGTGAAGGTAGGTTTTCACGACAATAGAAGGAAAAGTATGATCAATTGATCATGCATGCTGTGGCAGGTGAAACTTCCCAACGTGGGGTCTGCATTTATATAGTGAATTGATTCTTGGCTTCACCGATGCGCCATGTGCTGAGGTATTCACATGCTAGTATCCTCTATTCACTACGTTTGCCGTTCTAAACAAATTTCAGTGCCAAAATAAATGCTTTAACACTGTGCTGCCAATTCACAGAATGAGAAAAATAATAAAGCAAAAGGGTAGTTTAAAAGAAAAATTAAGTATCTACCAAAACAAAAAAAACAAAAAAAATTATGCGTCACATTAAAATATAATGCATTTTTTAACAATACATCACCAAGTTACCTCCGCAGAATGTTAATAGTAATTAATTTACCAAAAAAGGGTCTTGGGGTGGTTTAAGGAACTACAAGTCAATTACCTTATTATGAAACTCATTGTTGTTTATGTTAGTACCGATACTGGAATATATTTCTTCTATTACCTCCCCTGAGGAATTTTTTATTGTTGATGGAGACACAAATGAGGAATTTGAGATCTGCAAACATGCACAAAACCACAAATAAATGTCAAACTCTCTTGTTTCTTACCATCATACGGTATATCTTAGACAAAGAACACTCTCAATTAGAAAGTAACTTCATCAGAATTGAAAAATAACAATAACATTAATAACCACAATAAACTCATATCTGGTCCAAGTCACCCATTAACCACAATCAGTGAAAGTATAATTAGAGAAAAACAAATGAGATTGGGAAATCACAAAAAAAAAAAAAAGGATTAACAAACATAAGTAGGAAGGAACATTCTCAATTCCAAAACTTCACATTTTCAACAAAGGTGAGAGGAACACCAATCATGAATGAAGACGGTCAATTTATCAAACACCAATTCTGAGAGATGGAAAACCCATTTGGCAAAATTGCAGTCCATTCTAAAATGAAGATAAAGTTTGCATCTTTTTCCTAAAATGACAAACATCCAAAGAAGAAAGAAATCAAAGTGTGAGAAGAAGAGGGGAAAGTGGATGTGTACAGTAGCAGATAGACTACAAGAGTTGTCAATGGAAACTGGATCCACCATAGCTTTTCTTCTAGAGAATGACCCACATGCATATGCTGCTGCCACAGCCACCTTCCTTGCTGCTTCTCTCAGCTTTGATGTTCCTCTTCTTCTTCCTCCTCCTTCCCCCATTCTCTTTTTTACTCTCTGCTATATCTGTGTGTGTCAAAGCTTATAGTGTTACTCTCTGAGACTCTGAGGCTTTTGTCTTAGTGTCCAAAGTAGAGAGAGAGAGAGAGAGGAAGAAAGAGACAAAGAGCTCTGCAAAATTCAGCAATAACAAGCAACTGTTGCCGTCTATGCTGTTACTTTTTGTTGTTGTGTTCTTTCTTCAACAGCATCACACAGTCTCTATATAAATAAGTACATACATTACTTACATACAATACCACGGCTTCCAAGCACTGTCACCAATATATATTATTATATGTGGCTTTGTGACTGTGTCCACATTTACCAATAAAAAATTATGGAGAGAACCACTTTTCACTGTGAGAGAGACAGAAGTTAGAACCCTCTTTGTTTTTTTTTTACCATCTTTACTTGAAATGAACAAACCAGCCCAACTTGCATTTGGTACTTAGTTACTTACTTCAATTATAAAGGTAGAGAGGATTTGAAATTTTGCTTTTATGGTTTTGTATAAGTACTAATTATTCTTTTCATGTATATTTGGACAAGTGTGAGTTTTAAAATAATTCAATATATATATATATATATATATATATATATATATATATATATATATATATATATGGGGCAGGATATTCTTACACCGGTGTAAGAGTTAGAAGTCTTCACTCAATCTTGATCATTGAATCACTTGTATCTAATGGCTCACATTACTAAAAAATTAGAGCCTTTAGATATAAGTGAGATCAACGAACAAGATTGAGAGTGTAACTTACACTGGTGTAAAATGATCCTGACCCATATATATATATATATATATATATATATATTTGATGGCTTGTTACAAAAAAGTGTGATAACCATAAGATTTAAGAAAATGGAAATAGTTTTGCTCTTGTTAAGGGTTAGATGGGATTATAATGGCCTTTTCAGGAAAGCTTAGCTTGGTAGTTTCTATTTCAAGTCATAGATCTTATTGCTTCTTCTTGCGAGGAATCTTTCCATGGGAAAAAGACTTAAAGGGCGTTCGGTAGAGGAGAAATTTTTTTTTTATCCGAGAATCTCGATTTTCAAAAATATAATTTTTACATTCAGTTTACGATAATATCTGAAAATTAAAAATTTAAAAAAATTCAATTTTTCGAAAATCCTGAAAAATACCGTATACTAAACGGGCCCTTAGGCAAATTGTAACTAGTCTACAACATCAAACATCAATGTTATTTGCATGTAAAATGGTATTGTAGTAATCACAATAAAAATGGTATTTTAGTAATCAGAAAGAAAAGAAAAATAAAAAAAAAGGATTGTTGAAATGGATGAAAGAGGATGAAATGAGGAGAAAGGAGAGGGAGAAGGACCAATGTAGCCCTTTCCAAAGACAATGATAATATGGGGCCAACCCACTAAACCTTATTGACAAATATTGTTTACAGCAATAGTGAGCTCCCTCCCTCCACTTGGACCACACTAATTTTAATTCATTTTTCTTACTCTTTCTTTCTCATATGTTTATTAAGAAAATACTACAATTTTGAAAATTTAATGTATGCATAAAGTGTGATATGCATATATACTCAATTATTTCATTTTCAAAAGAAACATTTATTTATAGCCCCTAAATCTAGATGGTATGCTCTGAGCCCTTGTGAAACATAATGACAATTTATGAGATGAGTTCAATGATGATAAGTTTCCATTAGATTTTAAGCATTCCACCCCCACCTTCCCACAGGGGTCAAAAAAGTTTATAGCACTAGAGCACATTTCTTCTTTTTCCCACTCAAACATAGTAGCAGCAAAGCAAATCTTCCTACCATTTTTCAGCATGCAATAGTTAGAATCACTGCTGGCAGGATTGAAAACCAAAGAAAGGGAGAGAAGGAAAAAAACAAAAAGAAAAAAACAAGGGTCAAAAGGTTTCGAAGAGGTGGGGGAAATAACCGTTTTTATTTGAATTTAAAAGTTTCAGCAATCAGTCTATGATAGCTTCCATTCTTTGGCTTTTTTCCTTTTAGCTTGTTAAAACATAAAGAGCCATGTTATCTGCAAAGCAATGCAAAGGTGGCCAAAATAGAGAGACTCGTTGGATGGGGCCAAAATGCTTTTCTTGCATAGGTAGTATTCCACTTGTCTACATAAACACATGACTTACATAGCCTACCTTATAAATCTCTTTTTCTTTTTTTTACATAGACTAAGTCATTTAATTCATTGGTATGATTATGGTAGTTTTGAATTTTTTTTTTTTTTTTTTGTAATAAAGAGGGGCAAAAGCCCCAAACAAAACAAAAATTACACGACGCGAGAACTTAAAAGATATACAAAAGCATCCTGAAGAAGGAGCTCTAACAAAGGAGAAGGAGGAGAATGATAAACAATAAGATTATTATCATCCTCAAAATGCCTATAAGCAAACCAGTGAGCACATATGTTATTTTCTCGAAAGGTGTGGGCCCAACGAACATCCCAATCTTCAGCAAGCCATTTGTGAATACGGGAAACAACCTGAGAGTTTCTGTGATTGTTGCTCCCTTCTTGGATAGTACTAAGAGCAATTTCTGAGTCACATTCCGACTCCACTCTCCTAGCACCAGTACCCCAGGCCAGCTTTAAACCTTTGAGGATACCCCAGAGTTCTGCATCAAGAGGATTACAGAAACCTAATCTGAAAGAGAAACCACCCAGAAAAGCACCATTGTGATCTCTAGCAAGGCCTCCACAGTTAGCATGCTGCCTAGATAGGGAAGAAGCACCATCTGTGTTAATCTTCAACCGACCAGGTTCAAGACGACACCATTTAGTAGGCTGATGGGCATTAGGGAAGCTGCCAAGAATGCTTCTATTCTTACAATTTGAAAAAGTTATGTGATCATATAAAAGCATATTGTGAGTGAAAAAGAGAAGGGAACACAAAAGGGGTTTATTCTCTAGTAGTAGCTTCATAGTTTTTGAATACTCCTGCCCTATGTGACCATCAAATGCTCTTTGCTCTTTTTCTTTTTACCTTCTTATTTTCCTTTATTTTCCCCCTCCTTCCAATTTTTCTTTTTTGGTGTCCCAAAATACCAAAAAAGCATAGGGCCCCAAATCACCTACATATTAGGTTACTGTAGCAACCTAGGTTCAAATGACAAATACCATAGGCATTTATATCACCAAACAAAAAATTGAAACATTAGTGTCCCGAATGAAGAAAAATAAATAAGCTAACACTGCCCAGATTCAACTGCAATAATTTGTACCAATTAGATTCCTGCATGACAACACCTTAAGATAAAATCTAACTGTATTAGCAGGATTTGGATCATGTTTTTCACCGAACTAGACAAGATTGTTCGAGTTAACTAATACACTAAATCACAATTTAAGCAATCAAAATCAAATAAGAAATCAAACGTGTAGACATGATTGTGATGAGCATGAACATATTCCATGAATGTAGCAAGTTTTTGTCCACGTTCATTATCAAATTCTTTTCTATCCGTAAATGTAATGCTTCCCGTGACATGATTCAAGCAAGACATATAACAAGAAGACAAATGATAAAAAGCCAATAATCTCCAATTTAATGTCTACAAGCTATGAGTTTTCTCAATCACCAAACTTGATTATGCTAATTTTAATGCAGATTCAGTTCATTAGTTATTATTGTGCATGAGGGATCTATATCAAAATTGAATAGTTCTCTTCAAGCAAGTTGCTCTAGTAGAGCTAGAAAACGATGGATGCACCAAAGGAAAATAATGACAGCAATGAGAGCTTAGGGAATCTTTCTTTTTGTGAATGACATATGGGAAAGTTGTTGGTGATCCTCTCTTGCTTCTCAAAAGAAGGTAAAGGGAAAAGCTTCCTTGTTTCCTCAAAAACTTGTTGCTTGCTAGCCTACAAAGAGGAAATGTGTCTGATTGCTTGTTCAAATAATTGAATTTGACCCGGTCCAATGCATGTTCTATAAAGGGGGTTGAACTTAGATTATATATATATATATGGAAAAAACTATTCTCATGTCACACATGAGACAAATTTTATCTCCTACACACTCTTCAATAACTGTGTCATTTTTTTCTTTTCTTTTCTTTTCCTTTTTCAGGTGGTGGAGCCCACTAGTTTGTCTCTATGACACGAGATAACTATTTCCTTTAACATGAGATTAATAAAACCCTATATATATATATATAGTTCGCTTTTTCTACAGTCAATGTAGATAACTTATCTACATTGAGCCCAAAACGACGTCGTTCTGAGGCGAAAATCAAGGTATTTTTGTATTTATAATTTATTTCAGAGTTATAATAGTCTTTTTCATCATAATTTTTAAATTTTTCAACCTAAAACGACGTCGTTTTGGGAGCGAATGTAGATAACTTATCTACATTCACTTTAGAAACATTAAAGCCATATATATATATATATATATATATATGTATATATATATATATAAATTCACTTTTTCTCCAGTCACTGCAGATAAGTTATCTGCAATAGGCCCAATACGACATCGTTTTGGAGCGAAAATTATGGTGTTTTTATAATTTTAATTTATTTTAAGATTATTCTAGTTTTTATAATTATAATTTTTTAATATTTCAATCTCAAAACAACGTGTTTCGAGAGTAAATGGAGATAACTTATCTGCAGTAACTGCAAAAATAATTTTTTGTATATATATAAGGGTTATATTAACAAACTTAGAAACTATACTATGTCTTATCGGTAATACTCTATTCAAGAGTATATTACCGGTCAGACATTGTATAGATTGTAAACAAAAAATTTTATAAATATAATCTTTTTCATATATATATATATATATATATATATATATATATATATATATATATAGGGAAAATATACTCTTATGTTGTATGAGAGAATTTTTCTCTCCTACACATACATCGATTTTCGTGTTTTTTTTTTTTTTCTATAATGCGTGGGTCCCACACATGATTATCTCTATTGCATGAGAGAGTTCTCTCCTATTGCATGAGATTAATAAAGCCCATATATATATATATATATATATATTATGAGCTTTTCTCTTTAATCTTATTCTAATATGTTGCCGTCTCTAAATGTATATTCTTTCATAGTCATGAATAGTTTTTCCTTAATACAAGCTCCTGATTTTGTGGTGATTGTTAAGAGGTCAAGGGGTGAAGTTTTGGCATTTTCTAATTGTTTTGACGCCTTCACTTTCCATAGTCTATTTAATGATAATGTAATTGGATTTCATGGTCACTTCTGAATCTTTTCGTTCCTATTTGGACCACAAAATAAAGAAAAAGAAGGATAGACTCATATCTGCAGCTTTTAGGAATCCCATGATTAGAACAGAAGTGTCAATCATTCGCTAATTTGAATTTAATTTGGACTTTGGAACTAACTGAACGGTAAGCAACATTTTCATTTTTAACCTTTTCAGTTCCCTCTTCCCATGCTTGTCTACTCTCCATCTTTCTTTTGCAAGAAGATAAGGCCTATTTGACCACTCTCTGATGCTTGAATGGTATTTTCTAATGATGCACGGACACGAGACACGATACGATACGACACGACACGACACGACACGTCGACACGTTAATTTTAAAAAATGTCATATTTCGACACGTTGGAACACGTTTTGATATTAAATAAAATTTTAATATATATAATATAATTTATATTTAATACATATAAGAGTCCATAATAAATCATATAATTAATCAAATATTTAAATTTCATAATATAAATATAAATATAAATAATTTTTCTTACTTTGTTAATTTTTCATGTCAAATTTCATAACAGAAAAAAATTAATTTATAAATTATTTCTTTTATATTTAGTTAACAAAATAAAAGAATTAAAAAAAAAAAAAAAAAAAAAACGTGTCCGAGCGTGTTCTAGCATTGACCGCGTGTCAGAACGTGTCGGAGAGTTAACCGCGTGTCCCTAAATTTTGACTGCGTGTCACGGACACGTGTCCCACACGCAATTTTTTTTCCAAGGAGCGTGTCCCTGAGTATTTTTACCCATTTTGTATACTCCTAAAATTATTTTCCTGTGGTGGACATTTATTTCGCAGACTGGATTGACCATGCAAAATTGCTTTTATATTTTATATTTTTTTAATGAATTTTGTGGATTAAAGGTTTTTTTTTTTTTTTTTTGAATTAAACTCAAGATGCCTTTATTCGTAAGATAAAACTAATTTCTTCATGGCTTATAGCATAATGATTTTCACCATTGACCCCAAAGTGTTTCTTGTAGGAATCAAATCCATGATTACATCATTCACACGAGCCCAACCCTTAAGCTATAATTCGCTTACCAAGTGAATTACACGTTGGAGTTAGGATTAAGGGTTTGAATGACTAAAATTGTGTCACATGACACGATCCATGAGTTTCCCATGGGGCCCCAGCAGAACTTAAAGTGGGAAATTAAAAAAAAAAAAAAAAATTAATTAGTTCCCCCAGTGAACATCCGTCTCATTAAAAATATTTAAAAGCAGTTTTATGGGTGCAATCTGTGGAACTAAACACCTCTCACCAGAAAATAACTTTGGGGACACACCAAGCATTAAAAAAACACGTGATAACACCCCCAAATGGTCAAATAGCCATAACATAAGTCCTTGTTCTTATCAAGTTATTATCATTAACAGTCATTTATATCAGGTGCAAATAGCAAACCAAAGTTTGGACTAAGCAGTGGCACTGGCAGTAACCCACAATAAAGTACATTTTTTTCCCGTGATAACTATGGTTAGTCTTCAATTAACTGGGAACTAATCTATTAGCAATGAGTTATCTGGTCTATAACCCATTTCCCTCATCAATTGTTGAAGATTATGTTGCAACAATAGGTAAATTTCCACATCCTGGGGATGAGATCTCTCCCCAACAAAAAATACATGATTTTTTTCCTTTAACCTGTATTTGACTATATCCTGGAATTTTCTTCACATTCCTCTCTCTCATTCTTTTCCTTACTTGTGCAAACTCATCCCATTGCCCTTCTGCAGCATATGTATTGGCTAGTAGTATATACCCCCCGGAACTAGATGGCTGTAGCTCTAATAGCTTCTCGCCAATGGAATTTGCTATTGCAACATCCCCATGTAGCTTACACGCACTAAGCAATGCCATAAGAACAGCTTCATCCCTCTCAGAAGGAGGGATTGTAGATACTACATTCATTGCTTCATCCACAAGTCCTGCTCGACCAAGAATATCTACAAGGCAAGAATAGTGCTCAGCCTTAGGATTTAAATTATAAGTACCCTTCATTGAGTCAAACAGTCTTCTACCTTGGTTGACGAGACCAGCATGACTACAAGCTGATAAGAGTCCCACAAAGGTAACCTCATCTGGCTTGGTTCCTGATATTAGCATGCGTGCAAATACCTGTAACGCATGGTGACCATTTCCATGATTTGAGTAGGCTACTATCATTGCAGTCCATGACACTACATCTTTTGAATTTAGTAGCTCAAAAACAAGCCTAGCAGAGCTAAGATCCCCACTTTTGGAATACGAAGTAATAAGAGCATTTGTTAGCCAGGTGTCGGGATCAAACCCGAGACGTATGACTATTGCATGAGCTTGCATGAGCTCCACCATGCCATCACAGGAAGTGACCACACTAGTCATAGTGGTTTCATTGGGTCTAAAGCAAGATCCTAGCATCAAAATAAAGAGCCTTAAGGCTTCCCCTTCATCACCATTCCTTGCATAACCATCGATCATTGTGTTCCAAGTCAGAACATTCTTCTCTGGCATTAAGTTAAAAAGCTCACGAGCTTCATCCACAACCCCCTCATCAACATATGCAGTGATCATTGCAGTCCATGCAACCACATCTTTATTAGGCATGAGATCAAAATACTTCCTTGCAACCCCAATCATGTTGTTTCGTGCCAAACCCGAAACCATAGCTGTCCACGAAACATGACTCCTATCCGGCATTGATTCAAACAAATGTATAGCCTCATTCACTCTATTGGCACTGAGACAACCCGAAATCATGATGTTCCAAGAACGAACATTTCTTTCAGGCATTTCAAGGAAGAGCTTATAAGCCTCATTGAAGTGGCCATTGTCAAGATATGACTTGACCATAGCTGTCCAAGCTATGGTGTTCTTTTCAGGCATGAGATCAAAGAACTTACGAGCATGATCCATCAAACCATTGCGAGCAAAACCCAAAACCACCGTAGTCCAGGAAACCACGTTTCTCTGAGGCATTTGATTAAACAAGCGCAAAGCCTCCTCAATTCTTCCACAGCTAAAATACCCAGAAACCATACTGGTCCAGGAGAATGCATTTCTCTCAGTCATACTATCAAACACCTCACGGGCATCGTCCAAGCGACCAGCTTTAGCATACCCATCAATCATTGCGGACTCAGCAACAATGTTTCTTTGGGGCAATTCCTTGAATATCGTTTCGGCTCTGGGTAGGTCCTTGTTCTTCAAATAAACGGTGATCATTGAGTTGTAAGAAACGACGTCTCGCTGAGGCATTTCGTCGAACAACTTCCTTGCTTCTTTGAGCTTACCATGGCGACCCAGAATCGTTATCTCCGCGTTATGTTTGTGGGGTGTATCGTCCGAAGACCTAGGCCACAAACTCCGATTCGGTTTTTTCACCAAACCTTTTTCTGGGTCGGTGGAAATTGAAGCCTTGAAATGCCTCAGTAAACGAAAACTGGGTTGACACAGGAAAAACATGCGGCGGTGGCGGTAACGGTAACAGACACACATGTTAATCATCGGTCCTACGTTCAATCATGGTTTCTTCATTCTTATCATTTACACGTTCTATTGTGCTCGTTACAATATTTTTAAACTAATTTTCTATTATTTAATCACGCATTATTATATTATTTTGATAAAAATAACAAGTATAGAATCAAAATTGATTTCTATTATATTCTTTTTCCTTAATTTCTTCTTAACCATGAAGCAAATCATTAATATGATCTTTTTGTTGGGACCAACAATGACATACACTAGCAAATGAGAAAAAAGAGAAGCAAAGAAAATAGGAACATACAAATTTATAGTGATTCATCTGATATGAGCTATTTTCGGCAATATTTTACAACAAGAATTATTATTTGCATGCAAAATATAAGTCATATCCAATATTTTTTAAAGATAGCAACAAATGATTTGTATTCATATAGAACAATTTCATGCCAAATAAAAAATAATAATAATGAAAATCTTAAACCCCAACAATTATTATCTATAATGATGTGTATACAGGAAAAGTGAAATATCCCAGAGATTATGAGCCTGTGAACAATTTAGAAATAACTACACAAATTTCACAAAGACCCTTTAAAGCATTATTCATGAAGTCAAGTGGGGAATGAAGGCTTCCTAGGAAAGTAGCTTGACAATCCTCAGCACCATGAGAAGCAACACCAGCCAAATCAGCCAACTCAAAGAAGGTCTCAGAGTTCAAGTCATTGTAAGCTGTTTCAATTGCCGATACAGCCTTTTTATAATCACGGTCACACCTTTGAAGATGCATGCGGTAGCTGCTTGAATTGGCTTTCTTTAGCAGTTTTTTTATATAGTCACTGGTGCCAGTGGCATTGAGGTATGCCAAGCGAAAGGCAACATAAGCTAGCCCATATTGGTCTGATTCTGGGGTATGTGGGTCAGAATAGAGAGACTCAATGCAGAATGAGTAGTTTGAAGTTTTGGAACACACTTCATGCACCAGTTTTGTTACATTGTTTTTAGAAGCAAATGAAGGATGAGCAAGGACAAAGATGAATAGAACTGAACAGCACAGGAAGGAGAGGGAATGATATTTGATCATGTTCTTTGCACTCTTTCTCTATAGGGAAGTTTGTGAAAAAGTGAAGAGATATGTCATCTAATCCAAGTACTACAATACATATCAATGAAGAAGTGAGACTGAAGCTTTTAGACCATTAAAGCAGATGCCTTAGTTTAGTTGTCACCTGTCTCTTATCTTATTTTATTTTTATTTTTTTGAAATATTTCAATCGGTTCATTATTTCGCAACTAATCTGATTCGGGGCGAGTCCAGGATTAAGGCTTTAAACCCCTCCCAAAGGTGGTACTAGAGAGATTCGAACACATGCTCTCACCCCCACCTGCTTAGCTCCTATGCGCCAACTGAACTATCATCATTTGGTTTATCTTGATTCTTTAAAGCGTGTTAATCACCAATTATAGCAACATTTCACATGGGTGACGTGGTGCTGTTCATATTTAGAACCATTGATAGTAATTTATATTGTGTTTCTGTTTCTATTCAAAGTACTATATTTTTTTTTTTAGAATTGCTAAAAAGGCAATTGCAGTAAGAAAACAATGTAGAGCTGTTGCTGTGTATTGTTTGAGACGCAAAAGTATTAAGTGTTGAAAATGACAAAGTTGATTTTTTGAAAAAATAAGTGCTTCCAATTAACATGAACAATTCTCTTTTCCTAATTTTGTCTTGTACTAAAAGTTTAGTTTTTTTTTTTTTTCTTGTTATTGTTTATCTTCACACTTTGGTTGTTTGATCTTGAGTTAGTGTGACCTAGTTTATATTATTATTTTCTCCTATGGTATCAGAACTCCAAGGAGCTTTTGGTATTTGAAAATTTGGCAATTTCAAAATATGGAAGTAATGTATTTGAGTCTTATCTCCTTGCAGACTTGAGAGAAGTAGTAAGGGGAGACAACACTATTTCCGAAGACAATGAAGATGATGATGACAAAGAGTGTAAGCAATGGAAGAGGTTGCAAAGGCTGAGTTTGCTTTCAAAGATAAACTGCCAAGGAAACACTATTATTCCAAAATGTGAAGAACTTCAAAGGAAAAGGTTAAAGGGTGAATCTTGTTTTTTAGAGAGATTTCCGTAGCAACTTTGTCAATGTTGCCACTGAACATTTTAATAGCTACAAGAAAACTTTCAAATGTTATTGTTGTGGTACGCCCGGCCATATTAAGAAGAATTTTTGTGTAAGGAGATGGTCCAATCACACTCAACAATGTTTATCATGTTCCCAATGTGAAAAAGAATCTCTTATTAATAGCTAATGTTGTTGATGCACGTAACTATTTATTTTTTGGTCCTCACGATGTTAAAACTCTGAAACATTAAGAAGTATTTATTTGTCTTCTTGGGTTCTAATACTAATGTGAAAAAGAGAGTAGTAATGATTATGCATGTATTTAGCATGCTAGACTTGGCCACCTTAACGTGTCAAAATTGAATTTTATGGTGGAGAACTAAGCTATTGGGTTTCCTAAATTACCTAATTTTGGAGTAGAGATTTGTGAAGGTTGCGTGATAAAATCTCTATCAAGGTGCAAGCAAAGCTCCATTGGGTTTAGTCCATCGTGATGGGTCCAACTAGAAATCACCCATATTCTAGTTTAAATAAATTTTCACAATTTAATATTTCAAGGTCCGTTTGTTTACTTCCAGGTTCATGATTCATATATCTATTAAGTTAATTTCATTTTTATATTTATAATAAGTCACCTAAAAATTTATTTGTCATTGTTTCAAGGCTAGTTTAATCGAGAAATCTAAATTATTTAAGAAACCTATAAATATATACCTTATTCATGTGCAAGTTAAGAAAAGCCAAATAAAATAATTTAATTTATATTCACAAGTCTCTTTCAACGTGTTTCTCTCCTCTATATCATCTTTTAGTAATTTTTTTTTGTCATTGTTCATCTTCACATTTTGGTGGTTAAATCTTGACCTGCCATGATTAAATTTACACTATTATTTTCTCAGAAAAATCCAATCAACCCCATTATATAATACACGTGATCACAATAGGTACCACCTTCCACAATGGGTTCCACCACCATGTGATCACAAAAGGGTTGTTCTTTCTTTAAACCTACCAGTTGTTGGCTGATTTATTATCATTTCTAGCATGTCCTATTGTGTGCAACACAGCCTGTCTATGGGACCCTTTCAAATGATGTTATGCATATGATGCATTGTGTCCCCTCATAGCTACTTCCATCTTATTATTAATCAATTCACAAGCATGCACACTTCAACCATCTTCCTTTTCGGTTCTACCATACTGCTACTTTGTTCTTTTTAGCAACATTTCTTAACCATTACCTACCATTCTCTACTTGCAACTTATAATTGCAAGACCAGAAAACACCAAGTACTACCCCACCTAACATTGTCGGTGTAGCCAACTCTTGCAATTATATTGAACACTTTGCCTTTGTTTATCCAAGCATTCAACACCTTAGCTGAATAACCAACATACAAAAATGACTTGAGATGCTTGACTGAGGAAATAACCTCGTCCTCATGGCAACAAGGATTTTATGTTTTAATTGAGGTTATTAAATCCATTTGAAATTGAATGATAGCAAGTGTATTTGACTGCCATATGTCAAACAGAAACAGATAATCAGATTCAAGAAGAGATTAATTATGGGTTAAAATGAATTAATTGCACAAGGTATTATTACATGAAGCAAAAGAATACCACTCTACTAAGGTTCATAAATGCTGGATACTATTGAAAAGAGTTGTCAACTTGAAATGAAACATGTACACAACAAACAAAGGGAAGACTACAAGACAGAAGAGGTGTTTTGAGAAAGGAGACAGAGGAGGGAACAATCTAAAACAAAGGGCCAAAGAAGAACCCAAAAAAAAAAAAAAAAACTAGCCTCTTCATTTCATTTACAAGTACAGTTAGCATCTCTGCAGTTATGTGATCAAGGGTAGCAAATTGATACTCAGAATTTGGCTCTTAGTCTTCTATGCGCAAATCCAAAAAATACTGATATAGAACAGGAAAACGTATACAAAAAGAATTGTAAAGCTTTAAAAAATAGAAGCCCTACACAGATGGAATTGCAGACCTATAAGGTACGTCACAACTTGGCTAATGGCAAGAAAACTTCAATATGATCAAAAGTACCGAAAAGACCCATCTATGGATTGATGTTGCATTCTCGCAAATACACATGATCATAGTCAACATACTTCGCCCAATGACTTCTAAACTTGGGAATACTTATCTCAAGCCATGGCTTCAGGTTCCCATTATAGTGTATGACAGCAGCTCGCTCAATATCTTTTTGGTTGACGTTGGGGTTGTAGCCAAGACCCAATACATGCCAAGATCGGTGCAGTGGGAAAGTGCGTTTCCAGAATGTTATGAGACCTGGTGGCAGGGTTCCTAACTTCCAGAGTTGTCTATCATGATTCTGCATTTAAGAAATATCAGTTCACAATTCAAATCAGAAAGGAACGAGATATTTCAAAAACAGGTGAATGTAACTGCATATTAGATGGACTAAACGAATATAATCTTGGAATAAGCACAAAAAATTGTACGTTCACACCCTTCACCACCCAAGTTGAAAACATTGATGATCACATTCCTATTTCCTACATTTTAAGATAGTATGTAACATATTAATGGACATGCTGAAGAGCACACAGCATTTACGTCTCAACTCTCCACCTTTTGACCATTAATAACTATTGTAAAAAATGCATATGTATCAGCTGGATCTGAATTTGTAGTCCAATTAATTTTTCATTCCAAAAATAAACCTATTATACTAATCTTATATATGATTAATGTCAGTAATTATCAATCATATGGGATACTTTCTGAAAAGTAAAGCAAAGTGCATCATTTACCAGATTCTGCCAGTTGTGGTACACCTCTGTGATGTTTTGCCTCTTCCATTCCACTAAATCAAATACATTCATACCGTATGCCCATCCGCAAGCATGTGGGTCAAAATTTTTTGCAATAAGAGGATTGGCGAAGTTGAGATAGCGATCAAATCGGTGAAAATTTTCTCCACACGTTTCTACAGCACCATTTACCTTGCCTTTCAAATCAACTGACCAAAGACCAGTCAGATCCTTCTGCACAACTATATCATCATCCAGGAACAGCACTTTGTTGAGCTTTGGAAAGATCTCAGGCAGGTAGAAGCGGAGGTGGTTCAAGATAGATAGATACTTTGGATTCCGAAACTTCAGGTTTGAATCAGAAGTTGCTCGATGAGCCTTGAAGTAATAATCTATCATAGATGGGGAACCCAACTGCTTAAGAACAGGACTGTAACTTGAATTCAACCATGTAAAATCTTCAATGTTCTGAACTTGAATGGTTGCCTTGCCTGGTGGATTCACCAAAAACCACATCCTCATTGCAGCATAATTGAGCCTATCCGTAACAATGTGGAAAACATGTTTTGAGGCATCCTGCAATTTCATTAAACTAATATTATTTGTGGGCAAGTGATGTAAATGCTAATAGGAAATAAAAGTAGCATTGGTGTCAATGATATTGAAACTTATAGTTGCCTTTTTTTTAGATTTAATTCTTCACTAACTCGGGCCAAAATGAAACAGAAACAAGTTTTTTTATTAGTCAAAGTAGGTAGTTACATCCCAGCACAGCCATACCAAGTTCTCTTTGATGTTTCTCAATTATCATGGCAGTGAAACAAATGTCAACAGAATTCTCAACGTGAAAATAATTTACCTTAGCATTGGAAGCAGTAGAATTCACAACCACAGCTGTTGCCAATATGTTGTCTGAGAATATTGCATAATGATATAGTTGAGGGTCTTCTAACTTCTCTTGATTGGGGAACTCTTGCTGAGAAGAATTCAATTTATAATACTCAGTTGTAAGGCGCAATGGAAGACAATGAAGACCTTTGGGCAGTGTTTTTGCTGTCAATTGAGTTAAGAACAAAGTCTGCTTCTTGTGCGCACGAAGTTGCTCCTCCGTTGAGTGGAGCATAGCCCGAAGCTTCTTCACAACAGCAGCACAGTCATCTTGAATTTGTTTTCCTTTCATCAATGTTTGCTCCATTGCCTTCATTCTCTCATTTGCACTGACATTAGTACAAATATAGATTAAGACTGAAGAAATTGCACCTCAGTATAGAAATTGAGCTACTCACTATATATATATGCAATAGCAACAGAAACTTAAGCAAAGTACAAACTTGGGAATCATAACATAACAGGAAAACATTAAGATAGATATAACAGCATTCTTAAAGGTGAACTTACTTCCTGGGTAGTTCAGAATCTTTGCTTGCATCTCCAAGTGTTCGTGAAACTTCTTTTATCCGTAATCGAAGCTCCCGAGTGAGATGGGGGTTGCTTTTTACCACTGGAAAGGACAGATAGACCTTAGCTTGGATGAGCTGATCTTTTATTCGCTGTACCCGAGCATCTGATGGAGTTTGGTCATTCTGCTTATTGGTTTCAGACAATAAGGGCTCTTCCTTGTTTACTTTGCTAGAAGTTTCTGTTGCTTGTTGTTCCTGCTTGTTGGTCTGAAAAAAGTGCGCCAAATGTCAAACAAAAAAATCTCGATATTTGTTGAAGTTGATTTTCTTTCCTTAGATTGATGTAATTTTCTGAAAACAAGGTTGGAAAAATGTAGTGATGAATGTTAACAGCAAATATGCTTCTTTGTACATTTTCCTTGATTGAAATTAGAAGTTGAAATAAGTCAAATAACTCCTATTTGTTTTGACCTTTCTTTCTCCGACTCAAGCTCATTTTTAATATACTACAAGAACATTATTTATGAAAGACTACAAGAAAAAGAAAAAAGATATTGCACCCGTTCAACAAGCCTATATTATATTTGCAGCACAAGATTGCACCCTGCATGAATTTGTTTCATGATCATGACCTCTACTGCAAATACAGAGTCTGGTCAAAGATATCTACATCATGGAGGCACAAACCCATATATATTGAAATTAAAGTGGAATTTATTTATCAAACTACCAACCTACCAATATATGTTTCCAATTAAAAAAGAATTATGCCAGAGCACTATCAATGTATGCAGTCAGAACTTAAATTTAAACTCCTTAAAAGATTACCGAATTCATGCACCAGAACTCCTGAGTATACATAATATTGTATTTAACAGGTGATGCACACCCCACCATAGACATACATATGTAAAACCTTTTTTCTGCAAGACCAGAAACCTAAAGGAATTTTCCTACCCAATTATCACTGCTTAGGACTTCCCAGACCATGCAACAGTAATAGATACAAATGAACAAAAAAAGAGAATAAAATCAGGATCAAAATACATCACCTACCTTAATTTGAGGCTTTTGAGTAGATCCACGAGCTGATTTAGTAAGTTTCTCATTATTGTCATCAACATCAATAGCATCATCTTCCCCATTTACATTTTCACCACTTACATCAGCTTTCTCCAAGGTGCTGCCGCCTTGATTTCCTTGTTTAATTCCATCTGTCACCAGTTTGATGATAGGGTTCTCCTTTTTAGTTTGATGATCTTTCTCAGTTGTAGTTGACAATACCCTGGCAGATACATGCTCCCTTGATTCCACCAATTGCAAGTCTAGATCAACGTGACATTGAGATCAGACAATAATGAAGAATACAACAAACAGAGCCCCTGAAAAGAAGTAGCAAAAGACCAAAAATCTTACTGAACAACAGAGAAAGCCCAAACAAAATACCTTTAGGCAAATTCTTTGCTTTAGTTGAGTCCTCAGTATACACAACCCCAATAGGTTCTTTAACGGCCGTTGAAGTTTCCTATTTGCAAAATGAGATGTTTCAGCAATAAATAATAAATTATCACAGATTCAGCACTAAGGTATATACATCCAAAAAGGAAAATTTCTTCCCAGACGCATATACAAATAAAGGGTTATAAAAACTTAGAAAAAGGAAAAGAAGGTAACTTTACCTGGGGTAGCAGATTCAAGTGGCCAGAGTCTGCTGCACTCAAAGCCTGACACATCATAAAAAAATTAGAGTCAGAAATTCAGAGATCTCACTCTTAACATAAAACAAAAGAACTGAAGAATCTTTCAAGGGTATCATCACTTACAAAAGCAGTAACATCTTCAATAAACTCTTGCTTGGCTGCAGAATGCATTCAAAAACCAGCCCAAAGAAACCAAAATCATCAGCAAATAGCCAAAACAAAGAATCTTGGATAAAGAAACTAAGGAAGACTCACTGGAGGGGGATTTGAAGGTTCCAAGGCGATCAGTGTAGAGCACAATTGGAGCAACAACAGTAATGCACAGCAACAACAGCACAATGTTTCTCACCCCCACCATTTCTACTCAAGAACCCACCACAGGGAGAAAAGAAAAGAAAAAACAAAGAAAGAAAAAGAGACACTAGTCCCTTTGGAAATACCACAGATTCTGCTCTGTTTCAGAGGACACACACACACAGAGAGAGATAAAGAAAACGAAGAAATTGGAGCAAAGAAAGAAGCTTTTTGAGCAGAAAAGAAGACCCACTTTATCTTTTTCTTGTGGGGCGCGTTGGAAAATTCCTCCAAGTGCAAAGCTTTAGGGAGAAGCGTAAAGGAGGAAGATGGAATCTGAAGCAATTACACTGAGTTTGCAAGGGGAGAGAAAGAGAGAGGAAACCGCATTTTGGGATCGGAAACAGAGAAAGATAACGTTGTCTTGTGTTTTGTGTGTGTGTGTGTGCGTGCGAAATAGGAAGAACCCAATAGGACCCGTTCTTCAAAAACTGCAACTTTTCTTTATTGGCTTGGACCCTTTTCTGAGAAATGCATATGCATGCTCAGAAACAGAGAGAGAGAGAGAGAGAGAGAGAGAGAGAGAGAGAGAGAAGAAGGACGTTGGAGATAACAGTAGTAACCAAATCAATGAACGAGGATTGAGGAGGAAGAGAGAGAAGAAAACAGAAAAAGCCTTCGCTCTGTTGTTTTTTGTAGTGTCACTATTTGCAATTTGCAAACGCTAACTTTCTTCTTAAAACGACGATAATAAGAAAGAAAGAAAGAAAGAAAGAAAACGCGCAAAATTAAGAAAATCAGAAAAAGGGAAACTTATTTAAAAAAGGGGTAAATTTGATTAAGGTTAATAATGATTATTAATTACTAATTAATATATTAATATACTGAATATGAATGAAGGTTGCTTAGCTGGCCGCTCGTACACGCGTGATAGCCGTCGCATCCTTCTCTGTTGTAAGTTGTAACACTGAAGAATATTAAAAAAAAAAAGTTGTAACACTGAATTTTTACTTTTATTTTTTTGGTAATCTATGTATTTTATATTCAACATGTGAAATTTATATAAAGTAAAATTGTAATAGGTTTCTCTACTACCAAACAGATAAATATTGTATTCTCATATAATAGAAGCAAGAAAAAACAATGCACAGAAGTGAATAATCAACATGTCAATGAATTAAACTGATGATTATTTATTTATTTATTTACTTTGTTGTGGGGGGAGATTTTAAACATGATTCTCACAACATAATTTAATTAGCTATTTTTTTAAAAATAAATTTTTACAATATGGTTCAACAACCAGTACTCTGGCTAATATTTTATGAGTCATACCTAAAAAAGTAATGTGCAGCTGCAGCCACTTATGTTGTGGGGCGCTTTGGCTGCTATTTCAGTATTTCTTAATGACCAAGTTGGGTCAGATTATTAAAAATATAGAGGGACATGTCTTTTTTTGTTTTTGTGGTAACGCTTCACAGAGGGCTATTTGACCTCTTGCACTATCATAATACTATTTGTACTGATATATTATATTAATTGCATGTATGGTTTAGCTTTTCGAATCCCAAAAATATGATTTGGATAAAAAATTTTGCCAAAATTAAAGTGTAAAGAACTAATTCAATTCAAAAACTTAAGTTATTGGGTGAGGTTACATCAATGGTTTTATATATCTCAAAACGAGAGCTCACTGAGCTTGAAGGGTGGATAATGCACATGCCCACCTACCTGTGCGAACAAAGAAAGTGGGGGGCGGTGAGGATCTGAACCCGGTACACGAGAGGCTCTGATACCATGTAAAGAATCAATTCAACCCAAAAACTTAAGCTATTTGGTATACATTGATGGTTTTATATATCTCAACATAGTTTTTTAAAAAAAAATATACTAATCATGCTTATATTAGACAATTATCGTAAACAAAAAAGGAAAAGAAAAGTCTTATCTTCTTGTCGATAGTTCATCAATTTCTCAGTTGGGTCCTAATTGTCAGTGATCAGAAACATTGAAGATGGAAAAATAAACACACTTCAATTCAACAAAATCATATTTGTAATTATGGGGAGTAGTTTTCTATTGTTGTTGGAAAAAACTACTCTTCCTGCAGTGACAATAATATATGGTTCTTACCATGAATTTTTTTTTTTAATCCCACTATTATGTGCACGAGTGGGATCCCCTTGAATTTTGAGCAAGTGGCAGGGAAATAGTTTTCTCTTGCATTATTTACTAAATATTCGACCGTTTTAATGATAGTGAGATGACAAAACCCTTTTCCTTTCACCAAACAATTCATAGCAGAATTTTCAATTGTGGGGTTTGTAAAAGAGAAGAAATTGAGGTTATTTTACACATCGACTTCATATGGCTTTGGTTAACCTTATTTAGATATAGGTACTTTTCAATTGTTCAAAATATGGCATATGGAAATATGAAGACCACAAATAATAATATCCCTGATTGCTCTACACATTTAGAAATAGAATCACAGAAACCAAAAGTGTCGGCAGTCGGCACAATCAAAGATTGCAACTACAGTGCAAAGCAATCATTTTAAAATAGGAGATAAATTTGTGTTTGGATTGGATCTATTTTGAAGAAAAAAAATCATTCGATCCAATCCATTCGCTTTAATTATATAATCATTTATTCAATTTGGATATTTTTCAAATTCAATCCGTTTCGATCTGATATAATCCAATTTTATTCAGTTTGGATTGGATCGGTTTTCAATTTTTTGAAAAGCCAAAGATTTGTACGATGATTATTGTGCAAATCACATATCTTTCCTATGTATCGGTAAAGTTTGTATGATGATTATTGTGCAATCTAGAAGCATTGTACAAGAAAAAGTTGAATTATCATCTTTTACCTCTAACAAAAATTTTATAATATGATTGCCTGAATACGAAGTAATCCAAATTTTTATTCTATAAAGGAGCTGTTGTACAACAATAACCCATATAATAAAAATATATTATGTATCTTACAAAAAAAAAGCATAACATAGATCAAACACAACTTACTTTCTCCAACATGATGGGTTAATGGGTCTTGGATTTAGAATTTTGCTATATGATTTTGGGCTATGATTGGGAAAATGCCTAGGTAGGTAGATGGTAAGGTTGGGAAATCATTGGATCGGTTTGGATTAGATCAATTTTCACCAACCAATCCAAAAATCAGTCTAATCCAATTAAATTTTGCGGTTTGTTTTTGTTTTTGATTCGGTTAATTAGATTTTTGATTTTTCAGTTCGGTCACTGCGGTTTGAATCGGTTGATGAACACCTCTATTTGTATCATACACATCATTTTGCGGCGATATTAACAAAAATTTATAGGAATGCCACGCTCCCTAAAAAACTTATCAAAATGCTACGTCATCAAAAATGCTACAACACTTGGAGTTTTACGTTTGGACACGAGGCAACAAATTTGAGGCCACATAAACTCGCTGATCAATCCAGCATTTTTCAACCAGTCAACGTGACATTTTGACACGTGGAGAGAGAAGACTAAAGTCGCTAAATAGCGCAGAGACTATAGTGCATTGTGATATATGCATATAGAGTGTCGATGGAAAAACGATAAAGACAATTTAATGTCCAATAAATACTGATTTGTTTTTTTTTTCTTTTTGGAAAATATAATAAACAATAAAGACAATTTGTTTTTTCAAGTAGCGTATGCAAGTATGAAAAACATTTAATGGTTGCATGATTCAAACCTATTGTTATCAGCCCAATGAATTAAATTGTCTTTATCGTTTTCCCATTGACAATCCATATGCATATGCCACATTGCACTATAGTCTCTGCACTATCCAGCGACTTCAATCCTCTCTCTCCACGTGTCAAAATGTCATGTAACGCGCTATACAGTAAAGCGACGTAGGCTTGACACGTTGGCAGATTGAAAAATGCTGGATTGTTCAGCTAGTTTACGTGGCCTCAAACTCGCTGCCACGTGTCTAAACGTAAAACATCAGGTGTTATAGCATTTTTGGTGACGTGACATTTTGACAAATTTTTAAGGAGCATGGCATTCCGGTAAATTTTTGCCAGTGGCAAAATGGTCGTTGTCCCCACATAAAAGTATATGGGGCTTATATTGCACCGACACCGACATAGGACACGACATGACAATCTGACAAATTAATTCTATAAAGTGTTGGATTCGACACGTTAGGATATGTTTTGATATTAAATAATATTTTTAATTTATGTAGTACATATTATATTTAATATCTAATAATTTAACAAAAAAATAAAGCTAAACTTATAATATTCATCAATTTTACAAAGAAACATAAGATATCACAAATATTTATACTAAACTCAATAAAATGATAATTGTAATCCAATGAATCTAACGGTTGAAATTAAAAACGCAACGCAATGCAACCTTTGAACCCTTTTGTGAGTCTCTACAACACGTGTCAGAGTGTCGGGAAGTGTCGAGAAGTATCGGACACGACACGTCAGGTTTTTTGAAGTGTCAATGCATCATAGTATAAAGCTTATATTTTCTCTTGTCCTCACATAGACCCACATGAGCCCCACACACTTTTATATGTGTATAGGAGATAAATTTATTTCATACAATACGAGAAATATTAAACCCTTTAAAATATTGTTGCACTTTTTAATGCTTTATTTATTTATTTATTGAATTTTGTGTTTTTTATGAAGTTTAGTTTAAGAATAGGGGAAGAAACCAACCTCATTGGGAAATATCCTTATTTGTAGACTCTATCAAAGGAAAAGGACTTTATGTAGTAATTTTATTTTTTTCCTTAACTCTTTTGGTTTTGTTTTATTTGTATTTAATTATGGGGTTTGATTTTCTCATGTTAAATGAGAATTCAATTCTCATGTTATAGAGATAAAAAGCATGTGGGACCCAGGTGTTAGAAAAAAATACATGCAGGACCCATGTCAGCACGGAAATCGAAGGGTGTGTAAGAAAATTTGAATTCTCATGTTAAATGAGAATTATAAAACCCTTTAATTATTTATTCAATAACTTTAAGGGGAAAATGTGTATAATTTTAAAGGATGTAAAGTTGTGTCATTTTAAGAGAGAGAAAGAGATAGATTAAGGAGGAGAGAGAGTTGACAAAAAAAAATAAAGGTGTGAGTCCCACCTCTTTGTGAGAGTGAAAGGATGTAAGTTGTGTAATTTTAAATGATAGACACTTTTCCCTAACTTTAAACAACTTCACCCTATCTGTTCCCGTTGTCCTTATTAATGCGGTAACAGTCATAAGTAACTTAGCTGAATAATTTTTTTTACATTAAAATTTTTTCTATTCTAACTTCTTCTCTTGTGTTGCCATTTGAGTTTTGTCCAACTTTCCATTCACAAGCAAAATTTAAATAATCATGTAAGGTCGAAATGTCCATCGTAACATCATCATAGTAGAATTAAGTAAGCATATTCTATTATCATATATAATACTCTCTTCAAATGACGTGCCCTGTCTTTCATTAAATAATGATGTTAGATTCTTCTTTTGAACCAATATGTGCTAATTCTTTATCTTTACTCCTTTGTCTCTTTTCCTTAATAAAAGTAATTTATTTAAAAAAAAGAAGAATAACCTCATATAACTAATAACCATGATACATGACACCTTAATTTTGGACCTGCTCTGAATAAAATTATATCATATGCAGAATATATGTAGTTTATCTAAGAAAAAAGACATCTTAATCCTTACTCCTCAGTCAACGTAACACCGAAATAAAACTTTTCTAAAGCAGGTTTGTATTTGAAGTGTATGAGTAAGGACGCATCTATCCTTAATTTATTTACAAATGTATCGCCATTTTTATCTTATACTACAATACAACATGTTACATATCTTTACTTGCTCTATAGTGAGAACCATAGACCTCATAATTGAAGATTTTTCACTTTGCAATACAATACTGAGAAGGAAGAAAGGTTGCAGAGAGATAGAGGGAGAGAGAAAACTTAAGGTGGGAGAGAAATTGGTAATTTTCTTCTGACATTTCCTTTTCACTACTCTCCTAAATACCAAGTCTCTTGTGACAGAATTGCTAACCGAAATTGCAAAATAAAACTGACACAATATGTCGGAATATTGAGAAAATTAAAATAAGAGAAACAATAAAGCACTATTAAGAACTACTTATATGACAATGGATTACTGGGCTTAGGCTATAACAGTTGTTACAGCTCACCATTGTACACATGGATGATGTGCTACCTCACTTATAGCAGTAGGGTTATAAATAAAACACTCACCTCTCTCATCGTTAAGGAATATTTTCCACCTATATATATTTCTCTTTACTCACTGAAGAGAGGCATTTTGTATTTATCATTTTTATGAATTGTGACTCTATCAAAATATAGAGCCACCGTGCCCCTACACAATTCTCATATCTCAGCACCACTAAGATATGCACATGGTATCTCCTCCAAAGAATAAATCTTTAGTGCATCACATTAGATGTACTGAACTCAGATGCATTTACCCATTCATTTTGTGGCATGTGGATTAAAAAATACCACATCATCTAAAAAAACAAATGATGTGATATTTTTTGTCCATGTGTCACAAAATAATTGGACAGATACACTGAGAATCTTTAATGCATCTAAGGATGCACTAAAAATTTACTTGATGCATATCACGGCCTCTAAAAGCACCTCCATGGTGACATACTTTACAGTCTAAAGATATAGACCCAGCTCTCTAACACAAACAGCTCACATGAAAACAAGGATCATACAGCAACATAATCATAAATTGTGTAAACATAATCACAATAGAGCATTCCCCACACAATCATTTTGAAGGTAACGTATAATGGCTTTTAGCTGCAGAAATCATCACAGCAACATACTTATGCCGACCATTCAAAAATAAAATAAAAAATGAGAACTGTTAAGAAACAAAGCAAATTGTGAATCTGTGAGCATTCTTCACTCAAATCAAAAAACGTAAGAGGCAAAGATTGTTTTCAATGGTTCCTATAAATATTAGACAACCTTTGAACCCCTAGAACAGCCAAACATTACACTTATTTAAACCAGTAGTAACAACACAAAAGCTACAATTACTCTCTAATATATATTTTATTCACAAAATTCCCTTTTGCCTGAACTGCATAAGAAGTTTTTTTTTTCTCCTTGTGAGCAGAACTGGCTTTCAATTTTCAGAATTATGCTACACTGTACCATCAACTGGTCGTGCATTACATACATGACTTGGAGTTTCTAGGTTCAAATTTGAATATTTTATATTAGGGTTTATGGGAAAACATCAGGAATTTCACACATAAGGATACATACATGTCCCACATAAATAAGTAGTAAATGCAGATACCTAATGAATCCTGTATAAATTTAAGTTCAATATTTTAGTAATACACTCTCTAATTGATCAGCATATAAGTTCATGTATTTTTATTTGGACAAGCAAATAAAAAGTGTGACAAAATTTGTGATGGCTTACCCAAATAAAAAGCATTGAAGAAGAAAGACTGGGACTAGAATTAATCAATAGACACATAACCTAAAGTTGACATATCCACCTGTGATGAAGATTATAACTGGAACTATTTAACATAAAAAAGTACCCAATATTGTTGTTTCAGTCAAAGAGGCTTATTGAGAAGAGAGCTCCAAATACAATCCACATCCTCTTCTTCAAGCTCCAACCCATTACTCTCAAATGGGTGCCACACATCCTCCACCAACTTGGCTTCTGGAATATGAGCCATTGATGTCTCAGGAGTCTCACACAAGCCACATTCCTCAGAGAAATCAATACCAACAGCTTTAAAGGAAGTGTCTTGGCGTTCAAGACATGACAAGAAATTGTCTTCAAAATCCAAAAAGCATTCCTCTGATTTGGATATGACACCATCTTTCAGCCAAGGGAAATCAAACACTCCCAGTGCCATGTGGGAAGAATCCCATGCCTTGAAACAACCCTTCTCTTCCACTTCCTGCTTCTCCTTCATCAAGCTTTTACCATAGACATCTCTCTTTTTTGCTTTGTTGTTATTCTCAAAACAAGACTCAATCTCAGCTTCATCATCTTCTCTTGCTCTCTTATTCTTCACCTGCTCCATTTATATATATATATATATATATATATACCCAGATACCGTTTCTGTCAATGGAAGATCCACAAACAACGTTATAAACTCAAACACAAAAACGAGGAACACATTCAAAGGTTGCACTACTAAGATCATGATTGTAATAATATAAAAAAACAAAGATTTACTATAAAAGTGAACAACAAAACGTCTTTTGATTTATGTGAAAAAGAAAATGTTTTAAGAAACGATTGGTACAAAATTCAAAATGATTATATCATGATGATGATGATGATGATGATGATCCTAGGAGTAATACCTACGAGTGTTGAGGCCAAAGGACAGGCAGGGACTTAGGTACGTATATATCTATGTATCTATTTGGAACTGTTGGTGGTAACGTAATCTAAAGAAAACTGAATAGAAATGGTGAACTTTGCACACACGCTACGCTATTTTAAGGTAAAACCGCAACTCATATAACACACACACACACACACACAAAGCACACAAAAAATCACACGTACACATTTTGTTTCACCCTTCACCTGCGGTCCTGTCTACAACACCTAGCAATGCAATGTGAGATAGCGGTTAGCTCCTCTTTTTCCGTTTCTAATTTTAGTTAAGGAAAGACCAAAAAAAGAAAATCAAGGTTATTAAGACGTTTTTATTATTATTATTATTATTATTATTATTATTATTATTATTACATTTTAAATTCTTTGCTAGTCTCCACTGCTAATCACGGATTATGATGTGTTGTAACACAAACAGCTATGCGTTTTCTTGGTTTTATGGTAATTTCAGGCTTGTTTAGATGAATTGAGGCTACCCCAGTTTTTGATTTTTTGATTTGTTTAGAGGAAGGTTATACTTATTACCATTTTAGCCTTGTTACTCTTACTACTTGATTGGTTATCGTTTGATCAATTTGAAATCAACTGTAGTTAATTTTTACAGTTGATTTCAAATTGATCAAACGGTAACCAATCAAGTAGTAAGAGTAATAAGTCTAAAGCGATAGTAAATATAACCACCCCAGATTTTTTTTTTATCTCATATTATAGGAGAGTTCTCCTATCATATACATAATCATGAGTGAAATCTATTCATTTATAAAAAATAAAAAAATAAAAATTAAGTTACACAAAAATCGATGATGTGTAGAAAAAAGAGTTACTCTCAAAAAACACAGAGAATAGTTTTTCTTATGGGTTGTGATTTGTTAAGAACCAACGGCTTTAGCTACTTGCAATTTATACATACTTATGGCGGGTTAATTATCTTGTTACTATGTTCTTTTGTCGTATAATATCCTTAAATATATCATAGACGATAAGCCTCATTGGGTTAGGAAGTGATGATAACATTATTAAGAGGTTAGAAATATTTACAGATGCTAGCATGAGCAAGTTAAGCACATTTACACTTTGCTCCTAAGCCTAATTCACTCAAAAACAAAAGAACAATAAAGGAGGAAGTGGAGCTAGAGTCCTACTCGAAAGCCCAGAAAAAATGACAATTGAACACTCCTTAAACTTGAGCTTCCCAACTTCGAACATCACTAATAAAATGTTTTTATAAATGACCACAAATCACTTAAAAAAAAACCAAATCTTTCTAACACTTAAGCACTGCCAAGTGACTAATAAGCAAAACAAGTCCTTAGACTCACATTTTCCTTCGGTTATTTTTCATTTTTTTATTTTTATTTTTTTTTCGTTTGGAGGAGGGGTAAGGGTGTGGAATCTCATAACTCTAAAGTAAGCTGTACATATAGACTTGGTCTCTGGCCAGCGTCTGAAATGTTGACAACACCTTACCAGCAATACTGCAGCACTAACATGAAATCTAGGAGGAAGGCCTCCAATCCAACTTAAGTGCTATTGTTGCTACATTAAATGTAAAGTTTACATAACTGAAGGATTCCAAGTCATTATAAATAACAGCTTCTTGTTTTTTATTTTGCAGACATTCACAACTATCTGTGCTGGAAACTGCCACCAGAGAACCAACCAGCATAGAACATCCTAGCAAAACAATACCACTCTGATGCCATCCCCACGTTCTCAACAATTAAGAAGCACAAAATCTTTGCACAAGGACTATCCTGCCATAGCAGGATGCAATGACTAGTCAGCATTTGTTGCAGCCACTCCCAGCCTCAACTGCAACCTACCCTGGATCCTGCAGCTTGGAAAATATTGCCGTTGTGCTGTTAACTTCTTCGTAGGAGGATGTCACACTTTTCGTTGTCCATCAAGGTGAAGGCAATATCTCTTAAGTGTAAAGAGTAAAGACATCATAGGAGGGGGCAAGGGCAAAATGTAAACAAGAAGCATACAGAAGAAGTGAAACTCTTTCACACAAATCAGTTGTACAAAGACAACTACATACAGTAGTTCACTTCAACCCCTCTGAACTATCTATATACAAACCAGTTGATGCTTAACACTTTCTGCACAGATGATAAAATACAACGAAGTCATTTACAGCTCAACAACACCGAGTTTATGACATGCATGAGAAGGCGGATTGTGCTTAAATCTGAAGGGGAGGTTGTTGGTAAATTCCGATGATGGCCCAGTGTCCGGGACACTTGATCCAATATTGACCGTACATGCACTGCAATCCTTGGATCTGCTGGGTTTATGGCAGCAGCCACATCTGTCATCCATGCCAATTTTCCGGGTGTTTCTGAATTGATGTCACAGGACAATTGCTGTAGAAGAGACAGAAGTACTCCTTGGCTTAATGGCAGTGGCACCATTGTCAAGATGCCAGCTAAATCAACCTGGTTATGAAGAGGTATGAAATTAAATGTTAGCTACGTAGACTTTGTCTGATATAATCATGCAAACTACAAATATATGCATCAGCCAATAATGACATGTGGAGATCTGATTTGATCATGTTTGGGATAGTTGGAGTGATTGGAGTGGGTTAATGAGATGTGATTTCACCCTTTCGGCATAAAGATGGACCCAAATTATTGTATGCAACTGCAAATGAATTTCAAATTTAATAGTGTGCTTACTATTTTTAGTTAGGACACCTAGAAAATTACAATTTTATCCAGGACAATAAAGTTAACGGGTTAATAAAGTTTCCCAAAAATCACTAAAAGCTTGCTCGAAATACACAGAATCAAGTTTTCCACCATCTACAGATCAATCTTTTATTTATATTTAAAAGCAACCCTTCCACTATAATTCTGGGTTTTGTTTCATTTTGATTAGTCTTCATAAGCACCATCCCCAACAAATGTAATTCTGAGTTGCGACTCAACTCAACTAAAGACAGATATCTTTTTCATACCTGAGAACATAACCAAGAAACTATTGAAACATTACTTCTATGAAGGGCACCAGTAAAAGCTTCCTCAAATTTGCCCTCACTTATCAACCTTGATAGTTCTTTGGTAGGATCCTCAGTCTGTCAAGGCGCAAGTCATTACAGACTATGAAATATCAAGAACACATCGAAAAAAGGAAGATAAGGGGAATGACAAACAAACATACCATCTCATGCAAGCCGTTATTGACTTGTGTTACAAAGGGATCCGCAGCTACTTTGGAGTTAGTTGCAATTTCTAACAGCTTGCGTTGGCCATCAGCTAATTGCCCACTCAAAGTCTGAGTGATTGATGATGCTGAATTAATTGTATCCTGTGAAATCATAAGACTACATATTGAGTGTTCAAACATGATCAATCAGACAATCAAAACTCCAATATTAAGTTAAGGAGAAGAAGGCCAGTATGTATATGACACATGGTAGTGAGGAAGGCCCACTATATAACAGAATCTTGGTTCATCATTAATTAGCTTCACATTCTGAATAATGAAACCAAAATTCAAGCCTCTTGTAGACATGTATAAAAAATAAAATAAAAATAAAAACCACTCATCGTTAAACCCGACTAGCGAGTGTGGGGTGGAGGTAATCCTTGTACGCAGCCTTATCTTTGTATAATTGCAAAAAGACCGTTTCCTAGATTCGAACCCATGACCCTTAAGTCATGAAGGAACAACTTTACCACAGCTCCGGTTCGCACCCTTAAAAATAACTGAGACTTTTTGCCTGGTCATGGCTTGAGAGAAATGACATAAAACTTGTACTTTCCAAAAAAATTTACCTACATAAGAACTTTTACACGTTTATATAATCTCATCTATTTTTGGTAAGAAAATGTATCATGATAGATCATCTATTCTAAATACACCTTTGAAAAATTTCATACAAAACAAATAGAAATCCTATTTCTACATTTATCCAAGGATCACACACTTATGAAAGGAGCAAACTACTCAACCATATACCACTAAAACTAATAAAATTGCATCTGATGAGTGCCACGTAGCCTATAATCAAGGTCTAATGATAACAAGGCAAAAGAATCTCTGATGGAAGGAATAGCATCATTAAAGGTAGAATTCATATTATCTGTTTTCAAACAAGCTTCCCACACATACCCTCAAAGACATGGCTAGTGGAGAATGAGTAGAATCATACTGCTGCTGAATAGCAGTTGTGTGCTTAACAAGTCCATTCTGAAATGCGACATCAATTTGCTCAAACATAGCTCTGCAAGACGACTCAAATGCAGGTACGATTGAAGCTTCAACACTAGTCCTAAGTGCTTCCTACAAACAAAACCAAAAGAAATGATTAACCAAAGCCACCAACAAATGCAACCAATTCCAGACCATTTTGAGAGCAAACGACAAAGTAAACCCAAAATATGAAGCTAACTTGAATTGCCTATATGAAATATAATATTGCAAATATGATAGATACCTAAAATTGAAGAGTTTCAGAAACACTTTAAAAGTACAGGATAAATGGATTGCAAATACCTAAAATTTAAGGAAGCATGATTTAACATTACCAAGAAAAAATATATAATAAATCTAGGTCTAAACCTGTTAAGTATCCAAAAATCAAAGTAGCTGGAAAACTTAAGCCTCTAGCAAATCATATAGTGCTAGAACCTACAACTCACAAGCGATTTGAAGGAACAAATAAGATGTACAGGTGGTAAGCTTGTAAGAATAAAAGAGAGCAGTGACAGCAAAACTAGAGTAGATAAATGGTTCAGTTGAAGTCAGGTTCAGTCTAAAATTGCATACAGAAATATCTGAGCTAGCAAAGCAAGTAATGAACTATATAAATTGTAGAAAATCAGAATTCAAATATGTTTCCGTTTTTATTTCCTATTAATTAGGATTGATTATGATTGATTAGGATTGATTGTGATTGATTAGAATTGATTGTGATTAGGATTGATTAGTCATCGCTGAGTCATTCTTAGCGATTCTTTCTTGTATAAATATATACTCATGTAATTTATTCAAAATCAATATACAGAAACCTTTTTTCAATATGGTATCAAGAGCGGGTTCATTCCTACCCTAAATCAGCCACCTTCAAGGCTGAAATCATCCCAAAACCACCCAAACACAATCCAACCTAAACCCAAATCCCAGAAAACCATACCTACAGACCTCCAATCAAGAAGGTGGAGGTACCATTCAACTCAGAAGGCTCCGACGAGTTGAATGCAGCCGGACCCGTCGCCGTCAGACCTCCCACGCGCTGCCACACGCGCGGCTCCTTTCCGGCGCGTGTAGTCCACGCGCCGCCTTCCCGGATTTTTTTTCCGGCGTGAGCTGCCCAGATCACCTCGTCGGCCTCCTCTGTCCCTGTTCCAGTGGTCAGATATCAAATCGGAGAAAAAAAAAAAAATTGGTTTCCACGGTCAAACCTTCACTTTCTACTCATGGCTTCCTTGAATCGTTCTTCCGCCTCCTCATCTGCCCCAAATTCTCAGCCCTCTGGAGACAACTTAGGTTTGCAGATCACTAATCACCGGTTGAACGGTAAGAATTTTCTGCAATGGTTTCAATCGGTTAAGTTGGTCATCCGGGCAAAGGGTAAGATGGGCTATCTCGAGGGAAAAATTAAGAAACCTACTGAGGATTCTCCTGATTATGACGATTGGGAGATTAATAATTCCTTGGTCATGGCTTGACTGACTAATTCCATGGAACCACAGATTGGCCAAACCTATCTGTTCTTCGATACTGCCAAGGAAATTTGGGATGCTGTTCAAAAAAATTACTCAAATCTGGAGAATACCTCTCAAGTTATTTAGTTGCGTTGTATTTGTCCATATTCCCTCCCATCAACGGTCTAAACTTGATCCTAAGTCTCTCCAGTGTGTCTTTATTAGTTATTCTCCTACTCAATGTGGCTATAAGTGTTATTCACCCTCTCTTCGTAAGGTCTTTGTCTCTATGGATGTCACCTTTTCTGAGAATGACCCTTTCTTCCCCTTGACTTCTCTTCAGGGGGAGTCTATAGGAGTAGATGAAGATCAGTCATGGGAACCTACTGATGCCATAGTATTACCTCTACTTTTGGAAACAGGGGGAGCTACAAAATCCTCACCATCAGAAGCCTCCTCAAAATGGGGACAAGTTTATAGCAGGCGAAAGCCTCCTCAAAGTGTGAATAACCCAGAGCCTCTACACTGCCAGGATTCTGAACCATGTTCTAGTTCCAGCACCCCAACACTTGAGTGCCATGGTGAAAATGATCTACACTTGCCTATTGCTCTCAGAAAAGGTACTCGATCTTGTACTACTCATCCTATTTCTAATCATATTTCATATGGAAAGTTATCCCCAGGGTTCCGTGCTTTCAATACTATGTTGGATAGTACAAAGATACCGAGAAATATACATGAGGCTCTCGATGATCAAAACTGGAGGGATGCTGTCTTTGAAGAAATGAATGCTTTAGAAAGAAATGGAACTTGGGAGATAGTGACCCTACCCAAGGGAAAACAGGCAGTAGGGTGCAAATGGGTGTTTACAATAAAATTCAATGCAGATAATAGCATCAACAGATACAAGGCAAGATTGGTTGCAAAGAGTTTCACTCAGACTCATTGGATAGATTATCGTGAGACTTTTGCTCCGGTTGCTAAAGTCAATACCATCCGAGTTCTCTTATCTCTTGCTGCCAACCTAGATTGGCCTCTGCAACAGTTAGATGTGAAGAATGCATTTCTAAATGGTGACTTACATGAAGAAGTCTATATGGATCCTCCACCTGGTTTTGGAAAGGGAAATGGATCAGTGTGTAAACTAAAAGAAGAGGCTTCATTCAAGCACAGACTGATCATACTCTCTTCCACAAACACTCTAAGGATGGTAAAATTGCTATTCTTATTGTATATGTAGATGATATAATTCTTACAGGTGATGATATTGAGGAATTGAACACCTTGAAGAAATTTCTAGCAGCTCAATTTGAACTCAAAGATCTTGGCACTCTCAAATATTTCCTTGGTATGGAAGTTGCTAGGAGCAAAACAGGCATCACTCTCACACAAAAGAAATATGTTCTAGATCTTTTGTTGGAAACAGGAATGTTAGGGTGTAAACCTGCTGAGACACTTGTGGAACCTAATACCAAGTTAGGTATTGAAGATGGGAATGAGGCGGATAAAGAACAATATAAGCGATTGGTTGGTAAATTAATTTACTTATCTCATACGCGTCCTGACATTGCCTTTGCGGTGAGTATGATTAGTCAATTCATGCACTCACCCAAGGAGAAGCATCTTAATGCAATCTATAGGGTGCTTAGATACCTCAAGAACACTCCAGGAAGAGGATTATTCTTTAAAAAAGGGTATAAAAGGACAGTTGAAATCTACACTGATGCAGATTGGGCAGGCTCATCAGTAGACAGGAGATCTACCTCAGGCTATTGCACCTATGTGTGGGGAAATCTTGTTACTTGGAGAAGAAAAAAGCAAACAGTGGTTGCAAGAAGTAATGCTGAAGCAGAATTTCGAGCTTTAGCTCATGGAGTTTGTGAAGGAATCTGGTTGAGAAGACTTCTTCAAGAATTGAAGATTTCATATTCCCTACCAATAAAAATATATTGTGACAACAAGGCAGCTATTAGCATTGCTCAAAATCATGTGCATCATGATCGAACAAAGCACGTGGAAGTTGATCGTCACTTCATCCAAGAAAAATTAGATGATGGAAGTGTGCGTATGATATATGATCCAACCAAAGAGCAAACTGCAGATATCCTTACCAAGGGCCTACACCGTCCAACATTCGAAGACTTGATTGGCAAGTTGGGAATGATCAACATTTACCTCCCAACTTGAGGGGGAGTGTAGAAAATCAGAATTCAAATATGTTTCCGTTTTTATTTCCTATTAATTAGGATTGATTATGATTGATTAGGATTGATTGTGATTGATTAGAATTGATTGTGATTAGGATTGATTAGTCATCGCTGAGTCATTCTTAGCGATTCTTTCTTGTATAAATATATACTCATGTAATTTATTCAAAATCAATATACAGAAACCTTTTTTCAATATAAATAATTACAAAAGAAAATACTAAATAACTGGAGAAACCAAACAGATATCTTTGTCAGATATCAATGAAACAAAACAAAATCTTAGTAACAGATATTACCAAAGTTCAGACAGACCTTACTTTCAAATATTACCTAGGAAATGATCAAATTTGACTATATCTGCTTTATCTTAATAACATAATGGCTCAAGTCCTCTGAAGCTGCAATTGTCCTCCATATGCACATATTAAATGTTTGCATTACTTGATATAAGGCTATCAAAGACTCGCTAAGACAAGCTTTATTGAATTCTTAGCATTTGAGATGGATTTGGCATTAATGATTCCAAATTTTTCATATTTGGGGATAAATTTAAACTGCTGTCTGTATTATATGATTGAGAACACAACATGAACCCGTCATATTTTTATGAAGAACATAGATATGTTAAGTTGTCCTATTATTTTCATTTTATTAAGTCAATGTGCTAGCCTCCTAGGACGATCAATAAGCTTGCAGGTCACCAATTACTTCTATATTTGCACATACAGTGCATGATAAAGCACAGGAAGCATAGTAGATTATAAACTCATTTACTGCGCATACCTGATGTAAGAGCAGGAATCCCTGTGCATAACTGTTATGATACACAACTGTTAGACAGTTGTCAGGCAGTTACCCAGATCTATTAGGTCTGTTAGAAGTTAGTTGTTAAGTTGAGATGAGGCGGCATTCTGCTGCATAACAGTTGCCAACCTCCTAGCTTCTCTAGGAAGCTCCCCGTGCTAATATATATGGCGCTATTGTGTATCTTGTAACTCGGTTTTTCATTATTAGAATACAATTTCTCAGCTAGCTTGTTTCCTCTCGTTTTCCCTACTTTTCTATCATTCACCTTTAAAGCACAGGCGTAAAATCATACCCAACATGATAAAAAATAGAAAAGGAAAGAATGCAAGACATCTTTAAGAACATTGTCGATGTTGACCATATGCTGCTTACCTGAAGAGTTTGCTTGCCAGAAGTTTGAAATTGTGCTTGTATCTGCCTAGCCACTGTAGCTTCAAGTTTTGAACTAACTGATTTTTCTAGTTGATTCACTGCCTTGTCTCCCACCCCCTTCTGCAGAATTTATAGCATAATCTCAATCAGACATATTCAAACAATTTTTTTTGCTTTAGTAGTAAGGAAAATGTGAGGAAAAAATTGAAGTAGCAAGTCACCATATAGGATAGAAAATCAAATCATACCGGTTGGTCAACCATAATTAGCACACCAAGATTTATGATATAAAATATTTCAGTTTGCCATATGGCATGACATCAACTACTTTATATAGTAGTCTTTGAAAGATGGTAAATAGTAATGTGATGGCGCCATTAAGAATGGGGATATCCCCAAGCAAATCAACAAAAAATTAAGCTAACCAGTAATACATTATACTTTATTTGAACAGTAGCACATTCAAATGTTGAAATTAATACAAACCTGGAATGACTCCGTAACAGCTGATGATATTGTTTTCTCTATAATTTGACTAATCGAACGAGTAATGGTTGTTCCAATTGTAGATATTTCCTTCTTAATGATTTTCTCCAATAGAGCTGCCATATCCTTGTTTACATAATTGGAGATCATGTTTGTTATTTGCTGTGTACGGTCTCGCTCTAACTTCTCTTGCTTTGCGTTTTCTTCCTGTAAGCGTGCCCACAAAGCATCATTGTTAGCCTTGACAACTTTCTCCATGTTCCGACCCAAGGATCCTTCTAATCTTTTGCCTTCCTTGGTAACTGGGACAGAAACCATTGCATTCATCTGCTTTTGCATTTCTTTCTGCATGCTTAATAACTGTAAAATAGGAAATGAAGGAGATCATGAAACAAAAAATCTAAAAATAAATCATTGGATATCATGAGTATATAAAAGTGGCAAAACCATATAAAAGACATGAAAAGATGCCTTCCTAGGAAAGACTTTAGTTTCCGTAGGTGTTATTTTGGATGGGAGCAAGGAAAGTGGCATAACTACAAGACTCAATGGTTAAAAATTAATATCAATCTCATGGTATTATTAAATCATGTAATAACAAAACCATGGCGTTGATAATGCGTTGCTTATCGATGTTTCAGAAAAACTTAAATGGAATAAAGCTCGGAGAGATACATAAGGAAGTGGAAGTAACGAATCAGGCTTCATCACAGGACAGGTCTATTTTATTTTCAGGCTGCATATGCTACATATTGTATCTTTATCCCAAAAAGATGCTACACAGTGTATCTTCACTATCCGCCTACAGAAATTTCAACAAAGTTTGACAGAAAAACAAACCTTCTGCCCCTAATTTGGCCATAATAAAGACATTTAATATGAATCCATTTTAACAAGAAGGTTAAAGTAGCAACAAACTAGTAATCTAGATTACAATTAGCTAAGCTCTAGTTGTAGCATGTTGAACCCATATTACACTACACAAAAAGAACAGCACTACCAAAATCATGGGTAATTTTACAAATATATGCCATGTATGCACCATGCTAAGTGAAGCCAACAAAAGTAAAAGTACAGTTCAAATGTAAATTAATAACCTGGCCCAGCATCTCCTGCATAGTCGATAACTGTGGCAAAGCAGCTTCCATGGATGAGCCTCCTGAATTGCCACCTTGATCATTTGATGAATCCATTGAGTTAAAAGGACTGGGAGAAGCAGATGTACCAGACACTTGAGAACTTTTTCCCTTCTGTCTTTTACCTTTCATGGCAGGTGCTGGAGACTGCAAAGTAGCAGCCACAGTTTCTGATTCACCGATGTTTGCAGATACATCATTGTTCGTGTCTTGAGCTTCCTCATCAATAGAGCTACAACTTTGATCAGGTGCATCAATAGTTTTAATATTATCATCCTGACGAATTCCCTCAATGTTATAGGTCTCTCTGGCCATCTGAATGCCCAGATCGGAGGACTGAGAATAGAATAATTTCTCTTTCTTCTCAGCAACATTGGTGTGGAAATCTCCGTCTCTGTCAAACTCAGTATTTTCTTGATTAGAACCTGTCTCGCCTACAACTTTAACCTCTACTTCAAGGTTTTCTGCATCATTATGGGCAGCCACATCTTGAACATTCATACCTTGAGAAGTTTGGGAATTATCAGAAGATAAAGCAGCCTTAGAGAATATCTCAGATGGAGTTACCAAATGGGTTGGGTGTTTAAATATTGTAGGGGGATTAGAAACCACAGAGACATCACTTTGTACAACTCTATCATTCTTTCGCAAGTTGTCACCTGATGCAGACACGTCAGCCACATCACCTTTTTCAGAATCCATTCTCCTTTCAGCTGAAGATTCAAGATTTATCTGCTCAGTGCTGTGATCAGCACTTGTTGAACTAGTCTCTAAATTATTTGATGAAGTTTTGAAACCAGATAACTTCTGGGACAATCTAGGACTCAGAGGAAGTGGAGGTGGAGCAGTGTAGATATGTTCAAAACCATTACGAGAAGGTAAATCATTTGGCTTGGTTTCTATATCTGAAATAGAAGCTTCGGGCAGGCCAGATATATCTGAAGAAGGAAAATTTACTGCAAGGCTTACAACAGGAGCACTTTCAGAACTGGTAGGATGAACTTGTGGCATATTTCCAGTTTCCAGATTAGTAGATCCATCTAAAGCATCAGAGACACGAGATAGATTGGATTCTGTTTTTTCAAGTTCAGCATTGTCAATGGGTGGAGGCAAACATTGTGACAAATTGAGTCCATACTGTTGAATAGCTTGTGTTTGGACACAATATACCTGCACAATATGGTCTCCATCTGGTAAACTATCACTAGTTCCTATAAGACTTAATATAGGCATTGTGACTGTGAACTCAGCAATGTAATCCATGCGAGTAGCACTTGGATAAGGTCCATACTCTATGTGCACAGCATATATTGTATTTTTCTTGGCATTTGCTAGCAGAAACAAACCAGCACGAGGTAATGCTACAACTTGATTAAAGAATGCATCCTCAGGGTTGGCTTCAGAAGAACTTTTTATATCCAAGGTCTGAATACAATTCCATGACTCCGAATCACTAGGCAATAACCAGCCCTCCTCATTATCAGAGACCCATATCTTCACTTCCTGATTCAGTGGCCCCTGCAGTAAAGGAAATATATATAGAAAAAAATTAATTTGTGAAAGATGCAAGGGGAACCTGGATACCACTTTGAGCAGGCATGACTAATGGTAAAGCTGTACAAAGTAGACCAAACCAAAGCACCCACAACTGGAGCATAATAATATACTGTGTTTCCAATAATGGGAAAGACTAGGAGCATATACCGCTGTGACAAGAACGATATGATCAGGGCGGTGAGGAGCAGTCAAGAATGTCACAGAATTAACAGGTTTACCATCATGTGGTCTTAAAACAGCAAGTGGTGTTGCCTTACGTTCTTCCCATATCTTCACCTGCAGTCAAAAGCCAGTATTTAGAAGTGCAAAATACAAGAATGATTATAAAACCTTTTCTTCATATTGACAACTCCAAGATGTAATACAATGACATTAACCATTCAGCTTCCCCTTCCCCACCCAACTTCAAGAATATATTAATCTTTTAACAGATTCCACCAGAGTAAAATTGGATGACAAAAACAAAGGAAGCAACAAAGCAAGACAAAGAAAGTGAGCCAAATGCAGACCGTGCCATCTTCTGATGCTGAAGCTAATCGACTCTTCATCCATTGGCACATTGACAACTCAGTGACATTGCCATCATGCTTACCAACAAGGTGCACCCCATCAATCAACTTATCAATGGAACATTTGAGAGGCTCCTCTGCGGATAGAGTTTCACCTTTTCCAGCTTTCATAGTGTCAATTTTGAGGATTCGGTTTCCAATAGCAACCATTAAAATCTCCTGTTGGTCAATTCCAACTGATAAGCTAAAACTTCAAATGAGTTAACAGTAACACTAATTGGAAGATAATAAACTTAAGGGCCAATTTTATAAAGTCACTGTTACTTGTTTGTGGGGATGCCAGCATACTCGTGGATGAACTGACTCACTCTCTCCTAATATTTGAATGGCTATGATAACTTTTCCAGTAATTTGAGGCTTGTCTTCCTCATCAGGGCCCTCATTGATCTTCCATATAAAAATTCTCCCATCAGTGCTAGCACTGCAAATATAAGAACATATTAAAGGGGAAAATAATTAATAAACATAATAATGCAAAAAAAAAAAAATGACAAACAAGAAACGGAAAAGCAATATTTACCTTGCCAACAGGTGAAGATCCTCAGCGAAGAAAGCCATGTCAGTTACTCTCTACATAAAAGGTGATATGCATAAATTGGAGAGAGGGTATAGATTGGAAACCAAATAAAAGGGGAAAAAGTCACATCCCAAATGCGTGTAGCAACAGCAGACTCACTATAAGAGGTAGAGCAATCTTCACATGTTTAAAGGAAGTTGCAATTATAAGAATATAGTTCATCATGGGAGAACGGTTACCAAGATTACCCATATAGTGGATAAAGAAAAGGAGAAAATTACATATACTAATCTAAAAGTTTAGTAACTCGATATCAATAACTACATAATCCAAACCAATTAAAAGAAAACATAAAGGCACACATGAAAGAGAGAATGCAGAAACAATTCAACAACAATCTTTCTAGGATATTAATAAAGAGTTAAAGACTCATGCCATCATGTTTTTATATTAAATCTTGCCTTTCTCACAAGCAACTATCTAAACTCAGCATGATAAGCTTAAATCAAGAGAAGGCAACAAAAGAAATAAAGAAAGAAGCATAAACTAATAGTCCAATATTGATTTAAACATTTCCTATGGGAAAGTTCCTCATGAATTTATGAGGAAAAGACAAACTGCTTTGTTTTTTTGTCTCATGGGTACAGACAACAAATGAAGTGTGTATGTAAGCAGTGACTAGTGCAAAAAAAACATATCTTGATCATATGAAACTTAAGTTCATATTACCCCTGTCTATTGTCCGAGGCAACAGAGGGCGCTAAAACACATCAAGCCAATACAATGTTAATTGAAAATGTCAAACAGGAGAACCAAGCCAATGCCTCAATCACTCCAAGCACCAAGAAGCCATGTTTGACAAAAAAAAAAAACAGTTTTTATGCATAAAACAGATTCAACACCTGAACTAGCACACACTAATAGGAATCAGTACAGAGACATGAAAATTAATATCACAACCATAAGCAACACAACCTACCTGGGTATGACCTCGAAGCAAATATCTTAATGCAGTATTGATATTAAGGACCCGGATGGCACCAAGTTTGAGTCCATAGCATATGTAAGATCTATTCACTGCAATTTGACGACCAAGAACAAGGCCAGGATCAGAGGCATACTTGGTTATAGGAGTGACTTCAAGCTGAGGCTGCACCTCTCCTGGAAGCCTAACATCAATGTCATAAGCAACATGTTGTCCTATCAAATGGCGTCCCTTTGGGAGCTTGCTGCTCAACCTCCTTGATGGTGTGGACTGAGGGCTTCCCAGATTCACAGGAGAAGCTGAAGAAGGTGTAGAGGGCAAAGCTGCAGGATTTGCTGGCATTGAAAATTCAGAAACTGCAGGTGATGGTGATGGTGATGGTGATGTGGATGAAGATGGATTGGAGGGAGGGTTTTGGGTGCTCAACAAGGCCATGAGGCGTGCACCAGTTGTAGTGGTATTGGGATTTGGGGATGAAGGAAGGTGTGGTGAGGAGGGAGAAGGAGAAGGAGAAGGAGAAGAAGGGGGTTGAAAGATTGGTCTTTGTGGAGCATGCATTTGAGGAAGGTGATGAATGACAAGAGGGTTTTCCTGAGGCTGTTGATGGTGGTGAAGGGTTGGATAAGGAAGAAAGTGATAAGGGTATGTGCCAGTTGGTGGAGGGTAAGAAGAAGAAGGGGTTGGGTAGGAAGAAGGTGGAGGTGTGGAAGGTGAAGGAGCAGGGAATGATGGAGAAGTGTTCAAATTTGAAGGTAAGGGATTTGATGATGATGATGATGATGTTGTTGTTGTTGTTGTTGCCTTGAAAAGCTTCTGCAAATCAACATGGCTTGTTTGTTGCTGTTGATTTGGATTCCCAGAAGAAGCCATAAAAACTTTTGACACAAAATTAACAAACTTTGGGAATCAATAATCAGAATGAACAAGATGGGATCCGGTTGATGCTGATTTTGAGATCTCAAATTGATTTTTGTGCCTCTCCAACTCCTACTTCGTACTTTGTTCTCTGTTATTTCCTCGTACTAGTTTAACAATCCCAGAAAAACAAAAAAACAAAAACAATAAAAAATAAAAAAAAAACCTGGTTTTTTTTTTTTACAGAGACCTCTTCTTGTGTTTTTCTCTTTTTCTTTGTCTTGGTCTCCTCTCCTCTCCTCTGCTGTGTGTGACCAGAATTAGACGAGTGCTAGAGAAAATTCATGTAAAAATTAGGGTTAATCAATAATTTGCATTTTTGCATCCTCCCATTTAGCAACTACCTACTAAAGGATGAAAATTTTGGAGCAACAATGGCAAGCATCATAACATTACAAAGATGGTAGAAAATGGTGAATGTTAGGAGAGAAATTTAATATTAAGATTTTTGTATTTAAATTATAATATAAAATTAATTAATCAATAGTGCTACTCATTAATTATTATTTTACATAGTGCTTTCTCAGATAGATAATTTTATTTTCGATTACTAAATCATAACTATATAAAGATGAATCAATAGTTATAAAAGAAAAAAAATAAAATCAAAACATTCAAAGGTGAATCAATTAATGTAAGAAAATAAATAAACAAAACGACGTAGTTTTGAATTGACCGAAGATATATATATATCAAATAACTTGATAAATATTTTTCTAATATTATATATATATATATATATATATATATATATATATATATATATATATATATCTTAATAAACTCTTACAATCATATTCTAATCGTTGATTTCTGTCAATCAACAGTTGTCATTTATTGTGAATTAATAATTAATTAATAAATTTGATTTGCGAAAATCTTAACCATTGATTGATGAAAATCAACGGTTAAGATATGATTGTAAGAAGTTGTAAACGAAAATAGGTTGTAAATATAACATTCTTTATAACATTCTCATATATATATATATATATATATATATATATATATATATATATATATATATATATATATAGGCAAGATCCTTTGATACCAGTGTCAAATTTAAAATTTGACACCTCATCTAAGAGCTATTAGATCAAGCAAAAACAACGGTGTCACATGCTTATAAATCAGAGTCCTTGATCTTTTTTGAGCTAATAGCTCTCAGATGAGGTGTCAAATTTCAAATTTGACACCGATGTCAAAGGATACCCTGCCTCATATATATATATATATATATATATATATATATATATATATATATATATATATATGATAGGATCCTTTGACACCGGTGTCAAATTTGAAGTTTGACACCTCGTCTGAGAGTCGTTAGATCAAGAAAGATCAATGTTGACATCAGTGTCAAATAATCCTATCTTTTATATATATATATATATATATATATATATATATATATATATATATATATATATATATATATATAAAATAAAAGTCACTATATATAATTATATATCCCAATGTCATTGCGGAGAGAGTTTTTAATCCGTCGTATGGAAGAAGGTAAAGACATTTTCTACCCGTGACATATAGATTCCATAGGACAAACATGCTATTAGAACTATGCGTTGTCCTGATCAAAAGTTTTTTTTTTTTTTAATGGAGTTTCGAACTCTTGCAATATTAATAAATTTCACTCAGGTTCACAAAAAACTATTAAGTGAGTTACACTTGATAATTATATTAATTTTTCTATTGTTTTGTTTTTTATTGCATTGTGTCATCTCTTAATATTATGCATATTTTATCCCGAGGACAGAGATGTAGACTCGTTAATTTATTTTTATTTAAGGTAACGTATTCCTTTTTTTTTCTCAGTTAGCATATGAAATAGTTTAATTTTATAAGAAAATATAAATACTTTCGTTGCACCCCCCGCCCCCCTAGTAGCTGAGGTATATCATTTTGGTTTAGAAGGTTTCTGATTAAGAATCATTAAGTTACTTTGTATTATAATCATAACCATATAAATTAAACACGATAACCTTAACTTATGGCAATCTCCTTATAAAAAAAAAAAAAAAGACAAAACACGACATAGCATTTTTATGACAATTTTTGCCTTTTAATTTTAACTGTGTAAACTAATTTTTTGAGAATTTGCAAGATTTTTAAATCCTCATTAATCTATTAAGGCAGCAATAAATTAGGGATTATTAACCATGTGCATCAAATTATATATAAAAAATAGAATAAATACTCAAATCGGTCCTTATAAAGATACATATTTAGTCATATTAGTCTCTAAATGATAATAATCACATCCAAAGTTCATGAAGTGCATTTTATTCGACAAATTAGTCCTTAAATATGTATTTTATCTATCAAATTAGTATCCAAAGTTCTTGATGTGGAGACTAAATTAACCAACAAAATACACTTCAAATCATTCAGAAACTAATGTGATGGACATTCTTTTAGGAATTAATTTGACCATTCATTCTTAAAAATTACTTTAGAAAATGAAGAATGATAAATTATTTATTCTTGTGGTATGTAAATTTTTAATGGAAAATTTCTGCCTTACTACCAGTTTTACACAACATCCTTAAAAAGTTGTATTATAAGGGTGAAATGGGATTGAGAGTTTTAGAAAATAATTGCTACATGTTAGGCTCAGAGAACTCTCTTGATGATAAAGTTCTTTCTTGTTCTGAAGAAATGGATGACACCACATTAATTACAACAGGAAGTGTTTCCACATCATCATGATCTTCACGAATAAATCTTTGATACTACTGTAGCACAAAAGATTCAATACATCTCACAAATGAGAGCATTACATGTCAGTCAAAATTCTCTCTCCTCTGCTAAATTTTTTCTCTCTCCTCTGATATGTAATACTCTTATTTGTAGAATGCACTGAATCTAAGTACAACAATAGCACCGAAGATTTCTCTTCACTTGCCGACTTATCTATTCGAATCATAGTTTCACAGGCTGTCTTTGTCATAAAATTTCATGCACTAACGTTAGACGGCTATAGATCATGACCCCCACTTGTTGCTCACATGATTGGATGGATCATGCATCATTTCATTAGGGAAAAAATAATCAAAATATTAAATGAAAAGGGAAGGAATCTTAGAATTATGGCCATCCTATTGCCCCACCTTTCCCCATTCCCTTAACCCAATCCTCCAAAAGTAATAATGGCCCAATTCCAACGTATTGAAACTTTCATTATATAAGTTTTCTTGTTGAAAACCTGACTCTGCATTAACTTCCTAGTTACCCAACTACTAGAGCTATATGAAAAATATTTATTTTTTTGGTTTCAGTGAAGATCTATTACTGAGATGAGATTTTAAAAAAAGTATGTAGAAAACACCACAGGAAGAAAGAGGGGGAAAATAAACTAGGAAAGAGCAGTATTTGAACCAGACACACTTCTTACATATTCCACAATTCTATCAATGGACCTGTCTTTGTAACTTTCTTCTTTTGGCAATAAAATTGTAGCTCAGTTAATGTGTGACGGAGTTAGAAATTTAATTCTTCACCCTTTTGATCTTATCCTCCTCTCTTTTGTGCCTGTGCCTTCTATGCAACCAAAATAAAAATTTCTGCAAATGGGAGTTCAAAGTATGGAAAAATGTCTTGCCAAATAGGTAAACCAATCCCTTAGATAAAGTTGAGTGTAACAGCTTCTTGTCGTGTCTTGCCGACGACATACAAATAGAAATTGAACCTTTGATTCAAAAAGCCATGCGAATCTATCCCTTACGTATATTTCCATTTCAGCAACCAAACGTAAACTGAAGATATTGACTAACACCCTCAACAATTTCTTTGCATAGCGTCCTAGTTCTACAAATGTCATGCAACACATGCAAAATTTCCATTTTCTTCTCCTTTTTTTAAAAGGGACAAATGCTTATATCGAAACACATCGAAAGCTGAACAAGAGTAGTATTCCTTTGATGTCCAGTATCCTTTAATGTTCAGAATTTTGAGGCTAAAATATATGTTTTTTATGCAAAAAGAAAGATCATAATATGATAAGTGTCTCGTCGAAAATATCTGGTGTTGTAAAACTTTGCAATGAGTTCTGTCAACAGCTCATACATTCAACTTATGACCTTTAAGGCTAATTAAATGTCAAGAACGTTTTATGGCTTGATATTTCAGCATCTACTGGACTGGACTGATACTTTGACTTTCTTAATCATAGAGTTAAGCTGCAGTGCAGCACATCCAAAACAAAACTGTTTCTGATATGGTAAAGTCCCCCCAATCATCCAATCCTTTACTAATATTCTCAGTAAACATCACATCACTCCAACCAGTCAATGAAACCAAAATTAACAAAAGAAAGAAAGAAAAACGTGACACCTTATATTTCAACAAAAGAACAATTCTATTCAACACAGGTAAGAAGAATCAAGAATGAACCAACATATCAATTGATTATGCACACAAATATAGACAAATAATCAGTAGGTCAAAGAGACAAAGTCAAGATTACAAAGAAAACATTATACAATTATCTGATTTTATCAATGGACGTAGAACGTATATATCTTCATTTCCAAACCCAAAAGAAAAGAAAAGATGAGAGTACATAAAGTACTACATTGAAGCAAATAGGTTGCAATATCTTCACTTCAACTGCAGCAGCCTCCAGCCGAGGCAGAAGGGCCATCCCTACCTCCAGATGGTCCAGGAATTCCACCATATCCTACTTTTATTCCATAAGACTGCAACCATAAAAAACTTATCAGTGTCTTAACCATTTCTCCTTGAATAAGGAGGAGTATGCTTTTTACTTCAGCATCATTATCCCCAGAATGCATACACAGATTGTAAAAATATAAGGTATAGAGAAATTAAAAATTCCAAATATCCTTTATAATTTTTAATATAATAATGTGAAATTTCCATAACAGTGATGAAACAGATGAGATCAAGAATGATCCAAGAAGAAACTAACCTCATTTGATACATCAAAAACTCCATCCTGAATCTTTTTGTATATGGTTGCAGCTGTTTTTATGAATGCCTGCAAAAGGATAGGCTATATTAAAACTTCCATAGAGATAGTTTTCCAAGATATTCAACCTAAGAACCTAGATACGTTGAAATCTGCCTTTCTTTGCAGGAGTACGGGGTTAAAAATGGATGAAGAAAATTCAAGAATAAGTTATATGATGTGACTTTTGACCTCTTCAACATTCTGAGCAGTTTTTGCTGAGGCTTCCATGAAGATCAACCCATGCTCCTTTGCAAACTGCTCCCCTTCCTCGGTGCTTACAGCCCGTCTGTGAGCAAGATCAGACTTGTTGCCAATCAGCATAATTGTCATATTTGCATTTGCATGCTGTCTTGCATCTTCCAACCAGCTAGCCAAGTGATTAAATGTCTCCCTCCTATTGGTAAACAGAGGTCAGCATCATTTTCATTGTCTTATTTAAAATAAACAACACATAATGCTCATACACAACTACATAAACATGCATTCATCAAAGTTGTCACGCATATCATTGTATGACCCGATCAAATTGGATAGGCACAAAACATGTATCTCCAAAGCAAATAAAAACTCATAAAATGTTGTTTTCTATCTATATTCTTTTCAATATATCAATATTTGCACGAAGAGCAAACCGTATCTTCCCTTGAAAATTTCAGAAGTCAGCAAGTTTTGAAATTCACTTAATTTGTGTTTAAACAGTTTATTTAAAGAAATGAAAATAAATCAATTTGATTAAAATGATTTACAAATCACATTTACAGTGCTGGGATATATAACAGAATATTGAATACAGTACGCTTTGTAAATAAGATGGATTCTTAAAAGAAATTAAATTTCTTAATGAAACATCATTTTCGCAAATAAGAGTAAGGTTGAGTACAAGGATTGCCCTCACCCCTACCCTCGCTAGTTGGGGTTTAATGAGGAGTGATTTTTTTTTCGTTTTTTATAAGTGAAAATAATTAGTTTATTTTAGGATTTCAAACACAGATTATAAAAGTTCAAATTTGAGGATACCTGGTAATATCATAAACAAGCAGTGCACCTGCAGCCCCTCTGTAATAAGACCTTGTAATAGATCTGAAGGATTCCTGACCAGCCTGAAATATTTCGAGGAAACTCTGTAACTTAAGACTTCACAATTCATAGAACTCAAGCAACTAATGAAGAATATTTTCCATCACCGCAATAATCAATCAAAGCTGAAAATATATAAAGGAAACCTAAATTTTAACCTAGCTTGATGATTAAAATGGGCATAAAAAACTGGGGCTTTATTGTCAATTTATATGCACTAACCATTTAAAGAATGAGAGGTACCTTATGGGCTCACCAAAGCCTATATTCTACCCACCACCCCCCTCTAGTAGCTAAATCTTTCCACCCAAAACTATCCTACCCGTCCAAAGCCAAAAATCTATCTTCACATATATAGTAATTTTTTAAGATGAATTCATGAATAAAAAGGCTATCATCCCCAACTGATTTGGTTTTCAACAATGGAAATGGATCAGCCTGCAAGGACACTCTACACCAGGTCCAGTATGATATTCTTCAGAACAAACAGGGCATGGAAGACAAAGTTTGGGAACAGGCTACAATTATGACAAAAGACAGCATCAGTCCTAACCCCACTACCAATATGATCCCTGTCTGCATAACTCTTTAAATGAAAATCAGCCAGTCATTCAACATAGCATAATTATATGACTTTATCATCTTCAACCATATAAATTCTTCAGGGTAGATACACAGGCAAAAGGGAGAAACTTCACCCAAAATGCCCTGATTTAAAATGATCACCATAACCTATAACCAATTCCAACAAATGAAAAACAGCAAAAAATGTTTCATAGATTTCTGAAGTTGATTTAATAGATTTATGACCAAGATTTACGAAAGGGTTGAACAAACCGTGTCCCATATTTGCAACTTGATTGGCTTATTATCAATTGTGATCATCCTGGCACCGAATTCAACACCGATGGTCAAGTCATGTACAGGTTGAAAGCGTTTGTCAGTGAATTGAAGTAGAAGACATGACTTTCCAACTCCTACATAAACAAAAATAAAAGAGGCAAGTAGGTAACCAGACTCAGTCCTCTGCACATGAACTACTACTACGACTAAATACATGGTAAACAAGATACAGATAAAGCGAAAATGAACAAACTACAACTTGCTAAAGTTTTGATGGTTCTTGTTTTTAGCTAAGAAAATGTAAGTAACAATGAAGAGTCTATTAAGATTAAAAAAAATTATTCGCCAAATCAACAACAACTTTATCCCAATCTAGCTAGGGTTGGCAAATTCTATTCCAAGAAAAATAAAATTATAATCAAAATTTTAATGAAGAGTCGATTACAATTACAGCATGTGAAGTTGAAAAGTGCTTTTTTTTAGTATAACTCAAGGTATCCTCCGGCCGACAGCCGAAGACTGATCCCCTCGAGGGGTAGAGATCACCGAAGTGAGTTTTGCCTCTATCAACAAAACATTTTCCATACACATAGCCATTAATCAAACCCTGTCAGCGAACCCAACTATCTACCAATTGTGCCACGCTTTGTAAAAATAAAAAGTACTTACAAATTTATCGTTTTTTTTTTCCATAATTAATTAGATGACAATGATATTTTGGGAAAAACAAAACTGCGACCACACAAGAGAATGATTTCATAATAGTACAGAAATATAAACATAGAACAAAGAGAACTAACGCCAAATATCTTTACCCATCATCTTGTGCATCAAATCATTCTTCTAAACATTATCAGAAAACCCCCCAAAAAAATATCTAAAACATAATAAATCCGATCGGGAACCGAAGCTCTGCTAGCTCCACGTGAATCAGGCAACAAGGTTAGTAGAAGAATGCTTCATGAGACATAAAATTAACCACAAAAGAAGGGGGTGATTAAGAGAATTCATCAACTATTCTAATCAATTGAGTCTAAGAGTAACAAAGCCAGATCATAATAAAGGAACAGTAATCAGAGTGATTCAAATTACCTGTGTCGCCGATGATGATGTATTTGAAGAGGTAGGCATAAGACATTTTTGCGTGTTTTTCCTTAACGCAAAGTTGAGATCTCTGCAATCTCCAATGAGAATTGTATTGTTATGCAGAGCAAAGAGAAAACGATTAAGAAGAAGGGGAACGGAACGGAACAGAACGGAACGGAAAAGGATTTTAAAGGAAAAATCAAAAAAGAGCAATGAAAGAGAAAAAGAGAGTCAAAATCTAATAAACAGTTTTCCAGCGATGCAAGAACACGTTTCCTTCTCCAATGATAACTTTTTCTCTCTACAATCCTTCTTCTACCTTCGTTGTCACTTCTTCTCCTCTAACAAGATTATAGTATACGGTTAGTTTACGTATTTCATAGGTCCACACCGTTCTAGAGTTGGGCCTTCTAGGCCCAATGATTCCACCATTTGTAATTTTAATCCAACATGTTTTGATGCATGTAGGACTATTTCTTTTCTTTTTTTTTAATTTGTTTGTGTTTGTCACGTGAAAGAATCCTAATCATATAAAGATAAATGAAACATCACAAGGGAAAAATAGAAGAAATATTGATGGAATAAGATATTCTTATTACCAAATAATATTACTATCATATTTTAACTGTTGATTTCAGTCAATCAACATTTATTATTTTTTGTGAATTAATAAACTTGATTTGTAAAAATAATAACCGTTGATTGATGAAAATCAACGGTTAAGATATGGTAGTGATATTCTTAGTAATATTATTTGGTAGTAACAATATCTTATCCCCATACTGAAATAGGTAATTACGATTTTCTATTATCAAATAATTATGGTAAATAACATATAAAAATATTTACTCTTGTAAATATCACTAAAATGAGAAATTTTATTTTATTTTTAAATAAGAAGGAACGTTGCATTGAGGTGGCTATAAAGCATCATTTATTAATGTCAACATAAGGGTTGTGCCATGTCACGAAAAATATAAAAGGATTATATTGATAATTATTTTTTATATAAATTTACAAATTATATTATATGTAACCGGTCAGACTTCACTTAAGAATATTTTACCGATCAAATATAATATAATTTGTAAGAGTTTATAAAAAAAAAATTATAAATATATAAAAAATAAGGCCTTGGTTATTACTTATTAGCATATGGTGATTATAGGAACTGGTTTTAGCTGGAATTTTTATTGTAAACAAATTATCTTCCCCTCTAAACTAATTTGACCGTAAAAATACATATTTTATTAATATGACCAATGCTAAATCGAGGGAATTTTTTAAAAATTAATTCATAAATTTTATAGTTTATTGTGCATGTATTCCTTTTTTATCAAAATTTAAAGCAACATAGTGCCACCGTCACGATTGTTGCTGCTCTACTTCATAATTTTTTGTTCTTTTTTAATCTTATTTTACAAAATTGATATTGAAATCAATAAAGAAAGTCAAACATATAGGGAAATTAATTTTGTTATTTTGCTTATCAAATTGAGAATTATAGTTATTCCAATTACAAAATAATAATCATGAAATGAGAACATCAACTACTCCTGAATTCTGCATTTTCTTTTCCAATCTCCCTAAAGACATAACCTCTTATTAAGACTAAATATGAATAGAAAGAAGTAAAATAAATAAATAATAATAATTACTTTCTACATAGACAAGCTTCATCCTAATCTTTTTTCACCTGTGAGAAAGTTCATGCATATCTAAGCCATAACGCCACCAAGTACAATTGAACTTCTCACATAATGCTTGCCATCTGACCAAGTTAGTCTTCCAAATATTGTAGCAACACCTGGTCTTGTAACTTCAAATCTTAACATAAAGCTTTTCTCTTCATTAATCTTGTCAAATTTCAAGGTATTGGGCTCCACAGATATGTTAAGACCTCTAGCTACATGGATGCTGCTGCATAAGTGCCTGTTGTGCCAACATTTTTAACCTTCCGAAGGTCAAAGAAACTGAGCCATAGAGTTTAGGTATTGGCTTATTGCAGGGTTGTTGAAATCAAGGATTTTGAGTACATTAGGACAATGATAAGGAGCACCAGAGAAACTTGTTATCTGAGTCTGGTTATAACCAGAGGCACAAAGCAAGTTTAGGTGATCAATGATGGTTAAGTCATAGACCAAGCCAGGATCCATGGCCCTATTTGGTCTAATGTAGCCAGAGCCATATGCAAAATTGACATCAAGCATTGGCTTAAAAGTGTTGTCCCTTGTCCTAGCTTTAACACAACATTTTTCCAGAAGAAAAGAGTTGTTAGATGTGGGGAAAAAAAAAGAAAACTTGGAAACACACACACATAAACACAAAGTATAGTCCTAGCCGTAAACGATGGATACTAGGTGCTGTGCGTATCGACCCGTGCAATGCTGTAGCTAACACGTTAAGTATCCTACCTGGGGAGTACGCTTGCAAGAATGAAACTCAAAGAATTGACGGGCCCCCGCACAAGCGGTGGAGCATGTGGTTTAATTCGATGCAAATTCCAATGATCTTACCTGTTGTCATTATTGCAGATTTGATAGCTGATGGACTCCAATCAGGGTGGAGTGTCTTGAGAAGACCAACAATTCCAGCTACATGAGGGGTGGACATGGATGTTCCAGACATTGTGATAAAAGGAATCCTGCGCTTATCAGACTCTAATCCTGTGGGGCCAACCCGTTGAGAGTAGGAAGCAATAATGTGCACACCAGGAGCTCTAATATCTGGCTGAAATTGAGAGTGAAACCAGGATTGATCTAAAACCAAAAGTTAACATGTGGGATTTGAAAAGCAATGTATGCAATGAAACAAAACTGAAAGGACACTTATATGGTGGATCATCATAAAAAAATGTTGGGCTAAGAAACAGAATTTTTGAAAGCCATGATGGACGGGTATGCAAACCTTGAGGATCTCTGGTGTGACCATGTTTGGCACTCTGGAGGATAAAGATGCCATGCATGGAGAAGGCTTTGTCTGCAACTTGGTTTTGGGTGGATGAATATATGACATTGGAGTGCTGTTTGTTATATGATATAGCCATTAAAGATATTGATGGAGCAATGCAGATGCAAATAATCAAGTATCATAAATACACACACTGACACAGACAAGAGAAATATACTTGGTAGAATTTATGTAGGCTAAAAGAGCAAGACCGTCTTTATAACTTAGTTTGGATGTTGGAAGGAAATGAGAGAATCAGTCATAAACTCAAAGTCATCCTGATCATACTCATCATTGTAAAGAATCATCCCAGCTGCACCAGCCTCAAAAGCAACTAGGCTCTTTTCCTCTCTTGCACTGTCACCTCTTAGACAAATTAAAATTTTGTTCTTCAGAAGATGAAATAGATTTCTGGTGATTTAATTGATGCTTCAGAAGCAACCATACAACTCATGAAAATTAGCATTCTAGTTAATAGTCATCAACGTGTTGAACTAGCAGCAAGCCAGTGGTATAACTCTGACATGTTCCTTTTCCACCTTGAAGGAATTGGTCCTATCACCTCATCACTAAATCTCGGAGATTCTGGCCATGCACCTACCGCACAAATTTTAATCAAAACAATAACAAGTGATCAATTGACCCACATTGCTTCTTAGCAAACAAGAATAAAAAAAAAAGACTTTTATTTCAAAATGTGCAATTGAAACACATCCGATGATTTTTCACAAATCAAAAGGCCCCATCAATGTGATATACAAGTCAGCAAAATAGGACCAATGATGCCTTTCACAAATGTATTAGTGAATAGTGATTGAACATTTTATGTTTCTTTAATTTTTTTTAGTGGCATGAGAGTTAACAGAGAAAAGATGTGTACTTTTATTGTTAAGAAAGAGAGGAAATGTGACTTTTCAAATTTAATACTTTTTTAGTTCATATATGTTACCCAATTTTTACTTGGTAAATCCAAGTTATATGATCTGATGGGACCCACTGAAAAAAAAAATTCCCATATGGCATAAACAAGGTGTAGGATGCAAAATTACCAGTGTCAAGGTGTCCTATAAAGTATCTTCACCAAATCTGGCCTTTTCAAACTGGGAAACAGGATGAATTAAACCATTATCTTCCAGTGACAAGAATTCCCATGAATGTGTAGGTGTAGTTTTCTTCCTTGGTTTAAGAATACTGACAGAACATTTGGATTCTCTGCATTCAGCCAACATTAGCTTTGATCGTGTGGAACTTTTATTAGCTACACTGAAAAAAGGGTGTGCATTCTTAATTACTCGCTATGTTAGCAGCATCTTCATCTTCAAGTACTGCAGCAGAGCCATTGATGTGCCTTGTGTAAGAATATAACATTGCTTCTTTTGCTTTCTCAGAACTGCATGGCAATATTATTATTTCAGAGATACAAAAAATTTAACTAACAAAAAAGTTAGTACAAGTCAAATTTCTAGCACACTAATACATTCTATTAGTGTACCTTCCCAAATAGAATCCAAGTAATTCATAATGAGTTTCTGTAACTCGATCAAAATCAGCTTCTGTGACTTCTGGACCATGTTCTTGCGATCCCAAGTACACTATGTATGACTTTGTTTTTATGAAACAACAACAAAAAAAGGAAGGAAAATTATCCAATAATAAGTTCAAACCATTGCACCAAAGCAAAAAAGAAGAAAAAACTTAAGGGACAGAATGAGAGGGTTTTTCACAATAATAGAAATGCAATACTGAACCAATTTTGTTTATATGAGAAGGAGATTTAAGGACATGAAGCTTACCTTTTTTGTAGCAAAAGCGAGTGCTTGAAACAGATAAAGAAGAATGAATGATGACAAGAAGAAAATTGAGCGCTTTCCAGGCCACATTCTGCTTTAACCAAAGGTCTCAAAAGAATTTGTTTGAAGGTGACAAGCTGAGTGCCCTTTACTCTTTAGTTAAAGTGATGGTAAAACACACACACACAGAGAGAGAGAGAGAGAGCATAGATAGCTTTTTCCACTATTCTCCCAGATGGGACTCCTATTATTACTGGGGGAAGTAATGTGCTTAATATAAATGAAGTGGAAAGCAATTATGACAATCTTGCAAAAAACTAAGATGTGAAAAAAGGACTACCATGACAATCCCTCAAATGATGGAAGGTTTCTCATTGTGATCATGTTTCAGTTAGGATGAGAGAGATTTTAGCCAAATATAATTGTTAAACTATATATAGTAGTTGCAAAATAATCCTAACTAGTTCAAATTCAAGTGCAGAAAACTCTCATTGTACTTCTTCTGCATCTGCGGATACATAAGGAGTTTGCTTTTCTTTCTCTCTGTTTTTTCTTTTAATAAAAAAAAGGGTAGTGTATTCATCAATGATTGTAGCCATGCAGATGCACTAAACTCGAGATGTTCTCTTTTAATGTCTTTTTTTTTTTCTTCCTTTTCAATATAAAGGGTGTTGCTGGTTTTGTCTTTTGGTCATCAAAGACGTTTGCATGATAGCAAGATCATGTCATTGATTTGTTTGATCATAATGAACGTAATAAAAGCTTACACATTTGATTGATACAAAATTTACAAGACTCGGGTTTTTGGACAACACATGCTAAAACCTTCAAGTTCATGGTGTACCAAATGAGACTACTCGCAAGTTCAACTAATTTGTTAAGGATCAGATTTTCAAACTGGTTGAGGATGTTTGGAATTACCCTGAGCTCATCTCAACTATAAATTCAACCTTAATTGTTCTTATTCCAAAGATAAACAACCCTTCTCGTATATCTCAGTTTAGACCTATATCCCTATGTCCGGTTATCTACAAACTAATCAGCAAAGCAATTGTGATGCGGCTGAAACCAATCACGATGATGAAGATGATTTTCCCCGGTTCAAGCAAGTTTTGTCCCACAAAGACAAATTCAGGATAATATAATTATGGTGCAAGAATTCATCCACACAATGCATCGAATGAGGGGTAAGAAATCGTTTATGGCAATAAAAGTGGACATGGAAAAGGTTGAATTGGAACTTCATGAAGCTGATTTTGCAAGAAATGGGGATGCCTCAAAAGCTGGTTGATATTATAATACAAGCAATATCTTCATCTAAGATTAACACCTTGTGAAATGGTAGTGTTACTACCCATTATCACCCTGTCTATTTGTTATGGGAACTGAAAAATTGTCTCATAATCAACACAATGCATTTTTCTTTCTTTTTTTTAAGAAAAAATGGTGGGACCCAATACAGGATTTTGTGTGTGACGTGACATAAGAGAAAAAATTTCCATCAACATAAAGAAAAGATTTCTCCATTATTGTGTGTCCATTTTAGACACTTTTTCCAATCACCGAGAAAGCAGAAAAGTAATCATGCATCATCAGTTAAAGATAATAAAAAAAGGTATAAGAACAAGGTAAGATCTGGTAGCCAAAACCCTAATTTGTTATTTAGAGCAATAAAAGAAACTTTTATCAGATTGCAACTCTGATGACTTCATATTCAATAAGGGACATGTTATTATCTTCCTTAACAGTGAAAGAAGCAGGTTCAGCGACTTCAATACGGCCAGACTTGTCCACAGCGAGCCTCATTGATCCTTTGAACAAGTCAATTTTGGCATTTCGCAGGATGAGAGTAGATCCCTCTTTCATCAGATCCACTTGATCATTTCTGGCTGTGAATACGATCATTGCTGTTTCATCACCCACCAAACTTTCAGCAATTCGTTGAGGACGACCCCTCTGCACTATCATCTTCGTATCGACAACTTTCACAGTTAGATTAAGTCCACTAGTCCCCGGGCGAAGATCCTGAACCTTGATGAATGCTGGCATTCTCGATCCTCCTGTTTTTGGTTTTGATGATGATGATGATTCTGCCATATCTGAATGAAACCTTTTGCAAAGGAGAAGAAGAGGGTGTTTGTTACAAAATTGGAAAACAGAAAAGAAAAGAAAAAAGGAGATATGAGAAATCAAACAGAGCCGTCTAGGTCGGCTTTTAAGGGTTCACTGCTGTTACTGTTAGGTCAAGAAAATGGATCCGTAAAATCTCTTAACCATTAATAATTAAATCAAAGGAAAAGTTTACTAATGTCCTTGTGGTTTACTCCAGAATCACTTATGTCCTTGTGGTTTTTTTTTTCGATCACATATGCACCTGGTTTACTCCAGAATCAACTTTTACCTTAAATCAACTATGATGATCGTATAATTTTTTTACTTTTATATTTTTTTTCTTTCCTTTCTTTTTCCATTAACTATTTATGTATGATTATAATTGTCCCACGTAACATAAATCATATTAATTAGCAGACTAGAGGAGTATCCACTCTCATTAGATCAGTTTGACTGATTCGACCCAACCTTAATTCTTCGTAAATTACAAAAACATATAAAAACACAACGAAAACTTCATTCCTTATGCGATCAATCATATTTCTTTATTTAAAAATTATATATTTTTCTCACCCTTGTTCGCTTCGCTATGCATATAAGAGGATCCTAATATATATTTATTTATTTATTTAGATTGATGTAAAATATAAATTAAAAATTAAAAAATATTAAATTCTAATATGGTTTTTTTGACTCTTTTACCCTTCATTAATTAATTAATAATCATTTTGCCCCTTATTCGAAACTATCTACCAATCTGGCCCTTTTTAATCAATTAACTTAAAGATTTAATCGATTAAATGGTCAAAATTGGCAAAAAAATGTTTGACTAGAAGATTTAATTGATTAAATCTTCAAGTTAATCGATTAAATCTCCCAACAGGCAATAAAGGTCAAATCTCCTCCATAAACAAAAGCAGATTTCATGCATATGAAGTAAATCAGCAAGTTAATAAGAGTTGATTGCGATTTATATTTAATAGGAGCTGATTGTGTTTTGTATTTAATAGGAGCTGATTGCGTTTTGTATTTAATACAAGGTGATTGCGTTTTGTATTTAATAGGAGTTGATTGTGTTTTGTATTTAATAGGAGCTGATTGCATTTTATTAGGAGTTGCCATTTTACGAGTTGGTTACAGATTGTCACCAACTCGTAAAATGACAACTCCTAATAAAATGCAATCAGCTCTTATTAAATACAAAACACATTCAACTCCTATTAAATACTAAACGCAATCAGGTTGTTGAGATGTGATCATAATTCGATATTAGTAATTTCTAGGTCTATAACAGAATAAACATGATACATTTATGAGTTTGGTATTTGTCATTTTAAATGACACAAGTTGTGTCATTTTAAGAGAGAGATAGACACAAAAAATAAAAATTATGGGAGAGAGAAAGTTGTGTTGTTTTTTTAATTTAAATTTAAATAAAAAAATGACATAACTTTATGTCATTTAAAATGACAAACACTTTTTTCTACATTTATTATCAATATATTTTCCTGATAATTCAAATCCATTATATGGCCGTTATTAAAGCTGTTTAGAAAGGGATATGATATTATTACTACCAAATAATGTTACTATCATATCTTAATAATTGATTTTAGCAAATCAATGGTTATAATTTATTATGAATTAATAATTAATTAATAAATTTGATTTGTGAAAATAATAACCATTAATTGATGAAAATTAACGGTTAAAATATGATAATAATATTAATAAAAATATTAATAATATTATTATTTGATAGAGGCAAGGTTTTCGACGAGTTGTATAAAAATCTTGGGAGCAAGGATGGTGAAAGAGGTATTTATAAACTTGCAAAGATAAGGGATAAGAAAAGTAAAGACCTCACCCAAGTTAGATGCATCAAGGATGAAAATCAAAAACTTCTGGTGAGAGATGAAGATGTAAATGAAAGGTGGTTGAAATACTTCAACAAGCTGTATAATGGGGATGGAGATACAAGCGAGGTGGACTTAGAGGACGCGTGTGATGATATGAATAGAAGATTTGTACGCAGAATTAATACACATGAAGTTAAGGAGGCTTTAAAGTGGATGAAGACTAATAAAGCCTTAGGGCCTGATGGTGTCCCTATTGAAGTGTGGAGAGGCCTGGGGGATGTGGCAATAAAATGGTTGACCAATCTTTTTAATAAGATTCTCCAGACGAATAAGATGCCTGATGTATGGAGGAAAAGTATGATTGTGCTTATCTACAAAAACAAGGGAGATATACAGAATTGTTCAAACTATAGAGGCATTAAGCTAATGAGCCATACTATGAAGTTGTGGGAGAGGGTTATTGAACATCGCTTGAGGAGAGATACCAAGGTTTCTGTAAATCAATTTGGATTTATGCCAGGAAGATGTACCATGGAAGCAATTTTCTTGATGCGACAACTAATGGAAAGATACCGAGAAAAGAAAAAGGACTTGCATATGGTGTTCATAGACCTTGAGAAAGCATACGATAGGGTTCCAAGGAAAGTTTTATGGTGGGTCCAGGAGAAGAAAAAGGTTCCATTAAAGTATGTAAAGGCAATCAAGGATATGTATGATGGGGCTACTACATGTGTAAAAGCTTGTAACGGATCATCAAGTTATTTTCCTATCACGATAGGTGTACACCAAGGGTCGGCTCTAAGTCCTTACCTCTTTGCCTTAGTTATGGATGAACTAACAAAAGATATTCAAGAGGAAGTGCCATGGTGTATATAATGACCCTATAGGGTAAATCTTAATTAGAGATTTAATTTAAGGATTTAAATGCCATAATTAGATTTAGTGAGTGATTTCGAGTATTTTGACTGTAATCATGACTATGTTATGAACAGTGCGTTCTGCCGGAGAATTTACAGTTTTGTGAATTAACCGGTAGAGCTTAAAAAGAGCAAAATAATTTTAGAGACATAATTTGATAATTCTGACGACAAATATGAGTTCAGAATGAAAAATTGTATAGTCTGGCACTTTCCGTGAAAATCTCGTGAATAGTGTTTTTACCGGGTATTTTGTACTGCTGTGTAAGCAACCGGTAGAGTCCAGAAACAAATAATTGATGAAATAAGAATAGGAAAGTCCAATATATGCCAAGCAAGTCAATACAGGCCCAAGAAAATGATAAGTTTATAAGTGTTAAGTTTCAGAATTAAATAAAGTACAGTTAGTGGTTCACAGTGCATTTCGTTAAAAACGGTGCAAAAACCATACTGTGAATTATGAATATTGTTCCTTAGGAAATAAAAATTAATTTAAATAACTTTAGAAAAATAAAAATATATCCGTAGCTTTAAGTTAAGTTTCGGGTAAATTTAAGTGAAATACGCGATAGAAAAACATCCGACAAAAGGGCCACATGTGCCTAAATAGCTTGGCCACTTAAATGAATCACTATTCATTGCAAAAATTTCTTCTTCTCTCTCTTGAAGGGCCGAGCTTCAGCCATGGAAAAGGGGGGGGGGTTAGGGTTTTGCTTGTTTTGTTGATTTCTTCTTGAATTCTCAACCAAATCTTATGACCCACCACTTGAAATTGATTAGGAACCACTCAAGGAATCCATTGCACCTATCCATTTGAGCTATAGTTGAGTGTGTGAAGAGTTATTCCTCCTCTTATTTTCGGATTACTATTCATAGGAGGAGAAAAAGTGGGTTTTTGATGGAGCTTTGCTTGGAGGTTATTCTCTAGGCTTTGTACAAGTGATTAGAGGTAAGAAACCTCTATTTCTATAGTATTATTTTGTGATCTATGTTTTGAAAATTTGGAGCATGTTTTGAGTGGGAAATATTTGATGTTAGAAGGTGAAAATTATGATGGATTGTTGTTGGTTAGGAATGATAGTGTTTAGTAAGCATTAATTTGTGATAAAAAAATTGAAAAGCCCTAGTGCACTTTTCCCCTAGGTTTCGGCCTTCATGGCTTATATAGGGTTCATCATGCAAATTTTTATTGTATGTTTGAAAAGGTAAAATATGTTGGAATGTAGTGTAAATGGATTAATTGGTGGAAATGCCAAAGTTAGAAAAAATCCTACAAATACTTGCTCTATGTTGCGAACTATAGGATGTTTAGGGGTATATATATATTGGTTACATTTTATTCTAATAAAATGTGTTGCATTTTAATATACCAATGGATGAGCTAAGAAGTGAAATGCTTTGACAAATGGTTGAAAAATACCTTGAGTCCCTAAGGGTATGCCCGCGACTTTTAAAGAAAAATAGCATGATTTATGTGAAAAATTCTTAAGTAAATGCTTGATTAAATTAAAGAACGCCAACGGGTGTATAGAGGTCTAGACTTGTGTATTGGCATAGAATTGGCAAAAATATAAAGAAAGGAAAATAAGCGATAAAATGTATGCTTATGAAATAATCATGGTATTGCATCATTTTATTGATGCATTGTAAATTATTCTCTAGGTGTGCCTAGGGATTGAGAAGGATCGGAAATCTCTTGAAGCGATAAAAGTAACTTGTTCCACAAGTAAGCGTATTGGTAAAGCTTCAAGAGGTAAGCTCTATGTTTAAGGAGTCTTTTCCTGCTTGAGTGCTCCACCATGGTTAGTGAACTATGGTTGGACTGTATGACTGTGATTTAGATGCTTTGTATAGATGCATTCATATAGAGTTATTTGATAACATGATATGTTTTGCTCTGATATGACTTCTGCAATATGATTTCTGTAACAATCTCTGGCCATTGATTGTATAGTACCCGGATGTCCGCTTTGGGGTCCTTCCTCGGGACTGATGGTGTACGCCTCTGATATGTCTGGTTCCGCTTTGGGGTCCTCCCTCGGGAACACGTGCGTTGAATTCCGCTTGGGGTCCTCCCTTGGGAATGACGGCGCACATCTCTGATATGATATGGATATATGATCTGTTCTGTTATGATATCTGTTATATGTTGTATTTGTATACTCTGTATCTGACTTTCATGCAGGAGTGAGCCAGGGGTATGGAGAATTCTCTATAAACCTGGAGCTTATTGAGATTTGTAATCTCACCCCTCTTGGGGACATATTTTCAGGTGCCCAGATTCCCGGTGAGTCCTCACTAGGCAGGGACACGACACGTGGCTGAGGCAGTTGACAGATCGGATTTTGAGTGGCTGTAGGCTACTACCTTTTGGAGTGTTTGTTGTCTTTTAGTATTTCCGCATTTGATGGATCACGATATTGATCCTTTATTTTGTATATGGCCTGTATATGTTTTGTACATGTCTGTCACTTGGATGCATGTACATTTGGGTATTCAGGCACGTCATATGATGATGTATTATTCAGTTTATGATTTCGTATTGGATTGCATGTTGATTAGGATAGTGGCACGGAGCCATATTTTGCATGCGCCCATGGATGTGTATCTGATTGTATCTGTATGACTGGTACTTCTGGATTACTATGCTGTATAAACTGTTTATCAGGAAATGCTTCTCAGTGGGATTGGAAAATCCCCAGTTGTCCGATTTATAGAGGAAACTCTGCCCGATTTTCGTTTACCCCGAGTAAGATTTAAAAAGAAAAAGAAAAAGTTAGCTCGTATTTTCAGAAGTTAAGTCTTCCGCTGTTTTCTGTTTTATCATATGTATGTTAATTGAACCGGCTCGAGACGGGGATGTTACAGTGTATGCTTTTTGCAGACGATATTGTGCTTATTGATGAGAGCAAGGAGGGTGTTAATAGAAAACTTGAATTGTGGAGAAGCACATTGGAATCCAGAGGATTCACATTAAGTCGAAGCAAGACTGAGTATCTGAAGTGTGAGTTTTCTCTGGTACGAGATGAGGACCAAGAACCTGTGCATCTAAATGGTCAAGAGGTACCCAAAAAAGATGCTTTTAAATACTTGGGCTCCATTTTACAAAACGGTGGAGAGATTGATGAGGATGTAAATCACAGAATCAGAGCAGGGTGGATGAAATGGCGCAGTGCATCTGCTTTTTTGTGTGACCGCAAAATCCCCCTGAAGTTAAAAGGAAAATTCTATAAAACGGCAGTAAGACCGGCAATGCTATATGGAGCAGAATGCTGGCCAGCACATAGGCAACATGAGCATAAGATGGGAGTAGCAGAGATGAGGATGTTAAGGTGGATGTGTGGTTACACAAGGATGGATAAGATAAGAAATGAAGATATTCGACGAAAGGTCGGAGTAGTACCGGTAGCCGAGAAGATGAGAGAACATAGATTGAGGTGATTTGGGCACGTGATGAGAATACCCATGGATGCTCATGTAAGAACAGAAGTTTGTTACCAAGAGCTCAACACAAAAAGAGGCAGAGGTAGACCGAAGCTTACTTGGGGGAAAGTAGTAAAACAAGATTTAATGGAGTGAGATATAGATTGGCGGACAGTATGTCTTAGAACGGAATGGAGAAAAGCTATAAGTATGGTGGAGGGTTAGACCCGCTGTTATTCCTATGTTCCAGATGGTCCCTTTTTAGTCCTTTTCCCCTTCATTTCCCCCACTTCTTCTTGTCCCTTTCTTTTTTACTTTTATTTATTTATATATACATATATTGTTATTTTATTTTATCTTATTTTATATTTTTATTTTATTTGTTTATTTTTATTTTTATTTTTATTTTTATTTTTTATTTTTATTTTTATTTTTATTTTTTTTTTCAACCGTTTTGTATCTTTCATGTGGGTTCATCTACCACCGACCCCAATTAATTTGGGATAAAGGTGTTGTTGATGTTGATGTTGATGTTGAACAATATCCTATCCCATTTAAAAGATAATAGTTTTGAAAATATTAGAGGGCCGAGTGTTTTATAAAACAGTTTTTTGTTTTTAAAAACAAAAAAATATAAAAACTTGTTTGGTAATGTTATGAAAAAGGGTTTGATATTTATTATTTTAAATGACATAAGTTATGTCATTTTAGGATAGAAATAGACACAAAAAATAAAAATCGTGGAGGAAAAAGTGGGTGGTTTTTTAATTTAAATTTCAATTATTTTTTTTTTTTGTGTCTATCTCTCTTGAAATAACATAAGTTTATCTGCTTATCAAAAAAAAAAAAAAAAAAACATAAGTTTATGTCATGACAAATAGTTCTGAGAACAACAAACATATCTTTTTTAGTTTTTAAAAACAAGAATTAGAGATCCATTAGTTGTTTTGGTTTTATTTTTTAATTCTCTGCTTCGGAAACAAGAAAAACACGGAGAACATACTATTTGTTTTCATTAATAGGCTTGCCTCGCTGTCATTTTCAGCTTCAGAAGCGAGTAAAATAAAGTTGTGGCTCTCAGATTGTACAGCAGGGGCTCTTTGTAGTTGTAGCTTATGTGACGTGTGAGATGGTTTCACAAAATTTTTCGAGTTGAGAAGATCTTTCAATAGCATTGAAATGGAGATAAAAAGTTAACTTATTTCATTCAAAATACAAATATGTAAAAAAATTAAATGAATTTAACTGTAAGTAAATAATAAGAATTATATAACAATGAAATTATGTGTGTAATAGTATTTATGCACTTAGCATATTTCTGGGCATGAAGAATAAGGAGCTATCTACACATTGCTTGGCTTTGCAACACAGTTAATTGTGAAAATCAAAGTGTTGTTTGTGATAAGAAACAAAATAGTTTCTATTTTCAGCTGAACACTTGTCCAATTCATATTTAGCTGCTGTAAATGGAATACAAAGCAACATAATAGAACATCTATCCTATCTGCAAGTCAAACCAAAACAGTGAAAAAAAAAAAGTAGTGAAATTATTCTTCAACAAAATTATGTATGTATGCTCCATAAGCAGAGAAAAAAGTATTGACATAGAAAAAGAAAAAAACAAAGTCACTCTTTAGGGCATACCACGTATTATGCATGCTGCTAAATTCCTGATTTGAGCTTGCTTCATGATGTCACTCAATGCTCTGAGACACACGTCATACGTTTTTGCTATCCCATGAATTGCCAAATCCCTGTTTCCAATCAAGATTGGGAGCGAGATTGGCTTGTTCACAATTGTACGCAGAACACGGAGGTCAACATTGTCTATGAACCAAGGAGCTGTTGGGTTACTATCCATAACGCAATTGTAGCATAAAAGTGCTTCATCAGCAACCGCAGTTATCAAAATTTTCGGTAAAGACAATATACTCTTTACCACATTACCATATCTAATCCGCTCCAGCCAGAGCAACAAGGCTACAATTCTCAATGACTCATCTGGTTCTCTTGAGAGGTCTATCACTAGGATCTTATAAAGCTCTCTGTCTATGTTGTGAAACAGAAAATACTCCTCTCGAGAAATGATCACAGGTTCACAATCCATCAAATCTATACCAAGCACTTTATAATTCTCCCAACAATTGTTATAGTTCATAGCAATTTGGCCAAACTCCAGCTATGTAATTACTCTGTTAAGAATTGAAAAGTCACCAGAACCATTGGAATCAGGCTTTTCCTTACATATGCAAATAAAAAAGTAAAACATAATATTAAAAATAAAAATACAACTTTTAACGTGTGTGATCATCTTAAAGAACACAACACAAGACTAGTTTTAAGTTTGACCCATAATAAAAAATACAACTTCTCACATAAGCTTATTCAAGAATTGACCCATAACTCAAATTATGAAGAGTAGATAAAGAGTTATACGAGTTACCTTCAGGTGGATGAGTAAACAACAACCATGCCCTGAGAAATCAACATATCCCTCAAGAAGCTTTCCCTTTCCTGGAAAAAACACACAGAGTAGTAATGTCATCAATTAATCTTCTTTGCGTTTTCCTTTGCTTTCTCAGTTCCCAAACAAACAAACAATGCAACTGGTTCTTGAATGGAAACAGAAGAGAAGATTTTTGGGTAAAAGAAAATTAAACAAAAAAAAGAAGAAAAAAGAAGAATCAAGATTGCACCTGGCTGTGAGTATGTGACACTTAGATTGGTGTTTTCTAACTCTTAAATAAGAAGCTGCGTTTGTTATTCTAATATTTCAGAAAAAATAATAATAATTTATAATAATAAATTAATAATAATAATAAACTATAAATTAGTGTAATAATATATATATAGGGGCAGTATCATTTGATACCGGTGTCAAATATAATAGCCCTAACCTAATTAATTAGCAAATTACATGTAATTAAATAATTAAGCATGTTTTAGTGAGTAAAATTAAGTATAAGGCTTAATTAAATGAATCTGAGTCACTTTGAAGTTAAAAAGTGTACTCAGTGAAAATTAAGGGGTATAAATGGGTACTGACGAAAGTGCCCAAAATATAAAAATAAGATTGTAAATATTCCTAGAATAATATTCTAGACTTTTGGGTAAAGTTTGGTAATTATTGGAGTTAAATAGATAGACGAACTAATACCCACATGTTACCACTTAACTTATGTTAAGTGATAAAATGCAAAAAGAACCCAAACCCCCCAGAAACCCGTCGACAGAAACAGAGGGAAAGAAGAGAGAAAGAAGAGAGAAAGGAAGGAGAAGAGGGAGAGAGAACCTAGAAAAAGCAATCCTTAACCGATTGGAGTGATTCAAAAGCCTAAACCACTCTAAATCTCCTCCTCTTTCATAATCCTAGCTTTGTTTTGGGTGGGGAGCATTGTGGAGAGGGATATTGGCTCTCAAAAATTTGCCCATTTGGTGAAATTTGGGGTTTTGAGTGCTTCAACCTCCATTGAAGCTTGAGGAGCCATCAATCCTTGTTTGTGTGACCATTGGTGGTAAGATTCTAACCCTTGAACCTCATGATTCCTTGAAATTTGCATGAGTTAGGGTTTATGAATAGTGTTTTAGGGTTTTAGATGAAATGTTGTTAAATTAGCTATGTTCTAGGAAGAATGGAGCTTAGAGCATGTTGTGAAAAATGCTAGGAATGTCATTTAATCGGTAAAAATGATCCTAGTTAGTTAAATGACTATACTTGGTATATTGCAAGATTATCATGCTTGTTGAAGAGTTTTCTTGCAATTGTACTCAATGGTTTGGTTGATTGATGATTGTGTCCTAATGATGTCTAGGATTGAGGCATTTGGACCAACCGTAAGTGATCAACCATTGGAGCAAGCTATGGAGCTTGATTAGCTCCATTGGATAGGTAAGTTCATGCTTATGTTTGGTATGAATTGTATAGCTTGGTTGATAGCTATGAGATGTTATTGGATGCAATATGTGTTAATTGCATTAAACCTTGTGTAGGTTTTGTTTGAAAAGTGGAGTATTGTAATTGACTGACTGTGGAACCTGTTGGTGGTGAACAAAGGTTGACTGAAGCATTGAGGTAAGCCTTCGGACCTTGGGTGTAATTCCCTTGACTGTTCCACCAAGCCCTGAAAGGGTAGAGGTTGTGATTGTGTATATAAATGCAATAAAATAGTGTAATGCTTTGTTATACGTATGTGTATGCATTTGGTGTGGCATAGGATGGTGTTTCCCTATGTTGGTATGTTGCATGACGATGCGTAAATCATACTTGGTAGTTAGCTGGCCAGTAGGACTATTTGCATCTGAGTTTCCTTAGGATAGCTTGAGAGCTCGAGGGATTTCTCCTGGAGATGTATTGCACTTTGCATAGATATGTATTTACTGCGTTATTATTGTTATTGTTATTACACTGATATGGAACTGTGGGGTGGAGAGATGCTCCAAGGACCCCTGGTTTACTGGATATATTCGTATATCTCACCCCGTGTTGTGGGGACCCCCTTTCAGGTAAGGATGCTGCAGGAGCCACCAGTGGCAAGTGGCCATACTTGGACTAGTGTTGATGCATGAGGATCCAGTATTTTGATATCATACATGTTGTTTTGTAGCTCACATGTATAGAATTGTAAATAATAGGCAATGATAGATTTATGATTTGTATATTGGAATGGACTTAGCCTATGCTCATACCTTTGGTTATCTCTTTGTTGATGGGAGCCAAGGGAGTGATCATAGCGTTTTGTAAGCTAAGTTCCATGATTTGTAATGAATATGTACTGTAAATGATGCCTAATTGAAATTCAATATATGCATGCTTTCTAGGTAGTGAGTTATTGAATTGGTTGAGCTGAGAATCAATTAGGTACCTTTTGTTTAAATTGGGAAATGTTGAGAAAACAAATACATCCTATCCGGTTGACCAATTTTCATACCCAATGTGATGGAATTGGACTTTTATGTCTCTATGAAAGTTGTAGACATTTCTCTTAGCTTTCCATAGAGACCAAAATGGTGTAATTTGAGTGAGTATAGCTCAAGTTACGAGTGGAAAACCATAGGTAGGTTAAATGACCATGTTTTGGGTCACCCAGCCCTGTGGATGGTGCCTGGGGCGCCAGATTCACGCTTGGGGCACCAAATTACGAGATCAGACAGTAGCATCCATGCTTGGGGCGCCAGATCCACGCTTGGGGCGTCAACTTTCTGTTTTCCCACGCTCTGGGCGTGGATCTCACGCTACGGGCGCGGGGATTCTGGAGGTTTCGCACCCTTTTCTTAGAAAATGCATAACTTTGGCTACGGTGCTCCGATTTGAGCGCGGTTTGAACCCACGCGTAGCTAATGAAGAATCCTATAACATAGTACAAGATGGGAATCATAAAAGAAGTTTAGAATTAATTTGATAATTAAAGTGATGAAGACATTTAACGACGTATTGTCAAGTAGAATGTGAATATAATATTAAGTTTAGTCTCACTATTCCGCGAAGTATATATAGTTATGATCACGCACTTGGTTATTTAAATTCGGCTTGTTTAAAAAGGAAAAATTTATCCGGTTTTCTAATTGAACCAATGTGATTGTAACTGCGCTTAATGCTGTACGCAATGATAACAATCCGGTTCTAGAACGGGGTGTTACATCAAACTTTGAAATTTGACACCAAATCCTAACAGTTGATTTTCGTTAATCAATGGTTATCATTTATTGAGAATTGCACTAATTAATTAATCATCAATTGCCAATAAATGATAACCGTTGATTGGCGGAAATCAACGGTTAGAATTTGGTGTCAAATTTTAAAATTTGACACCGGTGTCAATGGATCCTATCCCATATATATATATTTTATGGTGACAGATAACAAATTATAATATAAAATTTACCTTTGATAAAATAATTTCATGCGATATATGTGCGATATGAGTGTTATTGAAAATGAAAAAAAGAAAAAAGAAAAAAAAGAATCAAGATTGCACCTGCCTGTGAGTATGTGACAGTTAGATTGGTGTTTTCTAACTGTTCAATAAGAAGCTGAGTTCGTTATATAGTAATCATTGAAGACTCTTCGACGGTTGGTTAGTTAGTATTGACGCGAAACAAGCAGTTAACTGGGCATATTAGTAGGGGTGTTCATCAACCGATCCAAATCGATTCAAACCGCGAAAATCGAACCGAAAAACCGATAACCGATAACCGAATAAACCGAAAACCGAAAAAAAACCGCAAATTTTAATTGGATTGGATCGGTTTTCGGATGGGTTGATGAAAACCGATCCAATCCAAACCGATCCAATATATTAATTATCCTCTACCTACTTGTCATTTTCCCAATCACAGCCCAAAAATTGTTAAACTCAAGACTCATTAACTCATCATCTAAACCCAAGAAAAAACTTAGTCACATCTCATCAACTATAGTATTGTTTACTGATATTTTTGTATTTCAATTTTTTTTTACAAAGCCAATATATACAAAAGATGTTATTTGCACAATAATCATGAAACTAATTTTAGGATATTCAGAAAACCGATCCAATCCAAACCGAAAAAAATTGGATTGGATCGGATCGGATTTGAAAAAAAATCTAAACCGAATGGATGATTACATAATCAAACCGAAGGGATTGGATCAGATGAGTTTTGCTTCCAAAATCGATCCAATCCAGCCCGCGAACACCCCTACATATTAGTATAACAAAATCAAGTGGACTTTTGTTTCTTCGGCCCAATTCCATAACATGTATATCACAAATTACATAATACCGGAGCTAACAATAATACAGGGTGCATTGAATTGAGATTTCAAAAGATTTTAATGAATTATTTTTGAACAAAAAAAATCCATTGATATTCAATTAGAATTTTAAAGGATTGAAAAAAGTCACGTGATATTCGATTAAGATTTTAAAAGATTATTTTAGAGTCCGTCCAAATCTGTTGGTATTCAATCAGGATTTTAAATAAAGGAAAAACAATCTTGTGGTATTCAAAAATCTTACGATTTTAATGGATTTTCTATTAGTGCGAATTTCGCGAGACTTTTTAATGAGAAATATAAATAAGATGTCTCTCTCACAATCTCACCCTAACTCCTAGGATTTCTTTAGATTTCTCTATTGCATTTATTTCTTTAGATTTCTCTATTGCATTTTCTTCTTC